AAAAAAAAAAAAAAAAAAAAAAAAAAAAAAAAAAAAAAAAGCCCTGTTGGATTCAGTCGCCCCCGGGGCTCATGTCTATATTAAAGTTTAGAAGCACCGCCGGCGATAAACGGCATTGTCAGCGGCATTTTCACCGTCTCATACCACCATGGGTAGGCGAGCCCGCACCGGTTCAAGTCGAGGTTTTCTGATATCACCACCCACAACAGCTTGCACAAGTAGCGCTGTTCCTCCGGCTCCAGGGCGAGGATGACTAAATAGATCTCGTCCAACCACGCCACAAATCGCAGCAATGGAATGTAGGGAACGAGATTGATGATCGTATTCACCGCCGCCTCCCGCACTGTATTCGGGTGCACCCGCTCGGTAAACTGGTACTCTGTCGCCGAAGGAGCGGGGTGAGGCTGGTGCTCGGGTTTAGCGCGCTTTCTCCGGGGGATGTACTGGCCGAGCTTATCATTGACCTCGGCGTACACGTGCTTCAGCGCGTCGTCAAATAGCTTCTCAAACGGCTTCAGCGCGTCGTTCTGCTCGACGATATTGTGCTCGTCGACCTCGTCCTCGTCCATTCGCTTCAACGTCAGCGTCGCCAAGATCTCGCCCACCGGCTGCGCCAGCCGCAATGTCTGGTCGCTAAAGGTGGCGTCGCGAGTATGCAACGGGTCCAGCCGGGTTTGCTGGATCAAGTGGAGCAAAAACCTTAAAAACTCCTCCCCCAGGTCAGGAAGCGCCCGATCGCGTGGCTGCACCGGGTGCTCTAAAAGCAGCTTCCCCACCGTCTCGATCGCCACCGAAAACTGCGTCGCCGAAAGCAACCGCGGGTGCTGGCTATAGATGAGGCCAACGTAGTCGATACAGTCGTCGACTTTTTGATGGCGGCTCTTGCCAAAGAAAATCAATAACACCGAGTGTGCCGCTTCGATAAGCTGGCGCAGGTGATAATGCGGGTTGGCGACAACGTCATAGCAGAAGGGGAAGATAAACTTGTGGGCAAACTGCTCGTCGAACTTGGGCTGGCTCATGTAGTTTTCCCAGAGGCCAAGGGTGAACAAGAGTCGCAGCTGCATCACATAGTTGTCGTTGACCGCCGCCGGGTCCATGTTCACCCCCATTGGCCCCACCATGAATTTGGTGACATCGACGTACTGCTGGTTGGTCTTGAGGGCAAGCTCATTACTCAAGTAGTAGACGAAGTTATAGGCGTCAAACCCGCCCAGACCAATGGCCTCAAGGATGAAATTGAGGTAGTACAAGTTGGTGACGATGCGCAACGCTACCTGTTCGTTGCGCGGGTTGATGTAAGGGTTCGCAGTGAACGGGTTGGTAATCCTGCGCCCACTGGTAATGTAGCGGGTAAGGATACCCGTGAAAATAATCACTTCAGTAAACATGATCTGTTTAAGAGTTTGCCAGAATTGCGCCGGGATGTAGTCCGCCAGCCGTGTGGCTACATCCAACGAGTTGAATCGTGGGGTATTCTCAGTGGCGATCGACAAGTTCTGGTTAAACGCCTCAATCTCGGATAACAGCCACATAATGAGCTGGAACAGTTGCGTGGTATGCGGCAACTTGCTGAAGTACGCCTCAAGCACAAACGCTAATTTGTTCATGAACCGCACCGCCGGCACCGCGTAGATGTGCTGTTGCACCGCCTGCTCCACTTGCTGGGTGTCTCTTTGGCCAATGAGATCGAAGAAGTGGCGGTAGGCAAGAAGCGAGTCGGGACGGTCGCCAAATAAGAATAACACCACGAGCTCGACAACAAAGTCCAGCAGCACGTGTTTGGTGTACTCGGTGATAGGCTCACCTCGCTGGTATACCACCGCGAGCGAGAGAATGGCAAGATAAGTGATATCAGTGGGAAGAGCGGGGGTGAGACTGTAGTTGAGGCATTTGCGGAAAAGCTTACCCACCCCTCGATCAAACTTATTGAAAAACCAACCGTACTCTAATTTGTTGGGCTCAGTGTACAATTGGTCTCTCACTTTATTCGCCATATCGATCCCGGCAATAATCGGTAATACCTTCCACGAATTGGCGTACACGTTGTAGTTGACGAATCCTTTGATCTCCTCTTCCCATACTCTGTAAAATGTCTTAATTGAGAGCGTGGGTTGCGATACTTTGAGCTTTTTCTCAAAAATAAGGCGAACAACGTCGACAATGGCAAAATTCTCCTGGTAGGTAGCTGGCGGATCAAAACAAGTGGGCGAACTGAGAAAAGCCAGCACTAACACCCTTAAGTTGTGCTCCTGCTTCACATACGGTACGTAGTTGTAGAGATAGCCCAACACCTTGTTTACGGTTAAATCGGGCTTTGGGTGGCGCAACTCGTTGATCAAAAAATCCAACTCTTGTGGGGAGGCACTTCCCGGCGTTGTGGAGTACGTGGCTCCCGATCGTTGTAAAAGCGCTCGTCCCTGAGGGCCTAGCTGGCTGTATAGGTTCGACATATGGTGGGGTGGAGTGTTAACCGTGGTGAAAGCATGCGGGGAAAAGGCGCGCTACCACACGCGATTTCCGACAGTCTTAGTACTTCCGACAGTTTCGGCGATTTTGCTACTTCCGACAGTTGTGACATTTAGAGGATTTCAAAATTGGAGAAATTTCTAGAATTGCAAAAAAGAAATTACAATTTCATGAATTGGGCGGCTGAGTTTGAGTTCGCAACCGCTCACAAAAAAGCATCGATACGGGAAAGAGAGAAAAAAAGCAATAAACAAGCTGACAATGATTGACAAGAACCCTGATTAATCTCAGAAAAAGCAACCAAATAGCTATTGTCGGCATGGAAATGGGTGTCTGCGCACATAAACCTCCGCCAGCCGGTTGTTCGTCGCCTTGACAAAGCGATGATCTGCACGTACATCGAGATAAACATTGAGTCTGATACCGCATCAGCGTTTAGTGTCCCGATGCTTTGTTTGTTATCGCGGTTTCGCTTACGTCGGAGAGATGGCCCATAGCTAGACAATAAATCATATTCTTGGGTAGATGCCTTTGTAACCATGCCTCGGTTTCTCTCGGATGGCCAAAGGTTTTGAATCTTTCGGGTATGGGGCCATTCATGAAAAAACCTTATTTTGAAATGACTCGCGACCTCGAACTTTCCACCGATGGCGATCCAAAATTTAAACTTTTATTTTCTCGTCCTCGAGGAAGTAGAAAACACTCATCTCGAGTCCAACAATAGTGAGTACGACATGAGCTAATTTGATAATTCCACAATTGTTGGGCAGTACCTGCTTGATCGGCGATTACCAAACCACCGAGGCAGAGAGCGATTCAATCTTTTGCGTATCGGCAGCAACGGTTGCTCTAGAGGATCAAGAGTACGAGACTGATAAAATAGAACTAGTTGGTGATCCGACAGTGAAAGTGGCTGGAGGCTTAGTATCCGCGATAGGGAGGGGTGTCAATTGGAGACAAATGTAAGCCCGCTACGTGCATACGTGGTAGCCTACGATCCTCTGATCCTGCCCCTTGCGGCAATTCGCAAGTATTGCCGGGTGAATTATAACTAGGATTCGGAGGGGGCATGGTCACGATTTCTGTATCTCTCAGAAAGTTGTGTGATTGAAGTCGGGATTTTATAGACTTTGAACCGATAACAGTGTTACTCTGACGACCGGTATTGCGCTGATATCTGATCTTGAAGGATGCAAGTCTGAGTATTTCAGCTGTCTATATAGGACTTTAGGCATTGATACCTGTGAACTTGAAATGCGAAATTTGGCCGAGTTTTGAATCACATCAGAAGGTTTTTGTTCTGTAAACAAACGGTCGATAGTTCTACTTCTCTCCTTCCCTTTACTCTGGCATTTCTATTTATGTTTCGTCCTTCATCTGAAACCAAATAAAAAGTCGACATCAAAAACACGTTTATCGTGGCTGCAAGAACCAATGAACAACAGATTTAGTCTTTACATCTAATTAAAAAGTACTACTCTGCAAGTTTAGTCGTTATTGCCGGTGAAATCGGCTCATCCTCCTTCCATTGAGTAACAGTTTTACACGCGTAATTCAACTATTTGCACCGACGGTTGGTTGGCCGAGTGGTCTAAGGCGCCAGGGTAAGGTCACCTTACCGCGACATCCTCGGATGTCACATTCCTGGTCTCTTCGGGGGCGTGGGTTCGAACCCCACACCAATCATCATTTTTTCCCTGTCTTTTATTTTCATGCGTCGTGACTCGGGCGCGCCGACCGGTGTCTCCGGATGGTCAAGTTAATAAAACACAAAGGGACAATGCCACCCGACGTCCGCGATTACCAAAGCATCATTGCCTCGACAGTTCATTATTGTTGCTCGAGGTCTACCAGGAAATAGCAATTCCGCTTGTATATGTAGATACGAGCACAGATCGCACGTGGCCCCCGTTAGGTTGTCCCTCACCCTCCACGTTGGTAGGCACAATAAATTCCGTTCGAGGCAGGTATACCTCCGAGCACGCCAGTGTCTAGCCCCTTTCTTGGACCACAAACGGAGCATTCAGCCCCCCAGCGCTACCACTGATGACATGCCTCTCGCCTCTCTGTCGGCCGCCTGTAATTGGACGATACCCAAAAGCCACTCTCACCAACCCCTAAGCCACCCTGCCTACCCAAGAAAATTACCGCACCATCGCCCCCACCTTGGCGGTTATCTTCTAGAGAGAAAAAGATCTTGTCAGTTTTCTTGGCCTACACAACTGTCCTCTACTGTCAGCAGACTCTGCCCATCTTGAGCACAAAGACTATCACTGTCACCCGAAAAAAAAAGGCCCCGCCCGCGAGGGAGGAAAAATTCTCTTTGTGCCTCTCACCCTCCACTTACCCATCGTAGCCACCCTCCAAAGTGTCTCTGCGTTCACAGCCTTCAAAATGCCTCATAAGCGGCCCCTAGCCTCTCAAATTGTCCACAACCAAACGCCAATTCCACCACCATCGTAGCTGCAAATCCCAGGCGGAATGTGCTGGTGTCGGCGTCGAAATTTGTCTGCTTTGATTGCCACTAATGACACCCTCCCAGTCATCATCAAATCGGGGTAATTAAAGCGCTTCCCGTCTCTGGCGCCGCGCTGCCTTTCCTGTACCGTGCGAAATATAACGTGCGCCTAAATTTTCTGCGATGATGGCTTGCTCGCGCCAGCCGTATAAAATCTCCTGAGCGTCACCAATAAGGTTTTTTTCTTCATCCCCCACGTCCAGCGTTGGCATTTATCAAGTTGGGTGCTCCGGTCGAAAAGCTTTCTCTGCGCTCTCAACGCAGAATACACGTTGACAGCCCGCAAATGGTAACCCCCGAGGACTTCCTGCCGCGGCCATAATGAACGACAACCACCCCGATGACCACCTGTTCCACCAGGTGCCCGAGCTTAACGACCACCGCCTCCACCCGGAACTCCCTCCCGCCGTCAGAGGAGGCGAGCTGGCGATCGATGACGACGACGGCTCGATCAACGAGTTGCCGCCGCCGCCGCTGCGCCGAGATCGACGGTCTCTGCGCCCCGCCGACGACGACCCCGCCCCGTTACCCGGTATCCGTCCTGGTCGTCTGCGGCTGGTGTTACACCAGGAAACCAGTGACGGTATTCTCCTCAACCACCGCCACGATTTAACCCGCCACTTGTCCAACGACACCCAGCGCTCTCAGCGCCGAGGTCTGCGGTCGCTGGTGGTGCTGGACGCCGACTCCCACGGTCTGCGTATTTCTCAGGAAACCGAAGAGGACGTGTGTTTCCCGTTGATCCGTGAACACGTCCGTGTTAATGGCATTGACTTTGACGAAATCGAAGAGTTTATCCGTGAAGAACGTATCGAGGAAAACCGGATCAAAGACGTTCAATTGGCATTTGAACGCTCGGAGATCAACTCGGTACCCGTGGCTACTGGGCGCCAGCCACTGGCACTGGCGGTTAAGTACACTCCGAAACACTTGTTGCGTAAGTACTTTACCAACCAGCTGAAGTCGGAACTGGACGAAGCTGCTCTGAACCAAAGCGTCCACGTTTTCGATGAAAAAGATGACAAAAAGGAAGCCCACCCTACTGTATTGAATCCTGAATTGGCTCATACTATGGACCTGCTGACAGCCGACGATGCCGACGCCGAAGTGAAGTTTGGTGGTACCCGTATCCCTGAGCCTCAATTTGGCGCGTTACCCGATCGGTTCTCGCTTTTCCACAGCGATCGCGAGGAAACCATTCACTCCCCCGATATCCCCGGGCTTGTGGGCCCCGGCGAATCGGTGGCGGAAGTGTTCAAAAACGGTCACGGCACCTGGTGGCTTGACTGCACTTGCCCTACCGATGCCGAGATGAAGGCGTTGACCAAGGCGTTCGGGATCCACCCGTTGACGGCGGAAGATATCCGGATGCAAGAGACGCGGGAAAAGGTGGAATTGTTCCGCAACTACTACTTTGTGTGTTTCCACACGTTTGAGCAGGATAAGGAGCTGGCCGAGTACTTGGAACCCATCAATGTGTACATTGTGGTTTTTAAGGAAGGCGTGTTGCTGTTCCACTTCTCCCCCGTCCTCCACGCCGCCCTGGTGCGGCGCCGGGTGCGCCAGTTGCGTGACTACGTCCAAGTACTGGCCGACTGGTTGTGTTACGCCCTCATCGATGACATCACTGACTCGTTCGTCCCCGTGATCAACGGTATCGAATACGAGGCCGACGCCATCGAGGACGCGGTGTTTGTGCGTGACCAGGACTTTGCCGGTATGCTTCGTCGCATCGGGGAGCTGCGCCGTAAGGTGATGACGTTGATGCGGTTGCTTTCGGGTAAGGCTGATGTGATCAAGATGTTTGCTAAGCGGTGCCAGGATGAGGCTAACCTCGACCAATACGGCGCTACCCCCGGTATCGTGTCGCCGACGCCTCACTTTGGTGCCCCCGGAGTATCGTTTGGTCCCGGCCCCCTCGCCCCGGAAAACCCTTCGTTTGGTACTATGCCTGCTCAATTTGGCCCCACTCCCATCCCTACTTACAACGCCGGAGCCGCTGCCGCTCTGCCGGCGCCTCAACCAGGCCCTAGCAGTGCCATCCCTGGTCCCCTTCCTACTGGATCTGGTACCCCTACTGGCACTGGCACCCCTCTCGGCGGTGCTGCCATCCCGGGCCCTCCCACGCCCCCCAGTGGTGACCAGCCATACATGGCTCAACCGAGAGCCGACATTGCTCTTTACCTTGGCGATATTCAGGATCACTTGGTGACGATGTTCCAAAACTTGTTGGCGTACGAAAAGATCTTCAGTCGCTCTCACGGTAACTATCTTGCCCAGCTTTCGCTTGAGTCGTTCTACTCCAACAATCGCATCACTGAGATGTTTAGTAAGGTGACCCTCATCGGGGCGATCTTGGTGCCGCTCCACCTTATCACGGGGATGTTCGGGATGAACGTCACTGTTCCCGGTGAGCAACAAGGTAACTTGAAGTGGTGGTTCGGTATTTTGGGGGTGATGTTTGGTATCGTCATCATTCTCGGGTTCCTCGCCAACTTGTGGTTGAAGCTGGGCACTAAAGATATGCCCCGCTTCGAGAATAGTTCGCGTCGCTCGATGAAGAGCTTCAAGATGCGGGCGAAGGACGCCAAGAGTATGTTGAGTTTCCCGAACAAATGGGAATAGATTATTGTTTAGAATTATTGTTTAGATTGATTTGTATATAGTTAATACGTGTTATTTATTAGATGATATTAGCTGTCTACTGTTGAGTGGTGTGAATCCGACACTGCACACTCTTTGAACTTAACCGATCCCCGTTGATTGTTTGGACCACATTTTAATCTTAGGTGATTACCACAAATGTTATGCCTTATCTATCAGATTCGAATCCCAATCGATTTTTGCCATGACGTAAATTCTCCCCAGTCAAATTAAAGCAAAAATTGTAGCGGCTCACATGAACGTGATTGTTCTCGTGTGATTATGGTTGCATGACGAAGTGGTGCGTTGCTAAAGTGGCTCGTGTTCCTAATCAAGGTAAGGTAGCTAAAGTAAGCTTGTAGTACTCTGGAAACTATATTTTCATTATGAGCTCGGACTAAAGAATAGTAAACACGGCGAGGCAAGCGCGGCTAATTGTGAGAAGCGAATATTGTCTATTGTTCACGATCAATACAAGTAGATAGAGATTCTCAAGCAGTGACCAATTCGGAAGGATTGCATCTGTAAGCTCCTAGTGAGTGTTCTCTTCTCAACATATCCACATTTGATAGCTGCCAACCCCAATTATCATCTTGAATTGTTCAGCCGGGCGGTGAGACATTTCCAAAAACTCGGGCTATAATTAACCAACCAGCAAACGAAAAAGAAACAATTAGACGAAAGGGGGTGTGATAACACAACCGGGCATAATTTAACGAGGTGCCCCTGATCTCGTTCGCGTCGCTAACTCGATGCAATCGTGGGCCTCGTTTAACTAAGGTGTCGCCAGATCGAGTGTTTGTGTCATTTGAATTCGGGTTGGACGGTTGCCTAAACCGTGTTTCCATAGCTAAAGCAGAAGTTCAAGGCAGCCACCTGGAATCGCTTAGCCGGGTTAGGTCCCCCGGAGCCACGGTACCCCTTACGCCAACCGTCCACTAGCGATGCTTCCAGTGCTTAGGGAATGTGTCTAACTTACGGGAACCATTGTAGCTCCAGGCACGCCTGTCGGTATTGTCAGTAAGACACGATTACTTGCCGTAAACCCTGACCAACCTAATTCAATTTGGCGCCATTGCCAATAAATTAAACCTTCTAGATTCTCACGCCATGGTTACGTCTAACCGAGGATAACCCTGTTTTAACTGTCTGGATTTGCTTCAACACCAAAATGAATATCACGCCATCCCGAATCGGCCATAGCGAAGCAGCCTACATTCGTCTTAATCTCGATTAATCAAGTGCGGCGGAATCTGGCGCCGTTTAGAGGCGGCGTCAACACACCGCACCGAGGCATTCGTTCGTGAAACCACCACCGAGGCGCTTCCAATGCATGGTCGCCGCTACTTTGGGGTTAAAGGCTACCAGAATATGGTGCCAGTTAACCTGCCCATCATTTGACAACAAACATCGCCGAAGCCATGGCCCCGACAGTCAATGTCTTCATCGATCTAGCACAATCTGCTGGTGACCCTTCCACGGTTATGATGGTCTATTGCCGACAGACATTTTCCACAATACCGGGGACCTAGGGATTCCCCTTGAAAGAACGAGCTGTAGGGAGAGACACGGTGTTTCTGCACGTCGCTTAAATGCACTTGTCGCCCACTAACAATACGCGCGTGAGGGTGGTGTATCGAAGGATCGGGGCAGCTCTAGGCGGTAATGCGGAATGAGAGTCTGGCGTGGCTAAATGCTAGCGGAATCGCGACTAAATGAGTCCGAAGACTTCATATATGTCTCTGCTAACCACTAGAAATGGTTTACTACAACATTTTCAATGCATTGGTTCGTCTATACCATCTGTAAGCCGTCAGGGTCTTACGCGGCTTAAGACGCCGCCATTAGCCAGATTATCCCAAAACGGGCAGCACTGAGGCGGCTCCGTACGCGGCACATAAGTAAACACCACTAATGATAGTGAGGCCCCTAGATGGATATATAATCAAACATTCTGTGTCGCCAACCCACCACCGACTCCCCCTCTCTCCCCAATGCTGGCCCGAACACGAGGGTTCTCGAGGTTCTTCCGCCGCCGTGAAGACGACTTCACTCGCTCCTACGACGAGTACCTTGCCCAGTTAGACCGACGGGATGAGGAAGCACGGAGAAAACAGAGTGCTGCTGCTAGCGCTCAAGAAGCCGCTACTGTGCCTCGCCTGGTCCCCAAAACTATCACAGAGGAGCTACCCAAGGACCCGCCAACAGAACTCCAACAGCCAGTGCTGGTAGCGCGTAAACAGCCATCACTGACAGGAGAGCTGCCACTGCTGATATACGATGACCATCATACCGAGATCAGCCAGCTCGAAATCATGATTGACGAAGCCAAAGCTGATGCCGAATCGCTCCCCAGCCGCCAACACACCACCACCCCTGACCTCGCCAGCGTCGACCCGGAACAATTCCTCTCCGAAACCAGTGCCTACCTCCACGACTCTCTTCAGATATCGCCCATGGCATCAGTGGAGCCCTCTAGCCCTATAGAACTGGTGCACCTGCGCCAGCCGAGCCCGCTGCCTCTGCTCCGATTACTGGGGCCACCGTCTCCCATATCGCCTACAAAGCCGACATCCAAGGACCTTCTGACTCGTCGCCTTACTCCGTTAGCCCCGTCAAACAAACATAACTCTGCGCTGGGCAGCCACAAAACTCCAGGGGCTGAGTCCACTACTCCAGCGTTGGACGATGTCTACACTCCCCACACTAGCGGCAGCGGCAGCGGCAGTGACACCCCGGCACTGGACGTGAGTCCCGTGTTCTCCATCCAGCACGATAACCGGCTGCTGCTGCTGCTGCGACTGCTGGGGGGAGGCCTTGCCCTCCCACCCCCAAAGCAGCCGGTGCTTCAACCTAAACCGCTGCGTTTATTTGATGCCATCTATAACCGGCCCATTGCCGAGCCCAAAACCAAATGGCTTGAGCAATCGACAGCGGAGACCCTTACGTCTGCCAAAACGGAGACTACTATCACCTCAGAACCAAAGACAATTCAGTCTCGCCCCCACCATAGCCCACCGCTGATCAAACTGCTGCCGAAAAAGGTCCAACGGCGTAAGCCTCCCGCAGACACCACCACCACCACCACCATCACAAAAACTGCGAAGAAGCCGTTGACGCCTCGCCAGCAGCAGAAGATAGACGCCCAGCGCGAAGCTCTTTACGCCATCTCCCTGAAGAAGCACACCGCCCGCGTGGCACCCATGTCCCGGCTTAAGATCCAATTGCCGCCGAAGAAGAAGCAGCCAGCGGTGCGCCAGTGGCTGTTTGAGCTCTGCACCATCAACGCCGACGACGACAACCACCTGATGAGTTACGAAAATTTCATGAAGTTGCTGCATAAGTACAGCCATTAATAATGCATTCTTTATCCCTTACTTTCCCTCGACTTGAGCCACCACACTGGCGGCGATGTCCACGTAAACCTGGCCCAATTCCGGGTTCAGCACCACCACCGGCTTGCCGGCGTCGGCCTGGACGCAGATCTCTTCCGTCAACGGCACCAGTCCAAGCACGTCGATGCCGTAGTCTTGAGCGCGACGGCGAGCGCCATCAGTGCCGAAAACATGCGAGTGGTGGTGGCAGTTAGGACACTCAAAGTAGCTCATGTTCTCCACAAGCCCCAAAATGGGAATATCGACTTTGCGGAACATTTCAATGCCCTTGACGGCGTCAATGAGGGCAATGTCTTGAGGAGTGGTCACGATCACAGCTCCGGCCACCTCAATTTGTTGGGAAATGGTAAGCTGAGTGTCACCGGTACCTGGAGGCATATCGATGACAAGGTAGTCCAATGGCGACCACGCCACGTCGAACAAAAGCTGTTGCATCGCTTTCATCACCATGAGCCCTCTCCACACCACTGCCTTCTCTGGAGGCACCATATACCCCATCAGCATCGTCTCGACCCCGTAATTGGCCATGGGTAAAAGCTTACCCTGAGCCAGAAGACGGGGTTCCCCGTCTAAAGAGAACATTTTCGGTACCAGTGGTCCAAAGATATCAGCATCAAGGATCCCAGTGGATTTGCCAAGCTTATGGAACCCGAGAGCGAGATTGGCAGCCACCGTCAGTTTACCTACCCCGCCCTTAGCCAGGGAAACAAGCACCACATTTTTGACGTTGGGGATTCTCTGCTTGATCGGTAATCCTTGGGAAGCTGGACCTCGTCCCATTTTGGGAAGCCCAAGTGGGTTTTCGTGGGCTAAAACAGCCAGTGTTGAAAGGAGCCGGCGGATCATTGTGGGGTTTTGGTGAGGGATCGGTCCTTTGCAGCACGAGTGCGATGACTACAAAGGAGCGAGAGTACGAAGTGATTACAAGTAAATGAAACCTGATTTATACAATTTGATTCGAGTGACACAGTAAAACAGCAATTGATGAAAACGAAAGTTTATAACTGAAGAAGGACCACAGATTTGCTCATTATTGCTGGTAGACGGAAGAATCTATATGATTACCGAGGCAATCTCTCAATTGATCACCTTCTCAGTATAGGGCCCTCTTGTCTGGAAGCGTGTAGTAGCACAAATGCAGGCGGTGTTTACTCTGCCAAAAGTTCAAGGCGTACCCCTGCTGCCCTCGCTAAACTGTATCTCGAGTAATCGGAGCTGTTAAGGTTAACCTACTCGTACATGCACTAAGGATACGCGCAAATACTCTATCTCGACATTCCTATTTCGTTTGATCTCGAGTTCTATGTGGTTATCCTGTCTCTCTCTCAATACATCACTTCTAATGAGCACCACTACGCGTCTAAGCGACACTACAACCTCAAAAAGCAAGCAATTGCCTTAGTGTCGCCTGAGGTTATCGACCACGTCCAAAGCGGGCGTTGCCAAGCCCAGCCACCCAAAAAATTGGGAAATTTTGGATGAAAGTGCCTGCTCGGTTGATCAGTAATAGGGGCCCGCCGATACCCGCGGTGATCGGTCTCATCGCGCATGTCTACCATCTATGCCTTGGGCACCAAGCTTGGACGGGCTGCCATCGGCGTCATCCGAGTGCTGGGTCCCCAGCTGAAATACATTTACTCCCAGCTTACTAAGGCGAAGCAACCACCAACGCCACGCGTGCTGTCGCTCCGTCGCCTCTATGACCACAACCACCAGATGCTTGATGAAGCGCTTGCCCTCTATTTCCAGGGTCCTAACAGTTACACAGGTGAAGATCTGCTTGAGCTTCACGTCCACGGCGGCACCGCCATCATTTCTCTGGTGCTCAAAGCGATTGAGCGCCTCCACAACCCTGCAGAAGACCGCATCATCCGCTACGCTCAAAACGGTGAGTTCTCCCAGAGAGCGTTTTTGAACGGTCGTTTTGATCTTACCGAAATTGAAGGGGTTCGAGAGATGATTGATGCCGAGACCGAGACCCAACGGAAGGCCGCCGTCGCCAATATGAGGGGTGATACCCGCGCTCTATTCACTCGTTGGCGTCAGGATATCCTCGAGCAAATCGCTTTGCTCACCACCGTGATTGACTTCGGGGAAGAACAGGACCTCGATGAAGTCGCGGGTCTTTTTGCTCAAGTTGACGAAAACATTTCCAAACTTCGCCAGGAAATTCAGCAGTATTTACGTAAAGTTGAGGGTTCGCGCCTTCTTCTCACCGGTATTAATGTGGTGTTACTCGGTCCTCCCAATGCGGGTAAGCTGTCGTTGCTCAACCTGTTATCCAATAGCGATGCTGCCATCGTCAGTGACATTGCTGGTACCACTCGTGACTTAGTCAGAGTACCGTTGGACATTGAGGGGTATAAGGTAGTGGTGGGCGATACCGCGGGCATTCGAGAGCTTTCACTGGCTGATAGCATCGAGCAACAAGGTATAAGTCGTGCCAAAACGTCGTCGCAGGCGGGCGACTTGGTGGTGGTAGTGCTCCCCATTACTGAAGATATTAGTGAACTTAATGAGTTGACCACTCATTTACAGGAATTGAAAGAAGCGGGGAAACGGATAATGGTGGTGGCCAATAAAGTCGATCTTATTGATACCACTGAGGAACGCCTCGAACGTATTGAAGCTTTGGCGCAAGCTTTAAATGTCTCCACTAGTCAAATCCACGTTGTCAGTTGCACTGAGGGTGACGGTATGGAAGCTCTTTCCAATACTCTTGTGAAATACTTCAAAGATATCACGATGAGTGAGTCAGCAGACCCAGTGGTGATCTCTGAGAGAGCTCAAAATCTTCTTGTTCACGATGTTCTTTATGGTTTTGATCAATTCTCTCAGTTCAAAGACGACGAGGACGTGGTGCTAGCTACTGAACTGCTTCGACAAAGTGTTGAGGGTATTGGCAAGATTACTGGTGAAGCTATCGGCGTTGAGGAGATCTTGGGGGTGGTGTTCTCCAGCTTCTGCATTGGCAAATAATCCCACATTGTATATAGTCTACTAACATTTGTCATTCATAGTTTACAATATCATACCACGCAGTAAATAGTAACCGCCATATGATTCTTCCTCATTTTGTATCATTTGTTATCGTTGCCTTCAATTTATTGTAAATTTAGTTTTTGCCTGCACAGATCATAAACTGTGCAATCGCTACGAGCGGGACTCGAAGGTCTCGCATAGCTTACAAAAATCAGTGCGACGCGTCTTACCGCGTACTAACGATGGTCGTAGCTGAGCTTAAACGACTATTACCGGAAATACCCCAAACCCGGCTTATCCCAAGCGAGAATATCGTTGACTTTCTTGAACCACGAGAATTATGGGCGAAGCCGGGTCTACTGGAGGTTTTAGTGGACCCCCTGTGCATAAGACAGCTTAGTGAGAACCAGAAGGAATATGGCGATATATGGCAAGAAATGTTGGATGAAATTAATACTGTTGATCTTCCAAACGAAGTGACAATTGAGAAGATTACTTCCGGTGACTCGAGCCAAGAAGTGTCACCATTTTTAGCATACTTAATGGAGCACACGAAGGCTCCTGATCTTAACCTTGTCGAAGCGAAGCCAATACCATTTGGGGCTCCCCTTGACATCAACCAATTTCATTCCGAAACCAAAAAGCGAGCAACTGCGTACCCCACGCCACCGCCTTCGAAACGTCCTCGCAAGCTGGATATCGTCCCTTCGCCGAAGAAACCCTTCAAAATCAGAGATGGCGATGACTCTATCGAATACCTACAAAAGCTTAATCGCCATATTGCATTGCAAGAGTTTGATCTTGCTGACCTTCAACGCATTCTCAAAAATTGTGAGGCCATAATTAATGAAACTACGGACTGGGAAAATGTCGCCGCTGCGGCTCAAGTCATTACTACCGTATTGCTGAATAACTTGGATAAAGTCGTGTTACATGTCGATAAGTGGTACGAGGCGGTGATGTCAGTCATCAAAACCGGGATCTATGACTCTGGGGACTATGAGACACTGGCTAAGCTTCTACACGAAGTGCCATCGCAATCCGAAAATGCCGTCACTCTTGAGTACTTTTGCTTTGACGTGATCTTTGGCGATTTTACTCATGAAGGGCTTCGTCACGCTGCTACTCTGCTTTTGGTGAATTTATTCCACAGGTTTGAAGACCAGCGTGAGTTCATCCTTGAAATGGTTGCCAAACGGGCTGACATCGGTGGCAAACTTAAGTTAGCTCGTGGGGGTACTGTTCTGTTGACCACAGCGTTATTTGTGATGATGATTCAAACCAGAAGCAACATCGCTGAGCTCGGGGCGTTTGTGTGTAGTCAACTACCGTCAATGACTCACTTTATGGATGACTTACTAATTCTCCTTGATCTTCCAGAATGGCCAGGAGCGGAACAAATGGTGGCGCTGGTTATCACTCATATTGGCACCATGGTGGTGGGATCGGAAGAGATCGACATTTTGGGTAAGTTTTGCCTTAAATGGGCAGAGACTCATCTGATTGTTGGTCGTCTCGATGCTATAGAACCCTCAGTTAATGGTTTGAGAGGATACCTTAGGGAGTTTGGTAAGCTGAACCCGCGATACGCCGACGTGTATCAATATCATGAGGAGACTGAACTGCCAATTAAGCGACTTGATGAGTACTTGGCGAAGTCAACTTGGCAGCGGGTGTGGGTTACTCGTCTCCAGGGAGTTTACGTCGAGGCGTCGTCGATCTTAATTCATACCCCAGGGGCTAGGCTTCAAGCAAAAGCGGTGAGAACGCTTACGCAACTTCTTGAACATGATCGTCACCTTGTTTCTGCGGTTCTGGCAGCGTTCCCAGGATATAAAGATGCGGCTGTCACGATGAGAGACGCTTTGCTTGATCTTGTGTCTAAACTTCTTCAGCTTGGAGCTAAATTTGACGATTTTGCTAAAGTGTTGGCTCAGTTCTTGGATGATGATAGTGCCCTAGTCAAAAAGCGTACTCTCAAGGTTATTGTTGATCTTTGGGACCAAACAGCACCCCAACTTCAAACGTTATTGGTTTATAAGCTTGTGCAACACGCTGTCAATGATGAAGATGTTGGCTTTCGGGAAAAAGCCGGCCAGGTGGTATCGTTGAAACTCAGTGGAGACATCATGATGTCATTAGTGAAACTACCAGCGCTGATGGACGTGGAACATTTCGTGGTGGCATACTTCAAGTTGTTCCCTCCACAAGAAGAAATGGTGCAAGCAATTGTAGAGCAGGCTGAGCGCGAGCAATCCGAGGAGCCTCTTGCTAGTCTCGTGCTCATTTCTGAAGTGCGTTCACTTGGCCAAGACCAGCTTAGCGTGTTGCAACTGATTTTAGGTACGCTGTTGGCTGCGCTTCGAATTCTCCGACGCTCATTGACCACCACCACCCTTCGTCCTGAAACAGCGAAGGTATTCTACGAGAAACTTATCACTGGATTGGGCCAGTTTCTGGTGACTCAGCTTGAAGAGGCAGTGCCGGCACTCGTTCTTCTTGCTCGTCGCGATAAGAAAACTCATTTGGGTCGTTTTGTCAAGTCTACGATATCTCAAGTCAATCAATTGACGCGTGACCCCTCAAATCCGCAAAAGTTGGCCAAGCTTTGTCGCTTACTTGGTCTTTTCATCCACTATGGTGATTGGGAAAGCCTTCGAGAGGTAGCGGTCCCCCAAGCGCCTCAGCTGGAACTGGTGGTAAGTTTCATCTGTCGATTATTCATGGCTGTCATTTCAAACTCAAATAGTGATGAAGTCAAAGATGCGGCAGTGAACGGGCTTTTGGAGGTTTGCTCTACCCACCCACTGTTGTTCAAGAATCCTCGCATTAAACGGGTGATCAAGCAATGTTTTGAGAACCCTGCGTTGGTGGTCACCATCACCTCCAAATTGCTTTTGGTGATTGGTGGGTCAATCGATGAGAAGACGCCGCTGTTTGCTCTTGACCACAAGTCAGTGGAGATCGCCCCCATGGTCGTCGACGAATACTTTGATCATGTGCGGTCAATGATGTATAGCCTGGCCGCCTGTGCACGATTCGTGTATGCGGTGATGGAACAAGGGCTCACTCTCCCATCGCGGTGTATTGGACCCAGCATTGCGTTGATGGCTCACCATGACCCTGAATTCCGCAGCATCGCTTCACGCGGGTTTGCTTTGGCTGTGGCAAAACACGCATCGTTGATTGACTTTGAGGATGGTCTTCGCCAGGGTTTTGATTATGCCGGCCCTACTGCAAACTACATTGGCTATGTCCATCAACAGTTGGCGTTGGCAACGGCGGCAGTGCTGACGGGATCGAAACAAATTCATAATCGCCTAACGCGCAAGCTCTTCGAAGCCGTGACTCGGATGCTTGATGACGACACATTAGTGGACACGATCGCTCGCAACTTGGTTGATATGAGCTTCAGTACGGCAGCGGAGGTGTTGATGGTGGTAAAACTGATCGAAGACGAGCTTACTGGTCCCGGCCAGGACGCATTGAATGAAGCTCAAGACGACGAAGACGTGACCGAGGAAACGATGAACAAGTACTTGGTGATGGTTGAGTTATTGCGTACACTCATGACAAACTACGGGATTACCGAAGATGAACTTGAGCTGTTCAATCCGAAAAAGATCAGTAAAAAGCTGGGGAGAGTGGTCACGAAATCAGATCTCCGCCAGTTCAATCCTCCAGCCGTGACTAAGGAGAAATTCATCGAAGAGTTAGATACTTTTTGAGTTAATTAATAACATAATGATTTTCAAATTGTGTAAGTAGGTTGATTGTGAAATGATTTTGAGCCCGCGGTGGTGATAGATAGCGCTGAAAAAAGTTATCGACTACGCTATGTTTAAACGAGCATTGGCGGTGATCCCGCGCCGGTGGAAAGTCACTTACCCGGCAGTGATCGAGCTCGACGGCAAGAAGTACCCTACCGACGAGTGGACCAACGTCCCCGATTACATTTTGCTGCTTACCCGGCGCCAACTCCATCGCAATCCCAACCACCCCATTGGTATCCTCAATGACTTAATCCAAGAAAACTTCAAGGGGATGGGGTACACGATGTACGACCAGTTCAAGCCCGTGGTCACCAAGTACGAGAACTTCGATGTGTTGGGGTTCCCTGAAGACCATCCGGGGCGGTCAAAGCTGGACACTTACTACCTTAATGCCAACCACTTGTTGCGTACTCATACCTCAGCGCACGAAGCTGAGTGTTTCACCTCATGCAAGACTCCTGGCTACTTCATCACTGCTGATGTATACCGTCGAGACGAGATTGACCGTACCCACTACCCGGCGTTCCATCAAATGGAAGGAGCGCGGTTATGGTCGCGGAACGACTTGGACAAGCTCCGCCGCGACATTGAAGAGATCCCCAAGACGAACATCATTGTCGAAGACCCCGCATGGAACCCTGAAACCAACCCGAAACAACTGCACATGACTGACGAAGAAGTGACACTCTTAACGGCTCACCTTAAGAGAACCATGGAATACTTGGTAAACCAAGTGTTTGAGCGGGCGAGAGAACTGGCTAAGTTGGCGGGTTCTACTGAGCCTTACCTCAACGAACCGCTCCGCGTGCGGTGGATTGAAGCCTACTTCCCGTGGACGGCGCCGTCGTACGAGATCGAAGTGTGGTGGAAGGGCGAGTGGCTCGAATGCTGCGGTATGGGGCTTGTTCAGCAACAAGTGTTGACCAACCTGGGCTTGCCTGACGATCAGATCGGGTGGGCGTTTGGTATTGGCTTGGATCGTATCGCCATGTTGTTGTTTGGCATCCCCGATATCCGTTTGTTCTGGTCGTTGGATGAACGTTTTGCTAAGCAATTCCAAAGAGGCAAGATCCTGACGTTTGTCCCTTACTCAAAGCACCCGGGTATCAAGCGTGATGTGTCGTTCTGGTTATCGCAGGACGTGCACGAAAATGACGTTATGGAAGTGGTCAGACTGCACGGCTCTGACCTCGTCGAGTCGGTGCAATTGGTCGACGAATTTGTCCACCCTAAGACCGGCAAGCACTCGCAATGCTACCGTGTCAACTACCAGCTGATGGACCGTAACTTGACCAACGAAGAGATTAACCAGATCCACCACAACGTCGAACAACAATTGGTGAACGAGTTTGGCGTCACCATTCGTTAAAAAACTGTACATAGTATTTCTAAACACCAATTTAAGTATCCTTTCTATGTTTTTGACTGTCCTCGTTCAATCCAACTTGGGCTTCCCACAGAGTTCGCAGTCCTTTTCAATGATCATGTCCTCCATCTTTGGGTTGCACATGCGCTTGTAGAACTCGTACTGGGACCAGGGGTACGCTGTCAGATTGTGTCCATCCTTAGTGTACCACGACTGGCACCCACCGAATTCGACATTGCCAAACACGCACTTCTTCAACTCGCTTTGTACCGTTTCCTGCCATTCGTCGTGCTTTTCCGGCTTGACACGGATGTTAACGCCGTCTTCAAGAATGGGCTTAGACATCTTCTTCACAAAAATGCAGGCATTCTCAATGGCAGTGGTGACAGAAAAGTGACCCGTACCGGCATTGGGACCGACAAGCATGAAGTAGTTAGGGCAGTGCTTCACCATCATTGTTTCGTAAGCACTGACGCCTTCCTTGTCCCAAAGTTCATTGACATGGACACCATTTTCGCCGATGACATCGATTTGTTTGAGGTTCTTGCCGATGTTGTAACCAGTACAAGCAATGATGACGTCAGCAGGAAGCTCAGTGCCGTCGGCAAGCACCACCAGGTGTTCTTTAACCTGAGCGATGGTGGACTTCTTCACATCGACACGCGGGTCGTGGAGGGCCTGGAGGTAACCGCGGTCGTAGATAAGACGCTTGCATCCCACCTTGAAGTTAGGGATCAAGATGTCCTGGTATTTCTTAGGGCAGTTGTTCACCATGTAAGTGTGAGTCTTCTTGTAAGTGAACTCTCTGATCTTGCGGGAGAGCCAGCTGTTGCCCTTGAACATGGGGAACCGCAAGTCGGATAAGATGGCGACGAAGTTGCGGACCAACCAGAGGCCAAAGTAGCCGAGCTTGCTCATTCTCGTGTACAACTTGTGGAGCTGGTGGGGCACTGGCGGCATTATCCAGTGTTCCAGCCGGACCACTTGAGTGAGGCTTTTAGGGTTCATATCTTGGAGCACTTTGGGCACCAATTGTACCGCCAGACACCCGTTACCAACGACGATGACGTTGCGACCTTCAATAGGGACGTCCCAGTTGTACACAGCCGAGTGGATATAGTCACCCTTGAATTTGTCAAGACCAGGAGGGTTGTACTCGTTAGGGTACACCAAGCCGCCAGCACCGTTGACCAAGATCTTCGCCAGGTGGATGGTGAGCTGGCCCAGGTCCATGTTGCGCAAGTAGATGTCCCAGTGGTCCTCGTTCCACTCCGCCTTGGTCACAAAGTAGCCCAATAAGCAGTGGCGGCGGATGTCGTTGGAGTTGACCACCTCCAAAAGGTACTCCTGGGTCTCACCTTGAGGCGCCTGAGCCACCAGCCAGTTGGTGACCAAGTAGTTTGATATCAGGTAGTGCAACAGAGGCACGTCCAGCGACACCCCTGGGTACACGTTGGCATGCCAGGTGCCGCCGATCTCCTTGTGGCGGTCGATGAGGACGTAGTCGTCGAGACCCATGTCGTTTTGGAGGGTAAGGGCAAGCGAGATCCCGCTGAATCCCGTGCCGATACAAGCGATCTTCAGCGACGATCTGAGGGTGGGCAAGCTGTTGTTTTCGGGGACCTTGGCATTGGGGCCGAGCACCTTGACGGCGTCGTCGTACTTGATCCGGAACCGGTCCGGGTGCTTATCGGCGATGCGCGATAAGGTGATGGTGCTCATGGTGACGCTGAAGAGACGAAAACTTGTTTACGGCGAACGCAGCCATATATGCGGCGAGACTCGAGCACATGCCAGTGGCGACAGGTGGTAGTGGGGAAGCGAGGGAGGGGCGGCTGGCGTTGATCCCCCGAGGTAACTTCCGAATTTCGCATAATGCGGGGATGACACTTTACATCGGCGCCAAAGGGCGGAGCCTGTGGGGTTTTGTGGACGGTATCATGACGACACCGACGCCGACCAGCGACCAACGACCAACGACCAACGACCCAAGCCAGTGGCTAATTTTTTGGAACGGTTTACATAGCGGGAGGGCTATGGTCATGACAACTTTAGCCGAATTCCGTCACCGTCAATTGTTGGGAGGTGAGACATGTTGGCAATACTTTTTCTATTGAAGCCCGCAATCACATGGGCAAATCTTTTTGAATACGAGCTTCATGTGGTGAGGGTGGTGTCACCCCGAATTTTGGGGAGTGTAATGGGAGGGAAAGTTAAAGCCGCCATTGTTTATCGGCGGTGGGCTGACGTCGGAGTTCGCCAAACTCCGGTGCCGAGCTAGACCGGAGTAATCATGTGCGTCGACTCATATGATAGTGGCAAAAGGGAATAGCTGTATGGTAAACACGAACTGGATCTACTTTATCAATAGAGATCCCCACGTAAATGGGGTATTGTCGGCCCCTTGTCAACAATGGTCTATAGATAAGGGTGTGGGTTTCGTAGCTTGTGGTCCAGACGCTCGCGGTCACGTGGGTGCGACTGAAAATTCTTTGACCCATCAACTTAGCCCTAGACGCCAATGTTTGGTCTATTCAGCAAGGGGCTTGGCTCCACCATCACCAGTGGGATGTCCCGCTTCGCTGGCGTCACCAACTTCCAGGTGGCGTCGCCGCTTTTCGCTCGGTTCAAGTACGAGTACGCCCCCCGGTTCAAGCGGGTGCGGAAGGCGATGAAAGGCCGGGTCCCCGTGCGTACCGGGGGCTCGTTGAGAGGCAACCTGTTGGTCTACGGCCAGTACGGGTTGCGTCTCAAGACTAATGGGATGAGAATGTCGGCCAACCAGCTTCTTGCCGCCGACAAAGTGCTCAAACGTGAGATCAAAGGTTCGGGGGCTAAGCTCATGACCCGGTTTGTGTGTAACACCGCCGTGTGTGTCAAGGGTAACCAGACGAGAATGGGTAAAGGTAAAGGTGCGTTTGACCACTGGGCCGCCCGTATCACCACGGGGAAGGTGCTTTTTGAACTTAGAGGCAACATCCACGACCAGATGGCGCGCGAAGCGCTCCGTAAAGCCGCGGATAAGCTTCCCGGTCTCTACGAAATCATCACTCCCGAGTCGCCGATTCGGGCGTCGATCACCACCTGTGTTGACGCTCCCCCGAAGGTGAACTATCGCGCCGAGCTTAATAAGGCGCCCACCAAGAAGTGGGCCAACATCCAGGAGGGGAAGAAGGACATCTACCGCATGTTCAGAGGTCGCTAAAATAACTTGTACATAGAATACACATCATCAACGGAGTCACTAATTGGCGTGGTTTTTAACAATGATTACATTGCGCTACTTAACTCACTTGGTAATTATCAAATATATACCAATCATTTATTCAGTTTTTAGGATGTTAAACGGAATGTTTGCGAATAGTCAGGGTCTATGTCCCCTGCGCCTCTCCCCTGACAGGGTCCTTGTTTAATTATAGCCGATAAAGTAGATTACCGCGACCACTATTCTCTAGAGCTTCATGTATTCAATTATTATGTACCAAAACAGGGGCATTCAATGCCGGCATGAAATAAACGGATATCTTTTGGTTATGTTGTCGACGACGAGACTGGGTCCCAGCTCGCGGGCTTCGACGAGGGTATAAGCCTACTTACAACATCAACACGGCGGCGGCGGCGACGGCACCAAAGGCAACGCCGGTGAACGAACCCGCGCCTTCCCATTGTTGGACGGCGGGCGAGGAACCGTTAGGGCGGGGGCCTTCCTGAACGCCAATCACGGGAGGCTGTTGTTGTTGTTGGCAAGTGACGTGAGTGCACACGGTTTCGGTGGTGTGAGAGGTGGAGGTGACGACGGCGGGAGGGGGGTGGTCGGTGGTGCCCACGCCGCTGTCAGTTTTGGCAGAAGGAGGCGACTTGTCAGTGGTACCAACGCCGCCATTGGTGTTGGCGGGGGGGGCCGTCTTGTCGGTGTGGCCAACGGCGTCGGTAGAGATGGGGGCGTTGGCAGCGTCGGCGGTGGCGATGGCACCGGCGTCAGCGGCCTGGCCAAGGTCGGTGGGGGCACCAGCGGCGAGGCCGGCGGCAGCACCGGCGTTGAAGAGGAAGTCGGTGTACTGGGTCAAGTCCTGTTCATTGGTCAACATCCACACGGTCTGGCCGGCGTAGTTGAGTTGCGAGTACTTGGTGGCGTCGGGACCCTGAGGCGAGGTCGAAAGCACCAATCCTTCGGGGAGCTGGGCGAGTTCGTCGCCGAGTTGGTCGGCGGTGACAATGGCGGTGAACAAGGCGGTGGCGGCGATGGAGTACTTCATGGGAGCGATGGTTGTCAGGTAAAGGAGGATGTTTACCGGGTACTTATAGCGTCCATCGTACGGTAACGTATAAGGTTTAACCGAGACGTTCTGCCGCCACACAGAAAATATTATTTTATACGTCGCGTCGCCCCTAGCTTTGTCGCACAAACCTAGTGAGCAAAGCACAACACACTTCACTTGACTACGAGATACAACGCGAGAATTACGGGGAAACGCAGTACTTAGAGGTTTGAACAGTAAGCCGACACTCTTAAAAGAGAAGTCTTATATAAATTTTACTCTTTATTACTCCAGTACTTGTGGTTACTGTTCTTGGCTGGGCGCAATCCTCATCTGCCAGGGTGCGCCAAGGACACCTCGATTTGTGAGGCGGGTCGCCGAATGCGGCAAAATGATCTGGGGGTGCTAGGTGGCGACGGGACGTGCTAAGCCCATTTTCAGGGTAAACCCACCCTTAAGAGCGGGGGTACACAATGGACAAGGGTTCAGGCTGCTCGTAATCATTGTCGGCGTAGCCTAAGCGTCGCCGTACCCCTAGATTGAGCATTCCCCTGGTGGCTTTAGACGACGCAGGTACCCTGCACTATCCAACCCTCGAGCGAAAGTTTAATTTTGAGCGTGTTTCCCAACGCGACGAACTCGCACCCGTTTACGGAAAGATACACCGGAAGCTCTTCGATCTTTGTGCCCAAAGCCGAGAGCCGATGCTCCGCCACCTTTCGACCCCACGTTGACACTGTCGCCCAACTTTGGAACCTTGTTCTTTTTGCGAGCTCAAGTTTTTGTAAACTACCACAGTTATTTGTTGTTCGCTTGCTTATATACATGAAAACGATATGGCTTACAGATGATAAACTGGAGATGATATCGCGTTATACCAGTTCCTGTCGAGCAAACGACTCTTCACTAATGGCTATGCATTTTCGGAAGCTGATATATCCGGAGAGCCGATTACCCTCATCGATGACCCGATCGGTAGATCCGAGAGAACTATTTGAGACAGTTGGTGCGCAACCCCGAGGCGGTAAGTCACTATTGCCAAAGCCAAATATGCGCGTTGAGCTTTAGGTCACAAACGATCTCAACTATATGCTGCTGGGGAATGCAGAAACAATACCCGTGTGGGGCAAAACTGTCGGAAAGCTTTCTTTTTCGATTTGTCGGTTGACGAGCCGAAAACATGCCCCGATCGTGACTTTGTGGGTGATCCGAGAACAGCAATCGAACGTTCCTGTTCGGTGCACCACATCGCCACCCTGCCCGATGACATATTTTGAGCACCACAATCACGCTTTAAACCCTCAAAACGACTTTCCACATCAAGAAGGTCGTTCGTTACTGCCATTTCAGTCGTCAGCCACCGCATAAGTCACTTTAATCCACAACGAGCACGTTGAACACTGGACGACAATCATGAACCCGCCACTGCCGTCAGCAGTGCCACACTCATCCAAATCGGTCTCAGTTAACGACATACTGCGGTGACCAGTGCATCGAGGACAGTCAAGAAACCACACGTACTCTCCATCGACTTCGTCCTCAGTGAAGTCTTCAAGCAGATACACGTCCAAGCCGTCGGCAGTGACATCGAAACCTTTCACCTTGAGATCATGTTTGAACTCAGCGTCGTACTGTTTCCTGGACACGGCGTCGCGGAGAATGGCGTAGGCCTGTTTGAGGGTGGTGACCTCGGAGTTGTCTGAAGATTGCGATGACTTGTCGGGATGGGCAGCAAAGAGTTTATTCTTGTACGCCTCTTTGATCTCGTCGCTGGTGGCTTGGGCAGACACGCCGAGCACGTCGTAGTAGCTACGCATGGACGGAGATGGCGGCGTCGACGTCGCTGGCGCCGGCGATGAAGGACGATGATGTCTGTATGCAGGTGGCATGTTAGACCCTAATAAAGAGCCTCGAATAAATTCGTCACAATGATACAAAATCAAAGGCTTTTCGTACTTTTGGTTTTTATCCTATTGTATGAACTCTTGCTTATGGTTTGTTGAATAACTCGTATTATCGGTTTACTATTGACACTCCATCTATCTAGGATTTTTCCAATTATCGAAACCAATCGTTCGAATCTCTCAAAATTTGAAACCAGATTATCTTATATGTAAAGTAAAGTACTCCAAAAAACCTCGCTAGGAAACACTACTTGAATTGTATCACATCAATTTCGTACATTTTACTCAGTCTCTGCCATTGTCATTGTCGACCAGCCGCACAGCGTGTTGTTCGCACTATTTTCACCTCACCGGAGCCATGCCTGTCAAACGGAAAGCCGGGCTGCAAGCCGGCGGAGAAGCCAAGCTGGCGAAGACTGACGATCTCAAGTCGCAGTTGCTTGACTTGCTCAAGGAAGTGGAGCTGCTTGAGGACGAAGAAACCAAGACGCGGTGGGCGGACCCTTTCCTCCGCCTCGTACCCAAAAAACAGTTTCCCGATTACTACGAGATCATTGATGAACCGATATCACTTTCCGAGATCACCAAAAAGGTCAAAAGCAACGCTTACGCGTCTAAAGACGAGTTTGTCGACGACTTCGAGCTTATGCTTCTGAACGCGCAACAATACAATGAACCGGAGCTGTGGATCATCACCGGGGCAGAAAAGTTGGTCGAATTCGTGAAGAACCCTCCCAGTCCCAAGCTCAAACTTAAATTGAACACCAAACGCACCGAGGAAGAAGATATCACGTTCGGTCTGTTGCCAAAGGTGTGTATCGCCCTCATGGAAGAGGTGCGCGATCACAGCTTTGGCGAGGACGGCATACTTAGTGGTCCGTTCTTGGACGATGTTGATCTTGAAATCTACCCAGACTATACTCAGTTCGTTTCCCATCCCACTTCGTTCCGCACCGTCATCAGCAAACTTGAGGCTCGCAAATTCTTTAGCCCTAAACACTCCTTGCTCGACAACTTGGCGCGTTTCGCTAAAGAAGCTCGTTCCATTTTCACCAATGCTCAGCTTTATAATGATCCGGAGCTGACCATCTACCAAGACGCCGAACAGTTGTTGGAGTATTTCAACGGACAGTATGATGTCATCAAGGACCGGTTGGAAAAGCAACTGCAGGCAAGACAACGCGCCAGAATCCAACGGGAACAGGACCAAATTGCCGCCCTGCAAGCTCCCGCTCACACAATTGAGGAGGCCGTGAAAGCTGAAGAAGCCAAACCGGTCGTGGACGTGGTTACCGATAAACTGTTGGCGAATAACATGGGCAAAACCGCTGCTAACCTTCCGGCGGACCAATGTGTTATCCAGGGATTCTTGTTCGGTACTGCTGCCGCCACTGCCGCCAATGTTGCCAATACGAAGCCGCATTTCGGTCAGCTGAACCCTGCTCGACACCTTTTCCCCTCTCACCGGTTTGGTGTGACGCAACTGTTGTTTGACTACAAATTCAAACCTACCGGTTACGCCGTGCAGCTGTACGTGATTAATCTACCCCCAGGGGCCAAACCTCTGGTTCAAGTACAAGCGCTGCTTCATCAGTACTTGTACAGTCTCAAACGGAGAGACTTGGATGCTGGCAATGGGTACCAGAACCTGACTAGCGATGAGGATTTCCAATGTACTCTTAAGGTGAATGAAGACGAAATCCTTAACACCAATGCTGAGAAGGTTCACAACAATTTACTTGCTTTGAACTACGGATTCAAGTTGGCTCACGGGTTGAATGTAATTGAATTTGAGATCAAAACTGCCCCTCCTGTTGTCAAAAAGATTAAGGATCTGAGTGAGCAGGAAGAAGACGAAAGCGGCGGCCGCCACACTCGTCACCAATTCCAGCAGATGAAAATGCTGTGGGATGTTGAAAAGATAACACTTTATGTCAACTACAACGCTTTTTGAGCGTGAAATGTGTCGATAACAAATAATGTACTATAATGAATTGAAGATAGATTAATTAAATTATGTCGCAAACAGCTCACATATTATGGCGAATTCCAATGAGAAGACATAGATGGGGTAATCAAAATACTCGTATTTTGGGGTTACCATTCATGTTCAAGCTGAAAGAGTTCTAAAAATGTCCAGAATTAGGAAAACACAAAATGCATCTAGTCCTACTAACGTACCATAAACCGAATTCCGAATTTCGGCACAGTGGGTCAATGGTCTAGTGGTACGATGCCTCCTTCGGGTTAAATCTCGAGCGCCTAACAGCGTTGGAATTGGAGGAGATCCCGGGTTCAATTCCCGGTTGACCCCTTTTTTTGGTTTTTAGCTCAAATTAGTTACAGATAGCTTCTACAATGATAAAGCCTAGTTATTTACTTTAGTCTATTTCCCTTTGTCAATTTACCTGTTCGAATAGTTGCATTTTTTCATAACTAGGTTCGCATGTTTGACTTACCTATTGATTATATTGATTATATATATACATGAATGTCGATCACCAAACGTCCTCAAGGTATCGACCGTTATCCTCCATATCTTTCACGTACTTTTCAGCTTCTGCAACTCCAGACTCTTTTATGATTTCCGTTATCGTGAGCTTCGTTTGTTTAGGCATATTCCCCAGAGCACCACAGACATAGAAGATGGCTTCCTTCTCGAGAATCAACTCTGCCACCTTTTCCTTGTTAAGCCACAAGCCGTCCTGAACGTACCGAGGTTTGTAGCCTTCCTTGCGTGAGAAACAAGGGTGTAAAGTGAAATTTGTTGTCTCCGCGAGATGTTTCCACTCCTTCGGAAACAAAAAGTCTTTTTCATCATTTCTGACACCGTAGAATAAATGCATTTCTTGTTTGGGATTACCCTTAGCTACTGTTTGGGCCAATGCTCGCATGGGGGCAATACCGGTACCAGGAGCTACCATGATCAAGGGCGGAGCGGGGTTGTCGGGGAGTTTGAACTGAAGCCCCATTTGTGCTAATGAGAAGACAATGGTATCGCCTTGAGAAACTTGATCTTTGAGCCACTTAGTGCATAAACCTCGACGAAGACGTCTGAGGATCGTGCGATACTCCACCACACCAATCACAAGCTCAATACGGTTTCCGTTAGGCGCCAGAGCGATGGAGAATTGGCGCGACCGGATCTTGGGGAAAATCTCCCACACGTATTCAAGAGGAATGGTCATGTTGTTCAGGAACTCTTGTACAGTTTCCAATATCAGGCGGCGAGGCCGGTTAGCGTAGTCGTAAATTTCATCTGGGTATTCAAGCTCGGAGAACTCCTTAAGCTTATCACGCTCACGCTCACCATCCTCAGTAGAACCGTCGACGAAGTGCCAGAGGTGAGCGAACAACGCACGCTTGGGAATAGACCATATATCGAGGTGGTACTTAACCAATTGACGAAGAGTGACACCCTTGAGATCAATCATGCCACCATCGGCTTGAGGGGGGTCACCTTTGAAAATAAGCGGCTTGTCTGCCACCGCTAACCAGTGAGGTTGAGCCTCGAGGAAGTCTTGTACCGATTGGTCATCATTAACAGGGTAGAGGGCGCAGGTGTCGCCTGCAACGTAAGAAATGGGAGTGGTGGATTCAAGTACCACATGACGAATATCCTGGAAATGATCAGGCGTTGTTGCCCGAGTGTTTTCAAGCACTTTTGCTTGTAAAAGCTCACTTCTCGTTAACGAAAGATCTCCTGCTAACTTTGTATTTTCAAGCTGGTGAGCAAGATCAATTGATTGGTTAGGATCTAGAGCGATTGTCGTTGCGGGTGTCACTGGCTGCGTATCATTATAGATGAGATTACGCATAAGCTTACTACCAAGTCTTTCGACCAACTTTGCCTCCCACTCTTTGTAGAAACCATCGGGACCAAGCTCTCCCATTTCATCAGCTTCACACCGAGGCAGGAACTCCTGAGCCCCAAGCTGAAGGAACCGCTTGTGGATCTTTCTGATGGCCCAGTTAAACCGGGAATACAGCGAGTCGCCGAGGCCAAACAGAGTGAATTGTATGTGGTCCAAGAAGTCCAGAGGCAAGTCGTCTCTCAATAAAAAGCGGAATAGCTGGCGGGCGTTACGGGGGAGCAGCCCTTGGCCAGTAGTCAGACATATGAGCACCAAGAGTTTTGTATCAGTGATGAGTCGTTCGAGGGGGAAATCGTCAAATGCAGACACGTGGGACTTGACGCCATAGTAACGTAGGCGGACGGCAAGGTATTCAGCGTAATCCTGGGCGTTCCCGGTTTCTGAACCGTAGAGGATGGTAAACATAGGTAAAGCCGATCGGCATTGGTCACGTGAAGAAACGGAAACACCAACTGCACCACGATAAGCGAGGCCGCTGGCGGTTATGATTGAGAATGAGTGGTAGATAATGTTATGAAATAGCCAATGAATACATGGAGAGACACGATGATCAGGTCGAGACAATTAATTCGAGATTTTCAAACAATTTGTCAGATTCAAAGATTGCACTCTATCAGTATCAAAAATGGCTTTAGATAGCATATAAGTTCAATTACAGCACCACTAAACTAGTTATTTTGTCATATAGTTAAAGTACTTCTTTTTAAACAAGTGATTCACTGAGTATTACAATCTTGATACTAAATGTTATGACGAAATTTCATCGAAATATTGGAGATTTAACCAAACTAGTTTTCTACGATATCAGAGTATGTGGTTAGATTCATTTAATACTATACTAATCCCACAATTTGGTGTCATTGCTTATCTTTTCATTTCCTCTCGACTGCTTTGGGAGACCTCATCGCACGTTATCGGGGCGCGCTCATCGCGATCTCACCCCATGCTGAAGACCACCGACATTGCTGTGTCCAAGTACCACGACGAGCCGCTGGTGGCGGTGGCATCGTTTTTCAACGGGATCACCGTGCCCCCGCTGATCCCTTTCACTGGCTACGTGAACAAGCGCCAGCGCCATGTCCTCCATGGCGAGGGCCAAACCCTCGATTATAACGGCAGTGACGACGCCGCCGGCGATAACGACTACTACGTCGCGGTGTACGACGCCAAGCTGAAGCTGATGGAGGTGTTCCCCGCCCCCGTGGTGGAGGCGCTGGTGACGGCGCGCCTGAAGCGTCGCTTCGACGGGCCCGACGTCAAGCTGTCGGGCCAACGGTTCGCTACTCAGCGGAACGCCTTGGGCGAGGCCTTCGGGACCAAGAAGGCGAAGCTGGCCATCGCCAACCTCGAGCGCAACCGTATCGACGCCGACAAGTTGCTGGGGATGGAGTTGGACATCGTCGACACTGTGCGCGAAGGCACGGGGCTGTTACCGTCCAAGGACCACATGGAGAAGCTGGTGGTGGAGGCGCGCCCCACTCCTCCTTGCAACCCCGACGCCACGCTGGTTTCCGAAGTATACCCGGTGCTGGGGATCTTGCTGAAGGCGGAGTTGGCGGCGATCAGAGTCCAGCCGATCATGGACGAGCTCGACCACGAGGCGCAGTTGGCGATGATGCCCCACCTGAAGCTGGCGTACCTCGCCAAGCACTTGCCGGCGGCGGTGGCGCTGGGCAACACCCGCAAGGTCCAGTTGTTGTACTACATTTCCCTCCTCTTGGGGGTGTACGCCTCGCGGCGAGTACGCGACAAGCAGATGCTTCTGACGCGGCTCCACGAGCCGGCGGCGGTGCTTTTGGACGGGGTGTTGGAGCGGTTCACCGTGCCCCGCACGCTGACGTTTGGCAAGCTGAAGGACCGGCTGTTCACCATCGACCCCCACCACGAAGACAAGCTCTTGTGCTACATGCTTGCCCTCATGATGCACGTCGACAGCTTCCTCGTCGAGTTGCCGCCGTTGGCCAATGAGCTCCAGATGAAGCCGTTGCGCCTCGTCAGTTTGTTCAAGGCATTGGGCGCCACCATCAAGAGCGCCACCGTGGGCCAGGCCGAGGCGTTCGGCGTGCCCAAGTCGCAAGCGGCCAACCACAAGGTGGCGACGTTGAAGGTGCCGTTCAAGTTGCCGCAAATGACTAGAATCGCGCGTAAGACCTAGTCGTCATGATATATAGAGTACAAATACATTACTGGGCATCGGACCCGAAACCATTGGAAACTGTTTAATCTAAGAGGACCATAATCGTGTACATTTCGTTACTTATGGTTTATGGGTTTTCAAAGTAGAGAGCGCACATCTGGTCGTTGATTTGGTCCATCACCAAACCCATGATTTCGCCCATGACCGACTCAAGCTGAACTTTCACTTGGCACATGTCTTTAAGCGCTTGGGTGATGCTGACTAAAGCTTCGTAGAGGTCACCAATGTTTTTGTCAAACTGAGCTTTCTGGTCGGGATCGTGCCAATGCAATTGTCTCGTCTCGTCGCAGACTCGTTTGATTCTGGCTAACTCAATGTCAAAAGCGTCCACGTCCACTTGGAGGGCTTCCTTAATGTTGGTCATTTTTTAGTCTCGAGAGCAGATTTGCTTAGCACGGGCTTTTAAGTTGTATTTCATATGCAATGGGCTCATCGTACGGTTCTTTCCCTAGTTGCCTATCTTGTCATGAATATTGGTGATCACTACGACTTTTCATTAGAATCGAATGGTCAAAAGAAGCACATGGTAACTGATTTCCTATCCTAAAGTTGTCATTGACAGAAAGGTCTATCTTCTTCAATGGTCGGTTTTAGCGACAATTCATGAATCAAGAGAACGAATACTCGATGACTACCAAATAAAAAGCAATCACTTTCAAACTAGTAAGGAAATAGAAGTCATTGCAGTTGTCGATTTACCTTGTGAAGCTCCTGGGAAATTTGTACTAAGTATGTGAGTGAACCACTTTGAGCAAGGACTAGTATAGGTGCCAATTACTACAGATACAACCATGCCAGACCATCAATTGTCATTGCCAATTGGCTAAAGACAACAATATAGAGGAGTCAGCCAACTTTTCATTAGGTTTCACCAACTACTGGAACAAATTTTCAGCAACGTTAATTATAAATACATGCGTGGAGACCAATCTAAACGGGGACGTCTTCGGGGTCGGGGTTGTGGACCCAGTGCTTGCCGAAGTAAGGGATCTTCAGGTAGAAGGTCTGTTGGAACAACGGCCAGCCTTCGGTGAAGGTAGCAATGGCACCGACGGCAGCACCACCCCAGAGCACCGCGTCGGGCAAGAAACCCTTGATGGTGTTGGCGTTGATGTTCTTGAAGAAAGGCAAGATCTTGTAGGCAGGAGCCTTAACGTACTAAAAGTTAGCAAGGATTGGAAACGGACATCGTCGTGATTCGACTTACCAGAACCATGGTGATTAACGTCAGCGGGAAAAAAGTCGCAGTTTATCATTGGGCGAGATTTCAGTCACGTGATCAAGAGATTTACTGTGGATAGACTCTACGCTAATATTCATACTCCAGAAATCAATCTACGCCGAATGCTTTTGAAAGTGTTGGTACAAAAGGTCTGATGCATTTATTATGGATACGTTTTTTAGCAAGCGTCGGGCTGGGCCATGATGTAGCCGATGGTCTGGCCCACCGTCTTCAACGCGTCGGCGTCGTCGTCGGGGATCTGGATGTTGAATTCGTGTTCGACTTCCATCATCACTTCGACAACGTCCAACGAGTCGAGCCCCAAGTCCTGGGTGTAGCTGGTTTCCTCGGTGATGGGCTTGTCGGTGCCGACCTTGTCGTAACCTTCCAACAACTCGAGCACTCTCTGGGTGGCGACCTCGCGAGTCAATTCGGGGAACGCCCCGTAGTTTCTGATGGCCATCATCGGTCTGGCGACGGTGGGCACCCGCATGGCGGGCGCTCTCAACGCGGTTCTGGCAAACGATCTAAACATGGTCGGGGCAGATGGGTAAGCATCATTTTTCGCTGGTTTTCATTGGCGCGACCGTCGCAACCGGGGCCCCTCCACCGTAACTCCAACGATGATTTTATCATGAAAAATCTCGTGATTTGATTATCAACAATTGTAAAACTAATAATGATACGTGATACTCTTACTCAACTTGAAATATTGCTAGTTTTGTGGTATATAACATATTAGACTAGGCTGGCTTAAATTGTGCGAGTGCTGTCGAAATCACCAATTTCATCAAACCAGTGATGGTTTCATTGAGTCAATTTAAATACCGTGGCCTATCAATTATCCCAATCAAATCTAATTGATATTCGTTCTAAATATAAATCTCTAAACCTATAGTTCAGTTAAATTGTTAACTGGCTCCAACCACTTTTCAGGCGCGCGGTGAAAAACTTCTCCATACGATGTTCAGCTTGTTGAAGCAGGCGATGCGGGCGCCGAGAGCGCTCGTGTCCACGGTGTCGCCCACTCTGTACATGATGTCGATCAGCAACCACGTCCCGTTGGCGTCGCGGTTTGCTCCGGGGGCGCTGAAGATGCAACAGCGCTTCGCTACCTTGAACCAGATCAAGTACGGCAAGCAGGGTATGCCTCCCAAAAAGAACCACACCCGTACCCCTGATTTTGACGGCAACCCGTTCAAAAAGGGGGTGGTGTTGCGGGTGATGATCCTCAAGCCGAAGAAGCCCAACTCCGCTCAGCGTAAGTGTTGCAGAGTGCGGTTGACCAACGGCAACGTCATCTCGGCGTTGATCCCCGGGGAAGGCCACAACTTGCAGGAACACAACATCGTCCTTGTCCGTGGTGGTAGAGTGCAAGATATTCCCGGTGTCAAGTACCACTTGGTGAGAGGCGCCTACGATTTGGCCGGTGTCGCTAACCGCCAAACGCTGAGATCAAAATACGGGGCGAAGAAGCCCAAGGACTAAACGCTATACTTGGCTGAGTCCTGCCTCTGTACATAGCATACTAATGACCCACGACGTATATTACTTAGTTTGGCTCGAGTGCAAATTGCAACTTTTGCCAAGGGTAGCCATTGACTACTATACAGCCCGCACCAGCCGCCGCCTCTAGAGATTATTCATCGTTTACTCAAATCGATGACGTAGTGCGTTAAGCAGCGCCAACGGGGCCAGCGTTATTCGCGGTTTTAATCGAGCAGTGCCCCCGGGTGTCATCCCCAAAGCTCACAGCAACTTCTGTCATCCTCCCCAAAGGGTCTAGTTTGTGGCTTCCATGCCCCTATTTGCCTCCCCCCACCTCGCACTAAACAATGCTCGCTTTTGTGGGATTGCAGGGCACTGCCTGCACCGACGGAAGTTCCACGCAGCGAGCACCTCGAGAGGATATTAGTTTCTTAGCCCCATCACCCTGCCCCCAAATTGGGGGTGCTAGTGACAGCAGCGCTACTCTCACTCGATGCAATTCGTTTATTACTAACGGTAAACTTAAAAGCTTTTAGACCACACTAAAAATCCCGCAATCGCCAGCTATCGCCCGAAGCCAGCGGTGCCACCCGACGACCCCTGTATCCCCCTCGACCGCCGCGGGACGAAGTAGCGCGGCGCACATATCAATTGCGCGGTTGCGATCTGGAGTGGTCGGAATATATAAGACCGAGCGCGCTCAATTCGTTGCCACTACACCCTCTCAGACACCACCAGCAGCATGGCGGTGACCAAGGAAGAGGAAAGACTCAAGAACTACGTGTACCGGCGGTGGGGGCCCTACCTCGCCGAGCGGCAATGGGCGACGGTGCGGGAGGACTACTCCCATGACGGCAACGCCTGGGACGACTTCCCCTTCAGCCAGCTGATGCTGAGAGCCTACCGGTGGGGGGAAGACGGCCTCGCCGGGGTGCTGGACAAGCACCAGTTGATGAACTTGTCGCTCGCGATGTGGAACGGCAAGGACGACATCTTGAAGGAACGGTTGTTTGGCCTTACTAATGGCCAGGGCAATCACGGCGAGGACGTCAAGGAAAAGTACTGGTACCTCGACAACACCCCGTCCCACCTGTACATGAAATACTTGTACAAGTATCCCATCAACCGGTTCCCTTACGAGCAATTGGTGGAAAAGAACGCCGAGCGGTCGCGGGTTGAACACGAGTACGAGCTTGAAGACACCGGCATTTTCGACGAAAATGAATACTTCGACGTGTTGTTTGAGATGGCTAAAGGCGACGACGACCCTGAACAGTTGTTCTTCCGTGTCACCGCCTACAACCGCTCGCTGAAGCCGGCGCCGTTGCACTTGGTGCCCCACATGGTGTTGCGGAACACGTGGCTGTGGGGGAATTTCGACAAGAACCTGGGCCAGGAGCTGCTGGCGTCGCGCCCCTACCTTAAGCAAGTCGACGACTACACCATTGAGGTGAAGACAGAGCGTTATGGCATCCGCTACTTGTCGTTTGCCCCCGCCCCCGGTCCCACCGAAGAGTCTGACGACGTGTTCCCGGAATTCTTGTTCACCGAGAACGAAACTAACATGAAGCGGTTGTACGACCAACCCAATGCTCAACCCTACGTTAAGGACGCCTTCCACGACCACATCATCCACAACACCCCTGACGTCGTCAACCCCAAACACGAAGGTACTAAATTCGGTGCCTGGTTTAAGTTTGACGAGGTTCCTGCCGGCGATTACGTCACCTTGCGGTACAAGTTGGAGAAGAACCAGACTGACGTCGACGAGTTTGAGGTCGATCAAGTGTTCCAACGCCGTCAGCACGAAGCCGACGCTTTCTACTGGAGAGTGACGCCGTTGCCTATCCCCGACGAATTGAGACAAGTGCAAAGACAGGCGTTTGCTGGGTTGTTGTGGACGAAACAGTTCTACTACTTTGTCCACCACTTCTGGCAAGAAGGTGACCCCAACTTCCCTCGTCCTGCTCCCAACCGGGCTGGCGGCAGAAACAAAGAGTGGAAGCACTTATTTATTGATGACGTGTTGTCACTCCCTGATAAGTGGGAATACCCATTCTTTGCTGCCTGGGACACGGCGTTCCACTGTATCCCATTTGCCATGATTGATCCTGACTTTGCCAAGAACCAAATCGATTTGCTCACTCGGGAATGGTACATGCACCCCAACGGGCAGATTCCTGCCTACGAGTGGAACTTCTCTGACGTCAACCCTCCCGTTCACGCGTGGCTGGCGTATCGGATCTTCAAGATTGAACGTAAGATGTACGGTCGGGAAGACTTTGATTTCTTGGAACGGGTATTCCACAAACTCATGCTTAACTTCTCGTGGTGGGTGAACCGTAAGGATGCCGAAGGCAACAATGTGTTTGAAGGTGGTTTCCTCGGCTTGGATAACATTGGTGTGTTCAATCGGCTGGAAGAATTGCCTACGGGTGGGCACTTGGAACAAGCCGACTCCACTGGGTGGATGGCGTTCTTCGCGTTGCAAATGATGCAAATTGCATTGGAATTGGCGAAGAAGAGACCTGTCTACGAAAACATGGCGGGTAAGTTCTTTGAGCACTTCACGATTATCGCCGATGCTTTGACGTATAACCTGAGCAAACAGGCGTCGTTGTGGGATGAGACAGACAAATTCTACTACGATCTGATCCGTTTTGACGACAACCACACCGAGGCGTTGCCGGTGCGATCGCTTGTGGGGCTTATCCCCTTGTACGCGCTGATGACGCTTGAACCTGAAGTCCTCAAGCAATTCCCCACTTTCACTAAGCACTTGAACTGGTTCATCCGTACCCGGAAGGGGTTGGCGCTGCGTAACATTGCCCTGATGGAAGAAAAGGGGGCTGGCGAGCGTATTTTGCTTGCCCTCGTTGACAAGGACCGCTTGGTGGCAATCTTGGACCGTATGCTTAACGAAGACGAATTCTTGTCTGACTACGGTATTCGTTCGTTGTCCAAGTACCACAAGGACCATCCGTTCGTGATGAACGTCAATGGCCAAGAATACAAGGTCGAGTATCTCCCTGGCGAGTCAGACCTGGGGATGTTTGGTGGTAACCTGAATTGGCGTGGTCCTATCTGGTTCCCCGTCAACTTCTTGCTTGTGGAAGCGTTGCAACGTTTCTACTTGTACTATGGCGCTGACCTCAAAGTTGAGTGTCCTAAGGGTTCAGGCACCTACTTGAACCTTGCCCAATGTGCCCAAGAAATTGAGTATCGGTTGATGCACTTGTTCATGCCTGACGAAAATGGTAACCGTGCCTGTAACGGCGACAGCAAGCTCGACAACCATGACCCGTACTTTAAGGACTACGTGCCGTTTTACGAATACTTTGATGGTGACACTGGTCGCGGTTTAGGGGCGCTGCATCAAACTGGATGGACTTCGTTAGTGGCGAAGTGGATCCAGGATCACGGGATGTCGTGTCGCATGCCTCGTACCCCTACCAGCTCTCTGACCCGCCGCAACTCGTTCTACCTGCCGCTGGACGACGAGCTGAAGGAGAACGAACAGATCAAGCAGTTTGCTCCGAAGCTGGGCCCGTTCCCGGGTACGTTGCTGCGGAGAAAGAGTGGCAAGTCGCTTCTCAACTTGACTACCCACGCCCTTGACATGGATGATGAAGAACGCAAACACAATGCCACCAGTACCACCCAAGGAATCGCCCAGACGGTGGCTCAGCTGGAGCTTATCAAGGATTTGGTTAAGGACGACTTGGAAGAGTTATCTGATAAGAACGAAGAGTATGACGACCAATTGATCCACGAAATCAAGAACGCGTTCAAGAGCTGGTCGTGCAAGGATGATAATGACATGAGCGAGTTTGACGAACTTGAAAACCGCTTCGACCGCAACGAATAGACGTGGAATGCTTTCTAGACAACCTCAAATACATGAATTGAACTTCTCCGTCATCGATTTTCTGCACATTCTGTTACTCCAATTGATCTAGCTAGCCAACTTTAAGAAGATTACTAATTACCAGATGGTTCTAAGGTCCAGCCTCGCGGTGAGTGTCGGTTACATGGAACTCATGTGAAAAATTTGGGGAATGCGGAGCCATAGTACTCATAACGCTGATTGTCTCAGGGCCGACGGAGACAAGGAGACAACTAGAATCCTCATGTGATACAGGTTAATTAAACTTTGGAAATGGCTTTGATCAAGATTCCAACCGCCACATGTTTTAGTAGCTAGCGTGTCTATAAGTTTCGAGCCCCGCAATTTTTTGTAATGGAGGTGAAGCGCTGGTTATTGGGGGGCGACATGTAGAAACCATGGGGAGTTGTCAACGGGAGTGTGTCATGCTTACCGGTTGGATAAACCTTCAATGCCGCTGCCTGCTGACCTAAGCCTGTGTGACTTTGATTAATTGGCCAGCTCTAATTGTTTATGGTCAGCTCAATTGACGATTTTAGCTTTACGCCCCCACTACCTCCACGTTCTAGGGGTTTTTCCCCTCTTTTCGCGAATTAAGTTACTAAGTTGTGTCTCGCGAGCCTTGTATCCGAGAGATTTTGATTGACAACGTAAATCATACATACAACATCACGAGCAATCACCGCATAGGAGTGGCACTTTATCTCTGGTCGACCACAGTAAATTTCGCCAGCGAGCGTGTCATTCTGTCCCCGGGTTTGAGCCCCATTACTTTAGTTAGCCGCGTCAGTCACTCCCCCCCACCATGATCCGTGTAGCCGACAAAACGGCTACCGTTGGCACGGCCGAGAAAAAAACGAGTTGAGACCTGCAGATTGTTAAAGTGACCATTTGTCATAGCACCTAAAAGAGGGGAACAACGAGGGCCTCGGCTCCCATCGCTGGGGGAGTGTCACCCGAGTCGAATGCCGTAGCGGATTTTTTAGGTTTTTTCTGAGTTAATTTGCTGATTTTATCAACAAAGTCTACAGGTGGTAATGCCGCGGGTAGGCCAGGCGACATAGGGAGCGGTCACTCTTTGGCGCCTCGTTTCTTTTTTCAGATGAAGGGCTGCGCTAAGATAATCACTCGGAACGGATACGCGCGTATGCAGGGCGATCATTTGATGACACCCAGTAATTGGCACGGCGGCGCCGTAGCACTATATATATCTAAACGGTAATTCCCCCACCACCTAGACTCATTACCTGATATGGATTTACCCATCTACCGCGAGCATTGGACTCAGGGGCGAGAGGACGTCAAGTTGGACATCCGCTACGAGTACGGCGTGTTCCGCTTACTCCAGGAACCGTTAATCGTCGTCCAGCACCGCGACCAGAACTGGAGCCAGTACCTTGCCGGCACCCAGGTGGAGCCGTTGCGCCTCTTTGACAGTGAAGGCAACACTGTGGGGTACATGCGCGAGAACTACAGCCTCGGGTCGCTGATCAAGCTGCTGGTGATCCACCGGGGGCTGAGTGACCGCCCGTTCTCAGTGGAGGTGTTTGATAAGGAGTGGAACCTCGTATTGTACATCAAGCAGCAATCGAGCTGGGACAAGAAGGAACGCATCAACGTCTACATTCCTGGCCACGACCAGTTTGGCCGGTTCCAGGCGAAGCCGCTCGGGTGTGTCGACATCACCGGCCCATTGGCTAAGCGCGACTACAACTTGAAAGTGTATGACGTCGCGGAAGAAAAGTTCGACTCATTTGGTCACATCATCACCAGCCCCCGCGCCCTGAAGTTTGCTGTGCGCACGCTCGTGCCCGGGGACGCGGTGGAGACGACCATGGCCGGCGTCGATATCGACTGGAACGGGCTCAAGCGAGAGGCATTCAAGCGGGTGCCCATCTACGCCGTGAGATTTGATTTGCAAAACCTGCCCGGGGTAGAAGAGATCTACCACAACATCGATGGCAACCTCATGTATGACATGCGGGCAGTGCTTTTGGCAGCGGCGATCTCGTTGGATCATGCCTACTTCTCGAAATTTAAGTGATCCCTGTATAATTAGCTAACGAATTAACGACATTACGATAACATCCATCCCTTACACCAATTTGCAGCCACGGCGTTCGTTCGCTGCAAGATGGGCGCGTCGCATTGTTCGGCGTCACAAAAGGAAGGCACCCAAGGTGATGTGAGGTGTACCCAAATGGTGGTGTTTTTGTGAATCCAATGGGTGAGTTAGTCAAGTATAAACAGCGTAAAATACACAGACAAGTGCAAAACTCATGATATCACTTGTAATTTATATAATCACCGCAATCAAGTGAAACTACTAGCTCAAAATTTGATTTAAAAGTCGCATGATCTTAGAGGCTATAGTTGATAAATGGGCATAGCTATAAGGCGATCAAATAGAATGTTCGTCTACATTGTTTGTACTGAGGTCATAACGTTTGCAATGATATTAAAGTCATTTAGGCCTGGACGATTCTCACGGTGTTGGAGTGGCCCGAACCTCTGGTCCAGCCTTGCACGGTGATGATCGAGTCGCCCTTGCGGATCAATCCCAAGTCGATGGCTTCCGACACCGCCCATCTCAAACGGTTTTCGACGTCTTCTTGCCAGTTCTCGGCCTTTTCTTGCTTGTAGATGAAAGGGTACACACCACGGTACAAGTGGCAATAACGGGCAGCTTCCAGGTTTCTCGTAACCATAAGGATGGGCACGTTAGGCTTGTACTTCGACACCAACCGCGCCGACAACCCCGAGGTCGACAACACCACGATGGCCTTAGCATCTTGTTCGTACGACCCCGACACGGCGGCAATGGCACAAGTTTCGGTGGTGGGAGTGGGCTTGGTGGCAAGAGCCCGGAGCGAGTTGTGGAGAGGCAAGTAGGCGATGGCCTTTTCGGCGGTGATGGCGATTTGGTGCATTATCAGCACCGCTTCTAAGGGGTAGTCACCCTTGGCGGTTTCACCCGACAACATCACACAGTCGGCGCCGTCCAAGATGGCGTTACCGACATCGGACACTTCGGCACGAGTGGGTCTGGGGTTGATGGTCATCGACTCCAACATCTGGGTGGCGCAAATGACGGGCTTGGCGGCCAAGTTGCACTTGGCCATCAACTTCTTTTGCACGACAAACACTTGCGGGGCGGGGATTTCGATACCAAGGTCACCACGGGCAACCATGACCCCGTCGGTTTCCTCGAGAATCTCGTCGAAGTTTTCCACCCCTTGGTGGTTTTCGATCTTGGCGATGATTTGGATGTTGGCACCCTTTTCGCCGAGCACCTTTCTGATGTGGCGGATATCTTCGGCGGTACGGATGAACGAGGCAAAGATCATTTGCACGCCGTTCTTGACCCCGAACTCCAAGTCCTTCTTGTCCTTTTCCGAAAGAGCGGGCAAGTCGACGTTAGTGCCGGGCAAGTTGACCCCCTTTCTCAGCGAGATCTTACCGGCGTTGACCGAGCGCACCTTCAATTCGTCGCCGTTGATGGCGAGTACTTCGAACGAAAGCACCCCGTCGTCGACGTAGACGTACTTGCCGGGTTGGATGACGTTGACGATGTTCTTGTAGTCGACGTACATCACCTTGTCGTCACACTTTTCTTGGTAGGCGTCGTTGGTGGTGATGATCATTTCGTGGCCGGGAGGAATAGGCCAGTCCTGTTCGTTGACAGTGACACCGGTCCGGATTTCGGGACCCTTAGTGTCCAAGGCGATCCCCAAGGGACGGCCAGGGTAGAGCTCTTCCGACTTGCGGCAGTTGTCAATAACCAGCTGGTGGTACTCATACAGCCCGTGGGAGAAGTTCATCCGGGCGATGTTGAGACCGGCCTTGCGCAACTTGACCAACATCTCGGCCAGGTTGGTCTTGGGGCCAATGGTCCCGATGATCGAGGTTCTCCGGAGAACCTTATCGGGGATCTCGGTGGTGTTCAAGTTCAGCAACCACGAAAGGGCAGAAAACGACATGATGTTGCGGTAATTGAGTTCTTGCAAGGGTGCTACTTATAAGGGATGCAACGGGTCCGAGGCGACCGAGCGCCCGCGCAGAAAAACTGGGTGTGAGGGGTAACGGTGTGCTGGCCACGAGGGGGGCATTTTAACTACGCCGACACTCGCTCACCAATAGGGGTATCGTTTAATTGGCGACAATGACACTTGTAAATTATATATGACCTAACTCAAACGCTGGTTCAAATTGGTGGTGATAACGGTGGAGATGGCGTTGTCTTAGGTGAGGAGGTTACATCGCGGCGTGGCGAGGGTAGGATTCGGACTTCCCCACCCACGGCGGAGGATGGACGAGAGATGAGATGCCAATGGAGCAAGCGGACCTAAAACACAATGGCAACTACGGGAATAGGCGAATTACACTCACGAGTTGAGGACAACGGACCCCCATAATTCACTCAATTACTTTTTGTCCTTATTCAAAATAATGGGTCGCTGGTATTGGTGGACGCGGAACCGTTATCTGACGTTGATGGTGGTGCGTGGGCCGATATGGCTGTGTGGGTGAGAGTACTCCGAGAGATGGATCGGTCCGGTACGGCGTACATGGCTGCGACTCGCGGCGACGTGATGAGGAGGGGAACTACGACCGTTGACGTCTAGACCTTTGTAGAGGCGCAGTGGCAGTGGATGGAGCAACACCGACATTTAAGGTGGGAGTGAAAAACGTTCAAACATTAGTGGCACCTTCAACTTCGAACTAACCATTAGGGTTGTGAAAGTGAAACAACAACAACAAACCGGTCCGACCTTGGGTCGACCCAGGGTATTGTGTTCACGCACGTTAAAGTCCGGCCTCCCTGCTTTTCGTTGGGTGATTTTAGTGACAGGTAGAGAGATATGGGATATATAAAAACTCCCATGGCACCCATGATCACATAATTGATTACATCATATATATATTTTTTTTTTTTTTTTTTTTTTTTTTTCAAATTTTCGCGTTGGACCCATTTCCGAAGGTGCCGGCACCGGCAGTAGTGAGATGTGAGCAAAAAACACCACAAAAGCCCGCTCCACATCAGCCTCCCGTTCACGATGGTGTTTACCAAACAAGCGCTATTATTTTTCCCCCGGGTCGCGTACCCCCAGGTTGGTTGAAACCTCCCCGGCCAGTTATAGTCCCCTAACACCAGATATTAAAGTCACATCTGGTCCAGACACTCACGAGATGACGTATCGGTCCCTGAAAAGTGACGGGCAATTGTCACGATCGCTTCTGTATTGACATCAAGATTGTAGTTGCCTTATGGAGCCACCAATGCAGTGGAATTCCTTCGCCCGCTTTGTGGTGAATCGATTATGTCATGGGGCATGTTTGCCCGCACCACCGTGTATGGCTTCACCACTTCCCATCTCTGTCTCTACTGAGCGTTTAATTCCACGTGGCACTCGCCTCGCGGAAAGCTCATCGAAAAAAAATTGATCCGGGAATGTTCAAGACATTTTCACCTGCGAATGCCGTCGAATCGCCTGGCGTCGGTGTGTAGATATTCCTTGTTCAGGAAGCCCGGGACGCGGGCGTGCCTCGTAACCCCCAGAACACCACCCACCAACCATCGGGAATTTAGACCGGCACCGGTATGCTTAATCTTGCTAGAGACACTTGGCAACCCGATTGTGATGGTCACGAGCTAGGGAATTCACGACAATAGGCGGCCAAACACGGACGACTACGAACACGTGCTGACACCGCTTTATGTACATCAGGGGTGCCCCAGATCGGTGGTGGTCAGGGTGGCAATGGTAAATATCGTTTTACCTGGCAATACGGTGTCAATGGCTTCGTGTACTCTCAGGGTCCTTTCGTCTTGAACCGGATATAACTCCACCAGGCGTGAGGCATACCCGACATATGCTCGGCACGGTGACCTCAGCAACAAGGCGTTAATCGGGGAAAATTAAACCGCGGGTGGCTCGATCAATTCCTGGGCTGAGCTAGGCGTTCAAAAGCTTGGCTAAACCAATATGGACCCCCTGTGGCATTGGTGTTGACAGTTACGCCCATTTGATCGTCTCCACCACATAGCAGGTCGTCTAATGCTTCTCGGCGAAGGTGGTGGCGATGGCGTCGGAGCGTGCATTGGCTGGTGCCTTATGATGTATGTAGATCGTACATAGGTTAGCGATGTCCTGCGTGACCCTTTGCCTCATCCTCCAGTTGCCTATTCTTGTAAAAAGAAAACTTCATTCTCTTGTAAGAGCATTTGTTTCATCTCCATTCTTGTTTTGATGGGAATAGCCGCGAATTAAACCTGGTTAGCCAATTATCTAAATATAGTCGGCGGCGGAGTTTAGTGCTCGTTCTCTCTTGATTTCGCGAGAAAAAAAATATTGTGAAATTGATTAGTCGCAAGACAATTGTGCCTGGCGCCACCCCCCCTAACCCCCCTCTAGGCGTCAAAGCATTGTAGTTGTAAGCGACCAAACAGCAATCACCAGCTGCTGCCAATTCACGGGTGTCGGCAGCGGTAGTGGCGGAAGGGTGGGCTCCGCCTCCGTCATCGCTCTCTCCAAGCCGCCTGAGCTGCACTTGAGGCTAATTGCTTTTTGGCGTGCACACAGTCCGATTCTATGCGTTTGTGCACGTGATCTCCCCCTTCAAGCGAGTGATTTGTTGTTTATTGATTTCACAACCTCAAACCTTGTCGGACTGCCACCATCTTTCCACTGGGCTCGCCTCCGTTTGTCATCCCCCTCCCCCTACTCGCTGTCTAGGCCCTCTATCATTACCGATACCGAGCCTCGAGTCGATTTACCCGCTTACCCCGCCGTCCCAGACCCTACGGGGATTGACTTAACCTCATTGGCATTTTCCCCTACAAATGAAAACTAAATTGGCCACCGTGTGGCTCGTGGCGACCGTGGCCAGTGTCCGAGCAGCATTCAACAAGGTTGGGTGCTACCCGAAGCTGGCGTTACTGGGCGCCGACAGCCAGGGCCTGTACCAGTATCAGCTGAACGGCTGGTGCACCGACAAGTGCCAGGGCTACGCCGTGGCGGCGCTCATTGGCGGCAACACCTGCTACTGCTCCAACCAGCTCCCGCTGGGGCTGCAAGCGCTGGACCTGAGTTGTGACGCCAAGTGTGTCGGTTACCCCATGGAAAACTGTGGTGGTGACGACTATTTCTACGTGCTCCGGGACCCGCTGGTGAAAGCTGAGCAAGGCCAGTCGTCGCTGCTGCTGCCCCAACAACAGCTGCTGCAGCCGCAACTGCTGGCGGCGCCAACGCTGACGCTGGTGCAAGTGATGTTGCTGACGCTGGTGAAGGTGTTGACGCTGGATCGCACCACCACCACCGATAGAACCACTACCACCACCGACCAGACCACCCAGCTGTCAACGGCAACTACCACTTCGAGCACCACGCTGACGTCATCGACGCCGACGACGACCTCAACGACGTCGTCGTCCACCTCTACTACCCCTATCACCACGCTGAGCCTGACGGAACCATCGTCGACAACCACATCTTCATCATCTTCGTCGACCACCGAGCAGCTGACGCCGGTGACCACGGTGTTGTCCACCATCACCGCCGACGGCTCCAAGCTGGCCGAAATCATCTTCAAAACTATTTATAACGTTGAGAGCCCCGCCCCCACCGCTACCGGTGTGGCCACCGCCCTGGAAACCCCGCAGAGAAAATCATCTGGCATCAGTGGTGGCGCCATCGCCGGTGCGGTGGTGGGCCTGGTGGTGGGGGCGTTGCTTATCGCCGGCGCCTGCCTCGGCTTCTACCTCTGGAGACGCCGGAAGGACGACGACGACCTGGACTTCGAAGACCAGTTCACGCTTTCGGGCCCCGAGAAGCCCGTGGACCCGCCGGCGCCGTCTACACCTAACCCTTTCCTCGTCGCCGGGGGCTTCAATTTCGCCGACAGCGGCACTAATAATCACGGGGTCGCCAACACCACCAATCTGCTGGAGCTGCTGAAAAACCACCTGCGGGCGACGCTGCATGGCTTCATCCTGGTGGGCGAACACCTGTTCACGCTGGACGGAGACTACCACGCCTACGAAGACCGCCAGCTACGGCCCCCGCCCGAACCGGTGCGGAAGCTTTCAATTGGCCTGTTGCCGGAAATGGTCGCCCGCCAGCCCGGCAGCTTAAAAGTGGTGAACAACTGAATAATGGGTTAATATTGGTTACGATTTATGTTAATGCACGTATAGAGACAAATAGCCATCGGCCCACAAATTGGGCCTAGTCTGCGATGTGGGGGGGCGGGGGACTCCGGAAAAAAGTACCGTGGGCTTTCGAGGGGTTAATCGCGCAAGCACTCGTCGCATTCGTGTTGTTTACGTCAATAGAGGATAGTGTCGTAATTACATCTATCCCTTCGAAATTACGATGAAACAATAACGAGAGAACCAGAGACAATAACTCATTAGGTGAAGAGAAGAATTCTGACCATGGCGAGATGCACTGTTGACGTCTGTTGACACATTTCCGGGACCCCCGAGGCTGATGGGTGGCGGGACGAGGCTTTGGTCACATTCGCTTCAGCATAAACAACCGCCTTGTTACGCGCAGCGGCATCAAGCTTTAAAGGTCGTGTACCTACCAGTGTTGAGGTAAACAGGCCATAGGCACAATGACGAAGCGGTGGTAGTGTTTACCGGGTCACACATTAGATATCGACAAATGATGCTACAGTTGACTTAAGATCGGTCTTCTTCGATAAGATAATGGACATACGTCATCGTGATGGTTTTCAGTTATAAGTTGACCATATGGTGGGAATTGATGTTGGATGGCCTAATCACGTGCTTTTAGCATCGTTAGGGTTACAGGCCTAGTTTTTCGGTGGTGCACACAGCCTAGTCGCACCTCGATGGTCCGTTGCGAGCCCGGCGAGGGTGGCCCGGCCCCCGCGCTGCTAGTGCTACTCGAAAAATTTTCAGTGCTCCCTCAAATCATCTAACTAACAATGTCTGGTGCTTCCGGTAACAAGTTCAGAATGTCTTTGGCGCTCCCCACCGGGGCTGTCATGAACTGCTGCGACAACTCGGGTGCTAGAAACCTTTACGTCATCGCCGTCAAGGGCACCGGTGCCAGATTGAACAGATTGCCCGCCGCCTCCGCCGGTGACATGGTCATGGCCACCGTCAAGAAGGGTAAGCCCGAATTGAGAAAGAAGGTCATGCCCGCCATTGTTGTCAGACAATCGAGACCCTGGAGAAGAAGAGACGGTGTCTACCTTTACTTCGAAGACAACGCCGGTGTCATTGTTAACCCCAAGGGTGAAATGAAGGGTTCGACTGTCGTCGGCCCCGTCGCCAAGGAATGCGCTGACTTGTGGCCCCGTATTGCCTCGTCGTGCGGTGTGGTGGTTTAAAAGTGTACATTAATAATATAATTATCGGTTAGCATCTAAGTGTAGTGTCCCCGGCTACTAGTAAGCTACGGGAAAGAAACGAATATCAAGCTAGAGAGTTGCAAATTAATCATGCAAAGTAGCTCATCTTAAGCTCATCGTTCCCATTAGTGTAAGCTATGACTATATGTGATGTTTCTCAGCTCATGTTCTGGACTTTCATTGTAGCATGTCGATGCCATGGTAGACTTAAACGATAACAGTGTTTAGTAAATTTCAATTTGAATTTAAGTAGCCATCACTTGAGTTCAGCCGTTCGTTTGATAGTGAATCATGCGGACTACACTACCTTGGATCGCCGAGAATGATTGAAATCATCAGTGGTTCTATGAGCTACAGTAGAACGAGTTACTTGCAATACGTAGTATCAGTAGTTTGATGAATGCGTGTGGAAATTGCTGGACTATTTTGCCTATTAATGCCAGACTAAACCTCTCTCTGCAGAACGATGTCGATGTTGCCAGTATCAAGCAAACTGATGCGGTCGCTCTTGATGTCATTCAGATTCAACTTGTGGTTTTCCGTAAACGTGTCGTCGTCGACCCGCGGGCTACCAAGCGTCAGCACCGACCTGTTGCCATTGTGGTCCGAAGTGGGGTACGGCGCTTGCTGCTGCTGCACCATCTGGGGGGCCACGTATTGCGGGAAAAAGTACGACGGCGACCCGGGACGACCCATAGCCATAAGCTGAGGCGACACCGGCCCTATCTGTTGCGGTGACGTCGAAAGGACGTTGGGCTGCACCGCATGCACGGCTACCGGCTGCGCTTGAGGCATCGCCACCGGGGTGATGGTGTAGTACTGACCTTGGGATTGATCGTAGTATGTTTGCCCCATCATCGGTCCGTTAAGAGGGATGGTCAGTGCGTGGGACATCAGCGGTTGCATCGGCATCAGTTGCCGCTGGCCAACTTCAGGTTTACGGGGGTCCAGTGCCACCGTGTCAACGGGAGTGATGGCGGTGCCATCCAGATTGATCATGTTCAGCAACCGGGGCAGCTCGTTGTGCTTTTGCAGGAAAGTCAGCAGCAAGCGGTTGGCGTTAGCAATCAGCGTCGTTTGAGAGAGGGGGCGCTGGTGCACCAGCAGCCGGTGAGAATCAATCAGAGCCCGAGGCTTCACCAGATTCTGCCCCGCCACGGATCGACCCAGCAATACCAGCGGCAGTCGCAGTTGGCGTTGAGGTTGTGGCCGTTCCTTGTTCTTTTCTACCCACTTCACTCTGGCTGCCAGCAGAGGGATCATCAGCAACAGCTTGATGTCTTGGTACCAACCAATCATCTCTTTATAGGTGGAGCAGCGGAACACCAAGTTGTGGTTGCGATGCATGAGCCCCAGCGTCAGCTTCAGCAGAAGAACGAACTTGTAGGGCCCTTGGGGACCATCCTTGGAGTGCTCGGTGACGGTACAGCTGTCGAGCGACAACAGCATCGCGGGGTTAGGGTCCTTTCTGCGGTCGCGAGTCTTGAACTCGTGGATAAAGTTGCAAGTAAGGACATACCACCCTTGTGAGTACAGCTTAAGGTACTTCAGTCGCCTTTCCAATTGACCCTCGCGCACCGCCATCGCCACCACCAGGTCGTGATGTGGGACATCGATTTCCAGAAGTTTACGGGCGGGATAACTCAAATCGATGAATTTACCCAGACTGATGTTGTTGCTGATCAGCAGCAGTTGTGGGAGGTTGCGCAGAATGTACAGATCCCATTCAAATTTGGGGTCTTTGGCCAAGAACCCTTTCACTAAATTCGGGGCCAAGTAGTTGGGGATGGTCAGGGCTTCGGTGGTGATGAGGGTGACGAATTGGCCCAAGAGCTGTTGGATTTCGCCAACGACAATTTGTTCCAACTTTTCCCCCAGTTCCTGGAGGTTTTGGTATGCTTGGTAGAGATAGTTTTCTTCTTTGATTTGAGCTTTGAGCACGGCATCGAGGCGTGCCTTGGCGAGGTACGGGTCCCCCAGTTTGTCGGATATAACGTGGACATTTTCGCCGGCACTCTGGCTCATGACCTGATTAAAATTGCTGAGGGCATTTTTCGTCTCGAGCAAGTCTTTATGGAGGTTGTTTTTGAAATCGGAATGCAAGTTTTTGATTTCTTTGATTTTGAGCAACAAGTCGTGGCGCAACCCTTCGAGCTTGGGGATGATCAGTGACTGGACTTCACGGTAAGTCTTCTGGCCATTGGCGATGTTCTGTTCGTGGAACCGCAGCAAGATTAGCGGCAAGTCGTGAATGGATCCATTTCCGAGGGGCAAGAAGAAATTCTGGGGGTCGTCCAGGGAGCCGGTGATTTCGTTCTGATGGCCGACGACCTGCTGTAGCCGTTTCTGCTGGTGGACAATCTCATCCTGTACCAGAACAAACTCCTTGAGGTAGACGACGAGGTCCTTGATGATCGAGCGCCACGCCTGGAACCGCTCGGCGAGGATTTCCGTGGGGTACTCCTCCGCCGAGTTGAACGTGTAGGGGATCGACACGTGGAGCGGGTTGGATGACATTTGACGTTCCAAAACACCTGGGGAGCGCAAGGGCAAGCGGCGGGCGTGGGGGGAAGTCAGCTAGCCGAGTGTTGTTTGGTGTCTTGCACTGGCGCGCGGCCCGGGGGGCGTGGACAGGCCACAAATGTACCATGACGACGAGGCAGGACCAGGGGCATGCCTAGGAGGGGAGAGAAAAACAAGACTTTTTAGGGTTACAGATGTGGGTGAAGGGGGTAACAATGGGTGATAGAAAACTTTTTGGTTCGGTTTCTGGTGACATTAATGGCACCGTGAACGGGTGTTATTGACGAGAATGTCGTCTCGATGTGGCTGTTGTCAAATGGGGCCATTTAGTGGATTAGCCGAGTAGAAGGAAAAAACCGGGCCATGCCAGCACGGCGCGGCTTAAGGGCGATCGTGGGGCTGGTCTGGGGGATGCGATTTTGTCGCAAGGTTCGCAAGGCGAGAAAGTGCTGGGGTGGCTGCGCGGGGGTAAGAGCCATCGTGTTCATGGTTAGAAATGGCTAACGCCGGGGCTCGGCGGGGGTATCTGGCAAGCAAAGAGGAGCCTTTGTAGTTTCCCCAACATACGTGGCGTGAGGGCAACGGGACTACACATGCGAGCGGTTGCTAGGGACAGCATGAGAGCGGCTGGGGCTTAGTGCTAGGCAACTATACCGTGACGTGTGGGGGTGGGTATTGTTGGTTTGTGGCGAGTAGATGAGGTGGAGCCGCATGTTGAGAGCAACAGCCATAGCAAACAACCCACTACTAAATAGTGGTGACTGGTGAAGGATAGCAAATGTAGCCAAGCTAATGTGATTACAATCAGAAGTATTGTCACGCAAGGCTTGCGCTTATGTGCGACATTGTTAAGTCGATGCCCAACATAACATCAGGAAACAGAGTTTTTCTCAGCCAGATTAACCAATAGCTCGTTGGTATTCTTTTTGGAGTTATATAACTACTTAGCTTATCATCAGTTTCCAGATTTTCGCTTAATTTGACACGAGTCGCTCCCACCATCGCTGTAGCCCTCTTTGATCTCCACCTGTCATCCGGGTGCGCACACTATGGATACCGTCGTCCAGAGCATCGATGCCCACGTCGCCACCGTGTCGCTGTTGCTGATTCCTGACGTGCTTGATTACGATGGCGACACCTACTCCCACTATATTCAATCCCCCGTGCTCATGAAGACGCGTCTTGATGCCATCCGTTCCGACGTCACTGTCCTCCAGGGCCAGGCAGAACGGTTGCCGCTGTCACCTCGAGTAGCGGAGCTACGGAAACAGATTGAGTGGGTGTTGTGTGAATTGCTCGATCAGAAGAGCTATGTCGTGGATCGCATGATCAGAGACCAACAGCGGCACCAGCAAGCAATGCTGGCGGCGACCCAAGGGGACTCTCACGATGACAAACCCCGCGGCAGCGTGTCGTCAATGGCAGTGGCCACCGACGAAGACCTCCTGCTGCTCCGGAAACGTTTGCTTGTGGGCGGCGAGTCGACGAAGTTGGATGATAATGAACTTAATGACTACCACGATAACGTCCAGCACGACTTGATCAACGAACTCTCAGACCTTACGCTGACACTTCGACTGGGAGCAGTGGCTCTTAGTCAAAAGATTTTGGGCGACGACTTGACCATTCTTAACGAGACCAATGAAAACTTATTGAAGAACCTGTCCACGTTACGCAGGATTGACAACAATTTGAACAAGTACTTGGAAAGCAAGACGGGTGGTAAAGTCGGGTGGATTTACATGATCAAAATCGCCATCATTGTCGCCGTGGTGCTTGTGGCGGCGTTGCTCATGATAGCCCTCGTCCCTCGGTTCTGATCCTGCGAGCGGGATTGATCCTTTAATCATTCATATACATTATCTTCTCAATTACACGCACATCTGGTCACGATATTTTTCATTTGCTGAAATCATATCCAATTGATAGATTTCTTGCAAATTTATAAAAAATCAAAATTACTATCTCCATAAAGATGGGAAATTGCCCAAAAATTCACCATAGATTAGCAATAGTCTCAAATTTACTGAAACTACACTGAGATTTCGGTTTAGAAGCGTCAGAAGCTCTTTTTTTTTTTATCCTTAGTTTTGCATTGATATCTAACTTAATAACTTACATACTCCTTAGAGGATCTCAAGTGTTTGTAAAGCCTTCGTTCTCGATACCCTGCGATCTGAGAAAGCCGACAAAGAGTCAACAAAATAGCACTGGTATTATAATGTGACAACCTCAATTTCCAGAATACGGTTCTGTAGTCTAGTTGGTTATGACGCATGCTTCACACGCATGAGGTCCCCGGATCGAGCCCGGGCAGAATCATCTTTTTGCCGCTAAATCCTCTTTGAATTGATCAGAAACGGTTCATTTAGCATCGTGTACTTCTTATTTTTGTCTGGTATTGTGTATTGGGTTGACGAACGAAGTAAAAGATATATATGCTGTAAAAGACGGAAGAGAAGTAAACTATATATACTTTCCAAAGAGTAACACACCCAAATATAACCCAAGTATGCGTCGTAGTTGGTTTTTAAAAGCTCAGAGACGATCAGCGTTGCCGCAGAGGGCAGCATTGCCCACGCCAAAGTTTGCCGCGTTGTCCCCCGAAGGGTCGGCAGCACCATTAAGAGCTCCCACCATGGTGGACACCTGGGCGCCACCAACAGCGGATGCCCCAGCAGCGGCTTGAGATTGGAATTGGCGGGGCAAGTTGCCGCATCGGTCTTTGCCGAAGTTAATTTTGAGGTTTTTGTAATCGGGGAACAGTTTGATGCCATCGATGGCTTTGATCGCATTGGCGATGTTGACGAAATTAATGAAGGCACAATTCTTTTCCTCGAGGTAATTAATTTGTTCGATGTCGCCAAACATGGCAAAATCGTCACGTAATTTTTGCAGGTTGAAGTGATTGAAGTCTTGGATGTTACCAATGTAGATGTTACGCGAGGCGCCGTTGGACACTGCCAACAGCAACGCGTTCGATAACGGTCCCAGGTGTTTGCCCCACCCGACTTTGATGCGACGGTTGTGAATGGTGAGACCATGCAATTGGCACATGGCGTAAAATTGAGCGGCAGCGATGGGGTCAACGAAGGTGATGAAGCAGACGTGGCGCTCCTTGAGGAACCGGATCAGCTGCAAAAGCCCCCCACGCACCACATTACAGATCTCCTCCACCAGCGAGTCCTGGTGCAAGTTTCCCAAATACACGGTACGGTTGCCCAAGTTGCTAGCACCCCCAGCCTGGGTGGCGATCTGAGCTGCTGCTGCCTGCTGCTGCACCAAGGCGCTGCTGATATATTCGCGGTCAGCGGCAGTGACAATGTGCTCCATTCCCGGCGCCAACCCGAGGTACTGGGCGGCGTTGTGTTGCTGGGTCTTGGTGATGAAAGCACAACGGTCCTTGCCGTAGAAGCACTTTTTGTCTAAGTATTTGTCCTTGAGCGGCAAGTTGGCCACACAGCGGATCGCCAGCAAAATCAGCAAAAAGTGGATGAACGCGATGCCCTTCTCGGGGATGATTTTGATGCAATCAATAACACCAAAACACAGCAAGTCGGCGCGCAACTCGTCTTCGGTGATCATTTCGCCGGTGTGGGGATTGGTTAAGTTGCCCAAGTAGACGTTACGGGTGGCGCCGTCGCGTTGGATCGCCTCCAACACCGCCGGCAACATCTGCTGATTCTTACCCCACCCCACGCGGATGTCGTGGCCTTTGATCGAAAGCTTTTTGAGGATGCAGTCGCTGTGGAACAAAAGCGCCAGCTGGGGATCCACAAACAGGATGAAGGCACAGTTCTTCTGGGGTAAGATCTTCACCAGCTCCAAGATACCCAGCCGCACGTAATCAAGCAACTCGTTCGGAGGGATGTCGCCAGGGATGTTACCAAGGTACACGGTGCGTGAAGGAGCGGCGTGGCCCGGGGGCAGTGCCGATGAGGTGCGGGTGGAGACGTCCAGCGGCGATTGCGAGGGGCCTTGGTGTCCCTGGTGGGGTTGGTGTTGGCGGGCTTGAGGGTAGCTGCCGTAGGTATTGGCGTAGGACTGAGGCTGCTGCTGCTGGCGGGGGTAGCTGGGGCGGCGGGTGTGCGGTTTGTGGTGGTGCTGGGGTTGGGCCGGGCCCATTGCAGGCAAGTTGTGGGTCACCGCCATTGCCGGCTGCTGGGGCACCGGGTACGACGGCGTGGGCGCCCCCGGGTCAGCGTCGAGGGCGTACTTGTCGTAGCCGCCGTAGCTGTCGTAGCCGGCGTACCCCACCGCTGGCCGCTGGTCGAAGGGCGCGGGGGGCTCCGGAGCTAGATACTCCCCTTCGTCCATGTACCCAAAGTACGGCTGGGCCATGTACAGCGGGTGGTAGGGGTCGTAGTAGCTCATGGCGGGTGCTGGGGGTTTTTCGCGATGATGTGTTAGCTACGCGCGGCAGATCGGTTATGGTGGTGGAAAAAAAGCTCCGATGAGGTGGCGGCAGCGGCAGCCGCGAGCGAGCGTCGGAAGCGCTGTCGGAAGGAATAACCGGCATCTAGCAGGCGTAAGCGTCGTAGGAGAATGGGAATGGGGTCAACTGATCAAATTTGCCTTGTTCTCGTAGTGTTTGTGTTGTGGTTTTGATGTGTGGGACTGTGGGGGGTGGGGCGGGGGCGTGCCTCGATGCGGCTTATTCCGAGCCGTAATCGGTATCGTTTTGACTATCTTCGATCACGCTGGGCGCGCGCGGCGCTAGAGGGGGTCCGTCACTTGCGACACTCTCGGCATCGGAAATGTCGGTAGAGATATCAGCGTCAACGGCATTAGCGGCGCCAGCGGCGCCATCAGCCACCACCACCGCTTCTGACTCCAGTGCGGGTTCAAGCTTCACCCGAGGAGGAGGCCACACCGAGTCATCGGGCTCCTGTTTGAGTTGGAGGCGCGGCGTCTCCGATTTAAGCATTGGCGTGTTTTCAGCTTTCGGCGCCTGTTTACGTTTCTTCGGCAGATCATCAGGCGTAAGCTGGGTTCTTTGACGCTTGACAGCCGCCACAAACGTGTCGGCATCGCCCTTTTTGTGGCGGTCGTAGTATTCTTGGTTCAACCCGAACAATTTGTCGTCGGGAAGTTTATCATTCATCAACTCCCAGATCCGCTGTTTCTTGTGAGCCAACGCCTCGGAGAACTTAGCTTTGAGATCGTCAATAATCGCACGGTAGTCTTGCTCCATTGAAGCGTTGTAGTGCTCCAAAAGAAGCACTTTCGACTGCAAGCTCCGAATGTCGTCCTGTTGCACTGTCACTGTCAGCAGCGTCCGTTTTTGAGATGCACAAACCTCTTCAAGCCACTGACGGAATATATCGCTATCGGTAGTATCGGTAGAGGCAATGTAGAACGACGCCATAGTCTTGGGGAGCTTATCAGTGGTTCGGAGCAGCACTTTGATCGAGCCGTCTTCTTGGTAAATCGCTCCTAGCTGGAATTCAGGAACAGTTGAGGGGATATCGCTGCCTTGAGTTGTGAAGAGCTTGGTGATGATGGCGTTGCGGTGACGATACGCGTCGCTATCATGAAACCGACTTTCCCACATCGAGTCAACGTCATCTTGATTGAGGAGGTTGGAATAGATGGTACCATCAAATGTCGCGTCCACTTTCAACGGTTTGAACTGTCCATTTGTGGTAGATTCGTCGCTAACTTCTGTAACCCGAATAAAGAGTGTAGGAGTTGTCGCTTTCAGTAATGGCACACTGAACACAGATGCCATCAGACCACTATTTTCGTGAATGTATGTAACTCAAAGTATAGTTCTGAAGCAAATGTCAGATGACAACTGAGACACCACGCGTGGTTCTGCTTTTGCTTGACTGGAAGAAAGTTGCACCAAATTGGGATAGATGACCGAGACAATCGTCTAAACCCTGAGCAATTGATAAGACCGCCGTGTAATTAGCCCCAGAATGAAGTTGGGATGGGGGCGGTTGATCCAGGGGTGATTGGGTCACGGTATCGCGGGGCTGGTATTTACTAGACTGGGGTGCGCGCACCATCCTGGAGAAAGGTAAACAAAGCGAAATGATACTAGAAGTGTGTACTGATGGTCAGTAGAGATTAGAGAAGATAGAAGCCGTGTAGTTTACCCGGTAATATGCACTTATGGTCTATGCACGCTGATATTTTCCAGGACGATTCGTATGTATCGTAGACTGCATGCAGTGAATTGTGATGAAGTCAGGGTACGATCATTGTCAATTAACGATGGACAGAATAGGTCATATCAAGAATCTAACTAGTAGAGAAACATGAGGATTATGACACTGCTGTTTTGTTTTACAGATGTCGAATTTGCTTGATGGAGTCTCACCAAAGTTGCTCGTGGAAATAATCTCTGCAAACGAGATCAACTCTACGAACAATGACAAATTACCTGAATACCTTTAAAATTATATCGATTATCGTACTCATTACTTATAGCGTTTGGCTTCCTCGACGGTAGCGCGGACCCACTGGGCCAATTTCGGCTGAGCCAACGCCGTTGTATCGACCAACAGTTGCTCCACAACGTCGTCGCCGGCGTTGCCGTCGATCACAGCGTAAAGGTCGTCGAAACGGTTGACTAAGAGCGCTACCTTATAGAGAGTCAACCGGTGGATGGCGAGACGCCGCTCGTCATCGGTTTGTTGGTTAAGACGCTCAATCACTCGCCAGTCGTCGCCAAACGCCAAGATACGGAGCCAGGCCACGCGGCTGAGGCGGGCAGCGTCGGCAGCGTTTTCCACAAGCGCCGCCACCTCAATCGCATCGGCGTAGGCACGAACGCCGCCAGTGACCGCTTGCAGAAGCAACGTCAAGAGGTTGACCACGTCTTCAGGTGCCAGAAGAGGCGCGTTAGCCGCCACCGTTTCGTACAGCGGCTCGACAAGTTCAAGCGCGGCGTCAAAATCGACAACGCGGGTATCTATAGACGACTTGGCCTTACCAGGCATCACGTTCTTATAAGTGGTGCTGAGGGCATCATGGAGACGCCGCTGCGCCGCCACAAGCTTTAAGTCTTGTGCCACTTCAGCGTCAACAGCGCCGCCGGGCGCCGCCACTTGTGCCAATTTAGCGATAGAAAGCTTGGTGTGGGCATTGGCGAGGGTATCGACGTTTTGCGAGCACTGCTGAGAGTGGACAAGCGCCGCTGATGCCGCAGCGTAATTACCCTCTTTCAAGTAGACGACCCAAGCAATGGCAGCGGTGGCGTCCTGGTTTTCCCGGAAGAAGCGGTGAAGATAGTCCAGGTATTCGGCAAACGGGCCCGCCACCAACTTCTTTGGCTGGTTCTGCTCGAGGAAGTAGCGGTAAACTGACTCGGCGAACGGGTAGCCAAAGGTGTCAAAACAACGCGTAAAGCCGACACTGGCGTCGTCTTCGCTTAACAGATTAATAACGTACACCAAGTTGTCGTAGTCATGGAACCTTTCGGTGATGGCAATGGCATCAGCGGTCAAGTTGTGCACCACCAACGGCTCGATCCACCCGTGCTTGCGGGCGTTGTACCAGCGACGGTATTCTTGTTCTTGTGGGTCTTGGGTCACCGTTAACGTTTCGAGGGCGCGCTCGGCGTAGAAGTAGAGCACTTGACAGTACTTGACCATGGCGTCGGTGTGGCTGACGATGGTCTCTGGGTGGTTGTAGTAGGTGGAGTAGATATCGCTGATGCGGAACACCAAGTCGGTGTCAAACACCCAGAGACGCCGGCGGTTGCCAGGGATTTCCTGCTCGTAGGCGTACACACCCTGGTATTGAGTGGAAACAACGATGTAGGCGACGTTGGCCAAATTCTCGTCGTTGGTCTCGAGCTCCTTGATGAAGTCGGTGAACACAGTGAGGATCAGCGCCGTGTCGTTGGAGAAACGCTCGCCGATGTCGCCACCACACACTCGCAGGAGCACGGGGCGCAAGTGGGGGAGCTTGTCGATGCATTGGGTTAACGCCAACGCCACTGCCAGCTTTTCAATGCCGTCATACACTAATGGGATTACATCAGCGACCACGTTAGCGGTAAAATTGGTTTCGCAGTAGTCTAGTAGCTGGCGAAGCAACGAAATCTTGCGCTCAAGCGTCTCCAGCACCGCTGGCAACGCGTTCATGTAGGGCGACAGCAGCGCCATGATCTCCTCGCAAATGGCACCGACGGCGTCGATGATCGAGCCGTTAGGGACACTGGCGCCGTCAACGTCAAAGCTAAGCTCGCTCAGACCGCCGAAGAACACGCCCTGTTCAATATGAGACTTAAGCACCGTCCCTGGATCTACCAGTGGCGTCGTGGGGAAGCGCTCGATGCGCACCACCCCTTGGTTCTGGGTGACGACGACGACAGCGGCGTTTTGGTTGTCAGTAGCGTTTTCGACGCCGTAGCCGATGATGGTAACCAGACGGCGGAAGACAACGCGGTCCTCCCACCCCGATGAGGTGCCGATATCAGCTAAGTAAACTGAGTTACCCACGGTGACAAACGCAGTGGTCTTAGGGGAGGGCAAGAATAATTTCGGCAGAAACCCGTCGCCTTCGGCGTCGGGAGCTTTCAAAAGGTGGGTAGCAACGACAAGCGCCCCGGTAGCGTCGACTTTGACGGTGAAAATCATGAGGCGAGGGTTGTGGCGATGGACGCGAGCGAGCACAAGGTAGTGGTCGTCGGCGGTGTGGGCGACATCGAAAAACTCAACGTGGACACTGCCGCCAGGTCTATGGGCTTCAATTGAAGCTTCAACGCTGGCAAACATGCTGTGGCGGAACAGGCGCCGCGGGTCGACGCTGCAGTAGCGCAGCAGCAGGAGTAACTGACAGGTGAAGATCAGAATCTCACCCCGACGAGTAAGCGCCACCAATTCCTGGGTCATGCCCTGGTTATGAAGGCGGCCAGGGCGAACACTGACGATATCGCCGTGGATGACGGGAGGAGCGCCGCCCCACACCGAGCGCCAGAGCTTCAGCGCCACGCCCAGCGGCACCTGGAGCAAGTCGACGTCTAAGCTGGGCTTACCAGTAACATCGCGCAAGGTGACAAGGAAACAGCGCCCGTGGGTAGTGGCGACAATTACCCCCGCAGGCTCCGCCGGTTCGGCGAGGCTGACGGCTTCGTTGAGGCCAAGAGAGATCTGCGCTTCCCAGTGCTTGTTATCAATGAGTTCAAGAGCAGCAGCGTGTTTCACCAGCTCAAAGAATTTGACGAAGCCGGTCTGGCTGTTGATAATGACGAGACCTGGGTCCCGCGGCTGGTCGGGCGCCGGCGCGGTGACGAGCGCCAACGGGAAGTCCGATTGCGGCGCTGGCACCTGATATATGTGGGGATGGGGGTCGGCCAAAGTATAGGGCCACACCTGGATGGTGTCTTCGACGACAGCGACACCGTAGCCGGTGTTGGCGTCGGTGTAGCCGATGGAGACGGCGCTGCCCTGCGCTGGCAGCGCCACGAGGCGGGTGACGCGGTAATTGGGGTTCTGGGTGAGCTCGGTCGCCGGCCGCTTGTGCACCGGCAGCAGCGCCGGCTCGAGCTCGCCAGCGTCACGTTTACGGGGGCGAAACCCCGCCGTCGACGATAACACCATGGTGAACACTGGGCGGTTCGCGCGATGCGATCGTTTGTTTGGGGATGCGAGGCGCTCGGCACGACACTGATCATGAAACAAAGGGGAAACGACGATCGCGAAACATGGCATATAAAGGGCTGAGGAGTTGACCATGGATCTTACGGAATAAATTGATGTTTCTACATTTAAAAATTTGGTGTGGTAGTAAATTTGGGTGCCAGTGTCAATCGTGCCTAAACTTCCACTCGTACTTAGAGTCAGCGTTCTACATCCTATATCTGCTGGCAATTCCTGGAGGCATAGTCGACTGAGGATGTCGACGTTTTGAATCATTTCAGGTAAGCTGTAGTTTAAAAACTGAAGACTTGAAAAGAAACAACTGAACCGCAACATACAATGATACTCTACGACAACATCCACTATATCATCGATGGCAGCATTGAATCTACACTTTCATTATTTCTTTACTATCGTCTACGATTCAGAAGCACCCTTATGGTCTTCCACTTCGAGTCAACACTATAATAAATCAATTCTAGACCGTATATAAATTACCTGTTGTATCCCTATACCCGCTGTCTCTTAGCCAGCGGCTGTTCGGCATCGTCGCTGATGTCGTCGTTGCCGTACGCTTCCTCGTCGTCGTCCTCGTCGTCCAGTTCCTGGTCGTACTTGCTCTTGAGCCCCTTCATCTTTCTCGTCTGCAAATTGGAAAGATCTTGCTTACCCACGTGGATACGCGCCACCTTGTCACCCATGGCGTCGGTGGACACGTTCTTCTTTTCCTTGGCCTGCAATTGCTTAGGCTTCTTGTGCGCTTCCTTCTCGACGTCGGGAGCGGGAGTCACCCGACGGCCAATCTTGAAATCGAAGCGGGGACCGATTTCCGAGAGTTCCACCCGAGGCACTTTTTGTCCCAGGCGGTAGGTCTTAAGTTTGTATACCCTGAAGTGCACGGGAGGCAACTGGCTCACCTCGGCGTTGGGGTCTTCGATGTCGCCCGTCAGCAACAGGATGATGTACTGGAGCCCCGCCACGTCCTGGAGGTCGGTGTCTTCGCCGCGGTAGAAGTCAAGGAACACCAGCTTCACTTGCTGGTACACCGGGTGGGTTTCAAACGCCGGCCCGTTAAAAGTGAACATCGGCTTGAGCCCCACTTGGAAAGTGGCCTTGCGGAAGTCCTCAATGAACTTGGGCTGGTTGATCACCGAAAGCTCAAGCATGTCGTACACTTTGTAGTTGAAAAAACGGGCGAAAGTCAAAGTGTTGGGCCGCTTCTTGTTCAGCGACGAGAACACCATGAGCGACGAGTCGTTCTTTTCACTGAAGAACTCGAGCTCGGAGGCGTCTTCAAACGGTCTCACTTCGTTTTTGCGGGAGAACTTCTTGGCTAGCGGCTTTTTAAGCGCCATGAGGTCGACCATGGCGTCGTGGAGGAACTTGTTCGAGGACGCCCCGGGGACGAACAACGCCTGCTTGGCGTTCTCGACAAGCTTGGCTTCCTTTTTGGCCAAAGCCCGCTTCAGCCGGGCGTTCTTGGGCTTGATAGTCCGAATCATAGCGTTATCAGGGCCCAGTGCGATGAGATGGCTTTGCAATGCGCGCCCGCGATGGGCCCCCTCCCCCACACAGTGTGACTAAAGAGGAGCGAGAATGTCAAGAATAGGGCAATGTAGAGATAAAATCGAGTGAGAATGTCAATATACTGAGAGAGTAATGTTATAAGTATCGAAAAAAGCACCTCATATAGCAAGGAATTGGTTGTTCCACTGCCGTATTTGTGGATTGATCGGCGCGAACACTAAGAGTGCTCAGCTAGTAAGAGATGAGTACTGCATGCAACACAAAACACGATGTTTGACTGAAATGTCAACTTCAGTGCTTGGATGGATTTAGCGATTGACTTTTTGGGCGATACACCTTGTCTATTAAGGTTATTATATGATATCATCAATAGTTTTCTATGGGGTGTATAGAGCAGCTTAGCTGCCAGATGCCTTGTAACGCGTCCCTCACCAACGTAGACTTGCCTCGTTACTCGTCTCTTTAAGTAATAGCCATGGCATCATTGTATACCAAAGCTGCACTTGAGACTGCTCCGATTGAAGTCAACCGTCTTAATGTATGCCCCATCCGTCTCGATGTATACCCCATGTAATGCTCATGATTATTTGATTTAAATTATGGCTCAAATTATGCCTTCCAACCCATCAATTGAGTTGGCGAAAAAGCCACGACCTAAATTTATAGAGCTGCTGAAGATGAATCATCATTGCATAGTTGAATCAATATGCGATGGTATAATCACGATAATACTCAATCAAGATTGAAGGCTTCACACAGAGGAAGTTATTGCTGATGCTTCTTAACTGATAAAAGGGTCCCGAACACAATCACTTCCCGCTGATGCTGGATACCGATATGGGATTGAAATGTTTTTAGCATAGAAAATTGAGCCGGATTGGGAACTTTCTTGGGCCAGGACGACGTGCAAGGCTTTGATACATCGTCACAATTGGTGTAAAATTCATCTAAAAATTGTTGAACATTCATAATACCCCATGTTTTAAATGATCAATATAAATTCCACTAATTTCAGCTGACACAATGCAAAAAATCATGTTAAAGAATACATCAATGTTTCACGCTCAAAACACAATGAAGTTACTCAGAATACTATCACCAATCCCTTTGTGGCAGAGTATGCTGCTTCTATGCGTCGCCCGGGGCATGGTCAGTAACAAAGCTCAACTTTAATTTGCGCAAATATTTTATTCCAGCCAAGAAATATGCATAAGGTACAGAATACCTACAGAACAGCATAGCGACGGCGATTATCTCGATAGCTGAATAGAGTCATCTTGTATACGCTGTATCATCATGATCAAAGACGACAGTTGCAAGATGTTTCAGTCTTTTACTACCTTGATCTATGGAGATCAGGCCGTGTAAGCCACCTCAATACGCGGGATTGCGTCAACCATTCTGACCAGCTCGAATCGACCGACCCCCATAACGCCGGAACGGGTAACAATAGCGAGTATCGGCAAGCATCGTGGTGTAATGCGTTTAACATTCTGCCTGTCTTGATCACATTGCTCAAACATTTGGCGTCTTTGATGTAGCACTGTTCTTTGAAAGGCGTCTAGGCTCACCACCTGTCAAGGTCTGAATTTCCTTAGTTTGCGAAAGTCAAATCTCTCGCCGAAGTTAATACTGAGTTTGACATAGTTATCAATGGTTGATTAAGCAGCCAATGAGTCTCACTAGTGCGTGAATCATAAGACATAATCCCAGATTTTCCTGCTGAATCATTAATTAATTTACTTGTAGAATTCCGATCAGACTCGCTTAAGAAGAATACGTATATCTATGGAGATAAATCACCAGAAACACGAGGACATCGCAAGTGCTATACTCCCAGTGACATGGTTTTTTTTTCGCGATGCTGTTCCACCTGACCTCTTTGAGGTTTTGCTCAATGGTTCAATTCTGTTCGGGCTACTACAACGATAATTTCTCAATGTGTAACCTATGGGAACTCCTGTTGGGATTGCCAAATGTTGAAGATACTGCGATAGAATGAGAATGGCATCTAACACTGATGTAATGAACAATACGAGATACAACCTCGTTTTGTGTGATCACAGCCGTCTCATATCGTGCCTATGTATGACATCATACACATCCGCACGCGAGATAACCTTATTTTGGTGCCTGAATATGCAAGCTACCACACAGGATGACGGTTCCAATGCATGGTATGTTACTGCTTGGGGCACAACCGTAAACTTTTATTAGCGCAAACTTTGAGCTACGTGTACGGAGTTTTACGCGTCTCTCCGTCTCGGCAGGTGGATGCGATCTTGAGGTAACGCTGGATTTGCGCATTATGCGAGGGCGCGAAAACTAGGCCCTAACAGGCAAGCAAGCTGATGGTCTCAACGAAGTCGACATCCTCAATTGTGTATCATTCATAAAGTTTCATGTGATTGCTTCTTCCACATGGGTTGTGCCGCCCGTGGAGGTTGGCATACTCGCCCTATCAATATCCCTTGTGTATTAGCGGTGCGCGCAAATCAAGTTTGCATCATAAAATTTGGATGCAACTTATGGCTACCAAGTAGGTTATTCACCCGAGCTAATTATTCTGTTTGTATGAAATAAACAGCGAAGTGACCTACTATCAATCGTCCAACCAAAGGCAGCTTCGAACCTAGTAATCATCCAACGTTTTTGGCATTGGATAGCATCGAATGCCCTAACCACTTGCTTTAATTTCTCGTTTGATGTATTTAACCTTATATAATGCCCATACTCTATTAACTTACGTAGTCCACAACCGCGCGGTGCCGTCGGCGCCAGCAGAAAACAACCACGCCTCCTTCGGGTGCCAGCACAAGTCCATCACCCCGATCAGATTGACCACCTTGTGGCCAGTCAACTTCTTAAGCGGTACCAACAACGGGTTCGTTACCAAGTCATCGTAGACGGTGGCGTGGAACACGTGCAACGACCCGTCATCAGCAGCAGTGGCGAACAATGGCAACTTGCCACGGTGGAACTTAGCGCCACGGACGGCCTTATCGTGGTAACGCAAAGTCTTATACGGGGTAGCACCCAAGTCCAAGTCGTGCCACAACACGCGCTTATCGTATGACAGCGCCACCAAGTGGTCACCACGAGGGTGGATATCAATACCACTCAACAACCGCGCCCCCGGCATCAACTTCTTCAGCATCACCTGTTGTGCCAAGTCGTAGACTCTGATGGTACGTTGCAGGGCCACAAACAACAAAGGCTTGAACGGGTGGAATTTAGCATCTTGAATGATCCCCTTCAGCTTGCGGAACGGCAGCTGCGACACGTGCTTCAGCACCTGGTGGACCAACACCGACGAGTTGGCCCCCAGCGGCGCCACGGTGACAAAGTAGTCACCACGACGGTGCCACAGAAGCTTCTTGATGGTGTGTTTGGTGGTGATGATGGCTGCAACTCCGTCCTGGGCTTGACGTTTCAGCGGCGCCTGCCACTTGCCCACTTCCTTCTTAGGAGCGTCGCTTTCGAGGTCGTTGTCGCCAGTGACATCGAGGTTACCCTTCTTGGTCTGGCCAAAGGTGTCGTAACCCCACCCAGCTTCGATCTTCAGTTTACCGGCGTTTTCGATGTCGAAACCCCACACAGGAGGAACCACAAGCATCACCAGCTCGGCAACGGCCACGGCAAGGATACCGTTGGTGGCAGCGTCAGGGTTCCACTCCACCAGCTCAACGCGGTTGTCGCCCAAGTCTTCAGTGTCGACAAGTTGAGCCTTCCACACTTGGCGGCCAGTGAGCACTTCCCACACTCTGACAGTACCGTCGTCACCGCCAGTGGCAAGCCAGGTGCCCAGCGGGTCCACGGATACGGTCCGAATGCGCCCGTCGTGGCCTTGGTAGACAGTCAGACACTTGATGGGGAACGGTCTCAAATCCTTAGGCAGAGGCAAGTCGGGAATAAGCAGTTCCGGGTCGATGTTGAGACGATTGTGACGCACACGAGGAGCCAAGTAGAGGTCCAAGCACCGCTCGAACCGTTCACGCACACTCTCGCCGTATTGAGGCACTTTACGGAGCGCCAGGTACTTTTGCGGGATGAAATTACGCTCGCGGTCAGCAGGGTCGGTTTCTTCCCATTTTTTGCGTTCTTCTTCCGTCATCAAGTATTCTTCAGGAGGGTTGTACGACTCTTCATGAGTAGGAGGAGCCATCTTCGGCGCCTTCAAGTTCATGATATGGGTGTTGGGAGTGTCAGTTTCGTCGTTCCACAAGTCAAACTGGAGGCGTTCCTGTTGTTCTTGTTCCTTGCGTGCCTTCACTTGGTCGGGAGTAAGAATCTTACCCTCTCTAATCGCCCGCACAATCTTCATCACTCGCTTAGCTTCGTGCTTAGAGGGGACAAACCGGCGTTTCGGTTCCGGGGTGGCCATAAGCGGCATCACTTCGGGAGCACCACCGGTGAACCACTCGATCATCGGCTCGTAAGGGTTGATGTTTTCGTCCGTCAGCTCTTGCGCCTGGATCTTTCTAATAAGCTCCAACTCGTCGTCGTTAAGCTTGAGACTCTCGCCCGTGTTTTGGTCCAAAAGCCCCGTCCACCCGGCGGGCAAGTCGATCAGCTCCAAAAGCTGATCGAGGGCCAGCCCCTTCGCCGGGCGCATGATCCGCTTCCCGTTGATGTCGTAACCAATGTGGGGCATCTCCTCATAGGCAGAGATGGGGATGTTGCCGATGGTGTTGAAGTTTTCCGCGTCGGAGTCGTCCAGGTCGTACACGGGGTCGATCTCGGGTTTGATGATACGAGGGGTGCCGTCGCTGAACTTGGTGTGGATCTCGGGCTCACCTGAAGCCTCGGGGACAAGCTTGATGCCAGAAACCCCATCACCAATGGTTTCGGGGTCGCTGAAGTCATCAGTGTCCACCAGCTCGGCGTCACTGGCCTCCTCGCCTATAAGCGCTTCCAACGCCGCCTCGGCCTCGGCATCGGAGTCGTCGTCAGCTTCGTCTTCAGAACTGTCTTCGGCAATGTCGACAGTGGCAATTTCGTCCGCAGGCGGAGCGTCCACTTCGTCCTGCTTACGTTTCCGCTGCTCCTTGACCATGGGTTATGCTGCGATGAGATGCGCGCGATGGCTCGCACTTTTGGCGTCCCCGAGGCTAGCCCAGCGGAGACGATAACAGCAAGGAAAATGCACACAGCAAAGGTAAATTCGGAAGCTACAGTATGGATATTAGAGGTATTCAAGTGAAGTACAACATGTAAAGCGTGAAGAGAGGATATCGAGTATATAACCGAATTTTTCACTGATACTATGATTGAAAGAATGTAGACATGTAACCGGTGCCTGTAAGAAACCTATACCTAATACTATCACACATCACCTGGGAATTGATGTCAGAGTATTATCAAAACTTTAGTCTCATTTAGGGGCTAGAACCTGATGGAAGACGGCTGCGCTGCGGGGCAGCTCCCAGCAGGGTAGAGGCGATGCTCATCGCGCGATGTCCGGGTAACCGCGAAAAAAGTATAAATAGAGGGGGACCTCCGCACCTTTTTTTTCTTCTTTGTCGACGTACTTCATAGGATCATTTCTATAGTATACGTCTCTCTTTGACTCTATTAATGAGCCATCGTTTCCAACTTGGAAGATGAGAGAACTACCCCGCAGCCCTCAAAGTGAGATGTGTTTTGCTTGTCCGTGGTTCTTAGCAGCCCGGCCATCTTTACTTGCCGAGCATCACGGTTACCTTCTGGGTACACCGGTCTCGGAGCAATGATCTTTACCCCTTTGACTATGCCTTTTCGGAGGAAAGTCGCTGGGGTGGGCGGCGGCGGTTGTCTGACAAGTTTCAAACAGAGAGATCGTAGACTAGTGCTCGACCGTGACATCAAGTTTGGTGTTTTAGCCAGTGACTGAATGGTTTTAGTCCCTGAATAAAACATTGAATTTTTGTAAACCGTTACTCTGCAGTTTACATTCGCTCAACGACACTGGCTTTTACGGTTCGTTTCCTTACCGCAAGATCTGTTGTCTGGCACCGTTTTGTGAACTTCTGCTGTGAAAGCCTGTAGGTAACGCTCAAGCTACGGTAAGTAAAGTAAATATTACAAGATATCATATTGATTTTCGAATATGGACCAGCGCATAGACATCACGTTTGGACGATTCTGATTAGTTCAGTTTCAACCAACTCCAAAATCTCATAGGTGGTAACTAATATGACATGTTTTCTCAAGTTACCTTGCGTAGCCTCTTTGAACACTCGGTAAAGTTCCATTCTTGTTTCGAGGCGAAGGTTGGCAAGAGGGAGATCACAAATGTGGAATCTGCTTGGGGATATCACGATGTCATTGCCGATTTGCGGCACCGGCGTAGTTTGGAAGTACTCCCGTGGAATCGAGGGCTCAGGACCCATAACGTTAGTGATATTCTCAAGGTATACTTCAGGGGGGTAGTCATCTTGTAGTCCCCAAAATGTGACGTTACGTAGAAGTAGTCAGTACCATCAAGCTCGATTTGGCGTTTGAACTTGATGGGATACACCACCCAGTCACCGAGTTGGTCAATCCCAGCAACATCAAAGAAGATTGTTGAGCTTCCTGCCTGATATGGGCTGGTGAACACACTGGTAGGCTTGAAAGAGGGGTTCAAGGCCAATTGTACACCTTCAAAGAAGCGATTTACACTTGGTTCAACATAAACATTGAGACCGAGTCCAAACGAGACTGTTTGGTTGTGGAATCCCACAACATTGCTGAGGGCAACACCCGTCAACTTCAGAGTGTTAGGGATAATCGTCTCCGGAGGCCACCCTTCTCTGCTGGTACCAAAAGGACGGACACGAACATAGTGATTAGGACTATCCATGGTGACTGGAACCGACTCCATCGAAGATAAATTGGGTACCAAAAAAACGTAAGTTTGGCTATGTTAAAGCTTCTCGATGTGATGTTTGTGGTTTCTTTTCTTTCAGCGGATAACCTCATACGTACAGCACCTACCAAGAAAATTAAGCTCGCAATAGTAAATTCCAACGGCGCTCTACTTGCCATTACTTTCCGGTGAGAGCAAAATTATTAATCATCGACGTCTAGACTAGCCTGGATAGGATCGCTAGTTGTTTTGACCCGAAACTTTCGCTTACAAATTGTCAATAGTTATTTCATTCATTGCTCATTAGCTACCTCAATTATTCACTTAGACAATTGCTTAGCGGCTTCGCCGGTCTTTTCGTAGCGGTCACGACGGTCCAAGGGCCCTCTGCCAATCGCTTTCTCAAGAACCTCGGAGTAGGGGGCTTTGGTTTGGCTGGGAGGGTTTTGTTGGCAAACAATGTTGAAGTAGTTCTCGTACAAGTCGCCGTCCCACTTACCAATGGCGGAGTTGATGATAGCGTCGGAAAGCTGGAACGAGTCAGTGAAGGCAACGACGTGGGGGCGAATCTTCTTGGCAAGATCGGGCAACACGTCACTGTTGACGTCACCAAAGGTTTCCGAGTCAATCAAGTTGTAAGTGAGGAACAACGTCAGCACCTGTTGCAACACGAAGGCGGCAGCATAGTTTTGACCCATCAATTCCAAGTAAGGCTTCACCAGGTTGTCAGGGTGTTCGGCCACCCGGCGAGCGTATTCACGCACCAAGTAGTGGTGGGCTCTCAAGCGAGTAAGCAACACCAATTCGGGGCCCAAGGTGTCCATGTTGCCTTGGTTTTGCTTGAGCTTGCTGGCAGCCCGCTCCGACAATCTCACCATCCCCACTTCCAAAGCGCGAGCGAACTTGTTCAAATCCAACACGTCTTGGGGCGACTTGAGCACCGTCTGCTTGCTGTTGCTGCCGGTGAAGTCGGCCGACTCAGCCAAGAACTTGATCGAGTCCGAGGGGGCCTTGCCCTTGTCGCGAGCGTCAATGTACTGCTTCAACATCGACTTACCGACGTGGACACCCAAGATGTTGTTGTCACCTTCCCACGAGCACATGACGTGCCAGTCGCTGAAGGCACGGCCAAACCCGTTGTAGGCCAGGTAGCCGTGACCACCACAGGCTTGACGGCATTCAGCGATACACTCAGCCGCCATCCACGTCAAGTTGGACTTGCACGACCCAGAGTCGACGAACAATTGCTTGAGGTCGAGGATAGCCTGCTTCAACCCTTGCTTGTCGTTGTTCTTCACCGCCACATCGATGTTGGCCATGATGGTGCGAGCCTCAACCCGGCACTTATAGGCCCCGGCAGCAGCGACGTAGGCCGCCGACAAGTAAGGGAAAAGACGACGCTGGTGGAGCGAGTAGTCGATGATCTGCTGCTCTTCCTTGGGGTTGCTGTCCTTGGGGAATTGGGTACGGCCAATGGCGTATCTGAGAGCGATGGTGGTCATACGAGAGATCATCCGGAACGAGTCCTCAACCATGCTGACTCTGCCGCCCAAGAGAGCCGAGTACGACAATTGTTCCAAGGGAGGCAAGGTGACCTCACCGTTGCGGGTGACCTTGCAGAACTTCTGCAACATGAAGAAGCGGGGGATGCGGACGTTGGAGAACTGGATCCACCCGTTGTCGATCCCGTCACGCCCCATCTTGGCACCAATGTCGCCGACGGTGACACCGGGGTTCAAGTTAAAGTCGGCGTCTCTCAAAGGCACCACAAACACCTTGACACCGTAGTCCTTACCCTTAACGATAAGTCTCGCGTAGGTGGCACAGTGGGTGGCGGAGTGAGCGGCACCACCAATCCACCACTTCGAGGCACCAATGTGGGGGGTGTTGATGACGAATTCGTCGGTTTCCTCGTCGAAAGTGGCGGTGGTTTGCAAACCGGGGACGTTAGAACCGTGGGCCAACTCGGTCATCCCAAAGCACCCGTACACGGTCTTGATGCTGGTCGCCTTGTCGTCCAACCAGTAGTTTCTTTGCTCGAAAGTACCGTTACCGCGGACGGCGGGAACAAACAACCCGAGGTGGACACTGACTCTGGTGTTCAATTGCGGATCAAACGTCCCCACCACCAGCAACCGGGTGGCGAACTTGTCTTCGCCTTCAATTTCGAGGTACTGGGCGAGGCGAGCGATCTTTTTGGCGGTGGTTTCTCTCTGTTCGGCCTTGGTTTCGTCGTAGGTTCCGGGGCCCACCGCCAAGATGGGGTCCCGCTCAAGCAGCTGCAACACGTCGGCGACGTGTTCCGAGCGCTCTTGCAGCCCTTCCAAAAAGTAGTTCATCTTGACGGGGTCCCAAGCCAGCTGGTCCCGCTCCCGTTGAAGGAGGTTACGGGGGTTTTGCGGCGGCGACGTGTTTACCCGGTTGGTGACGCTAACCATACTGAACTGCGGTTGTTTGACTAGAGTGAGTGGACTGGAGAATGGCCAGTGCGAAGGGGCAGATAGGCTATTTATACAGCTGACGAAAACAGGGAAAAAAGGGGCGGGCACACCTCGGCAGCGGGTGCCGCCCCGCATCGCTGCCCCCGCGAAAATGTGGGGAGGGCGTGGCGCAGGGCTCGCTGCCTCGGGCCGAAAAGATGAGAGTCTGAGCAGAGGAGACTGGGGCAGAGTGAAGGAGATTCATCGATATTGGGAGAAAGTGGAACATGAGAGGTATACGTCCACACAGTTGGAACTTCCATTTAGGGTAAAATTTGTCGTTTAAATTTCGTATTGTTTAGTGGGTGGGGGAGGACAGGTGTTCACCGATCGCCGATCGCGGGTAGACGGAATTAGTTACCGACACTGTGTGCAGGCAATATACCAGCCCTGCGATAAACCCGATACGTCGTGGGGTAAAGGAAATCACGCCATATCTTTCAAAACCGGAGTTCATCGGAGTTGAAATCACGCCACTTCCGTCATGTCGTGCTCCTCAGGCTTGAACCACGCCTCCCGCAACGTGTCCCAGCACTTCTTCGCGAGCGCCTTAGCCGCCAGTTCCGAGTCCGCTTTACCCTCACAGTAAATCTTAATCTTAGGCTCGGTGCCCAGCCCGCGAGCAGTGAAGCGGACTTCGTGGCCGGTGGCGGGGTCTTCAAGCACCATCGTGATCATCTGCAGATGCGGGTCCACGGGGAGGTTCGGCTTGTGGTCGGGGGTGTCCAGCTGGTAGCCCGTCGTCAAGTCGCGGTACGACTTAGTCTTGAAGTCGCCGATGGGGTCCAACGGCTGTCTCAGTTGACGGATGGCGGTGAACACCTCGTTGGTGAGGGTGAGACGCGGTACGCGGTAGTAGCCATTATATTCTTGGAAGTAGCCATAGCGAGCATAGCCCTTAGCCAACGCCGCCTCGAGGTCGTGGTTAAAGTGCTTGTAGAGCTGGAGAAAAACGGTGGCAGCGGCAACCCCGTCCTTGTCGTGAGCGGTGGCAAACATGAACCCGATAGCTTCTTCGTAGCCAAAGGGAACGGTGTAGCCTTCCTTCTCAAGGTCGATAGCCTTGTTGCCAATCCACTTGAACCCCGTCAAAGTGTCAACGTAGTGGAACCCGTCCACCACCGCCATCGCCTTTAAAATTTGTGACAGCACCGTCAGATTCACCATGTACAACTTTTTGAGGTCGGTCTTGGTGGTCTCGACAATGTACATGGCGAACAAGAAGCCGATCTCGTTACCAGTCAACTGGCGCCAGCCGTTACCAGTAAGGATAGCCGCCAGAAAGCGGTCGGCGTCAGGGTCATTAGCAATCACCAACTTCACTCCATTTTCGGAAGCTACCTTAGAAGCCAAATCCAAAGCTCCGCGTTCTTCGGGGTTAGGGAACGCCACTGTGGGGAATTGAGGGTCCGGCTGAGCCTGGGCATCAACCACGTGCATCTTATAGTCGGTGAAGTAGCGAGGGAGCGCCTGCGCCACGATGTCGAGCCCCACCCCGTGCATGGGGGTATAGACGAAGTCAAACCCGAGCGACGGCATCGTCACCAGTTGCAGGAGCTTTTCAATATACTTTTGTTGCATTTCGTCCAAGCACGGCTTCAATTTTCCCAGTTTAAGACCCTCAGCAAGCGTTTGGCTGACTTTAGCGTCCGACCACGGTTTAAGGTTGGCATCGATCAGCGCCGCAATTTCCGCGTCCACCGGAGGGATAATCTGACACCCGTTGCCGTAGTAGACCTTGTAACCGTTGTCTTTAGCCGGATTGTGACTGGCAGTGACCATCACCCCTGCAGTAGCGTGGACGCGATCAATGGTGAAGGGAACCAACGGCGTGTGGCTGAATCTGCCACCCACGTGAGCGTCAACCACTCCCCCTTGACTGTAAGGATGTTTGGGAGGCTGGTTCAGTTCCACCGCCACGGTTTCGGCGCCAACATCGCCAGTGGTGGCGAGGTAGTAGACATCGAAGCCGCGGCTAAGTACAACGGCGGCGGTAATCTCGGCAAACCGACGCGAGTGGTGGCGATGGTCAAAGCCAACAACAATAGGACCTTGTTTGACGTAGTCAACAAGCCCTTGACTCGCCTGAAGCACGGTAACATCATTCATGTTGGCGAATCCGGGGGCCATCTCCAGGCGCAACCCGGCGGTGCCAAAGGCAATCCGCGGCAGCATAAGGCTGTCAATGGCGCTAGAATTGCCGGCAGCTTCAAGCTTTTCGATTTCTGCCCGGGTGGCGGGGTTGGGGTCAAGTTCTAGCCACGACATGGTGTTCAAGGTCAGTGCCGCACGAACGAGCGTACGGCGCCCGATATATTTGGCAATTCTCAAACAAGGAAGAAATGCCGTCCGCAGTGAAACAATCATCACGTTATGATGCTAAAAGAATGCGTTGCCTCCCGTCCCAAAGGAGATGAAGCTACTTCCTATTGTTGTTGCTGTTGATAAAAGGAGGCCTGTCGTCCAAGAGCAATTTATGGGTGATGGAGAGCTTTGTGGAAAATGAAACAAACCACTGAAGATTTCTAGATCAAGCTATGATAGACGCTGTTGTCACCATGATTCGCAAAGATACTTCACCATTGATACTGCCAGAGTTGTTGGTCGTGGTATATATAAATTACCAATGAACCCACCACTGCTATAATTGCATACGGCTTGAACATACAACCTGATACGAAAGGCAAACAGTTGTATTGATATTTAGTCCTGGTGGTGGAACTCAGTTTCATGAATGACAATTACAGAGAGTAATACCATCACGGGTGACGCGGCGATGAAGACATTCCTAATCGTTTGGTTGACCACTGCGTTGAGAAGTTCATTTGCGGGATTGGTAAAGTTATCACTGGCAACAAGAAAGCGAGGAAGAACCGTCAGTGATCGTTGACAGAGTTTTGTCTGTGTCAACTGAAGTCTAACTCCAATCAGCTAAAAGCGACAGAACTTGAGCTAAAAAGGCAACTAAACTTCAGGCCTACGAGTTTTGTTTGATGGAGGTTGCTTTAAACAGTCAGTAACGTAGCTATTAGAGTAACTACCTATGATGCTGAGGGTTGACCAATCCCGTTCTCGACTGGATTCACCGCCATTCCCAGGACAAAAGCTGGCCTGCATACTTACGATCGACAAAGAGACGAGGAATTACCGTGGAGCTCATTTCCGCTTACCTCATCAGCTCGTCGTCGAGGCGACGCTTGACCACACGCATCGTCATTAGAGCGATCAAGCTGTAGGGATAGGTGCTCAATTTGGGGAAAATGATGGCGGGGTCTTTGTTACTTCATGTGCTCTGTTAGATGCTCGAGGTATAGGGAGCTGAAACGTGGTAATATCAAGAGTAAATTCCGCCACCGTCATCCAACCTAAACGAGTGCATATCAGCCGTTCCCATGGCGCGTCTGTTTATTTTTCTGGAGAGACGATTTAAGACGCATCAAACTGAACCCGCCACCCACCAGCAGAATCGGTTGAATGAAAACTGGACTCTGGAAGCCTGCCAGGATTATCTGTTTGACTAGTCGAATGGCACGTCACTTACTAGCTATACTACAGAGTCATTGCCCGTGGGGTCGCGTTCCGTGTGAAGAGCGCCTGCGGGAAGAACGTCTCACAGGTCGTCCCGACGACAATGGGGCGTGCAATTGGCCATTGATGGTTCCAGCCCATCCAAAAAGGCAATACTGCCAGCATTGAAGTTGACGACGCTGCGCGGTAAGCTATTGTTTCACATTCTCGGTCATCGACACCAAGTCGTGTTACCCTTCCAGATTTAAAGTTAAATGACTTGAGGATAACCCTAAGCCGATCCCTTGGGCTAGTCATAATTAGCCGCGTTGGGATCGTTGATCGACGTGGTCAAGATTGCCACAAACGCATGATGACGGGGCGGTGGGCTGACTCTAAGCGATATCAACAAAGGCGGGGAGTTTTTTCCTACTGGCTGCATCCCAACTTATGTCCAGGAGCACTTGCGAAAGGCGGGTAACCTTCCCTCATTCACTCACTGGTCGATGAGCAAGGCTACTTGTCCTTTTGGCATAAATACTCGCATCTCGCTGGACTTCTTGTTTTTCCTTAACCCACTTACACCTACTTTTGACCAACATAGTTACACCTTTAAACCATCAATGAGGACAACTGAATATTAATTGGGTTACTGATTTCGCCTGGCTTGAAACCTAACGATGTCATCCCTGAATGGACGCAACCCTACTTGGCGTGGACTTGTTGGGGGATCCCTCTGAGGTAATTATTTCATTGTCAGATATAGCGACTGTGACGGCGTGGACGTTGGGACGGCTTGACCCCTGTTGATCGCATCCCGAATGGATACAACCCAACCTGGCGTGGACTTGTTGGGGGATCCCTCTGAGGTAATAACTTTACTTTCGGATATAGCGATGGTATGACCTGGATGTCAAGTTGTTGGTAAATTCAGGGACTCGATTGGGGGTGGACCCCCCAGTTGTGCATCTGGCATGGCCTTCGATGAGTAAATAGAAGTATATAGACTATCGTAGAACTCCCCACAGGGAGTAGTTAGCGTTGTTACAACTAGTGTACGACGATCAAGGAGGGAGTGGAATGGCTCAAGACTAAGTCAACTGGTAGTAATACCGAGGGAAGGTGGTAAGTATATAGGTCAATATATTGAATCATTTAATATTTGTATAAAATTCCCTGAGTTCTGCTATCAGAACGAATCATTTCGGTGTGTAGGCGTGTAATTTCCATGATATACCGTACCTTGCTGTAAGACATCCTACGTGAGTCTACGTTCCTCCATTATTCGTATATTATGCCACATTGAGGTTATAAGGTCTACGGTGGTTCCTTTACAAAAGACTAAAAGAGTACGATTACGAATAAGCAACCACAACAGATTCACCAGCACGTGTAAGCTTAAGTTTCAAGGATTTCTATGAATGCAATGCTCGAGACTTTGATAGTAGTTTTCTTACAAATGTTTGTTTGATTTTCAAACGGAAGAGCACTGGCAATTCTAGGACAATCAACAATCTACGAGTGATTGTGACTACAATAATCTCATCATCCTGTATCATTAGGTCATACCAATCATAAATAGTGTGAATTTACAACCAGTAGGGTGTTTATGCCAAAGTCGTTACAAACGTGGAAAATCGTGAGCTTCGTCAACGTGCGGGGCAAGCAAGTCGGGGGGGTTTATTCACTTGGGGCCCCAGATGCCCAGGTTGCCGTCGAACGTGGGGCCAAGGTTCAACGACGAGGAAAACTTGTTGCCCAACAAGTCGTATTCGCCCTGGCTCGCCGCCAGGGTCGAAGAGGGGGCGCCCTGGCTCAAGTTCGTCAAGCTACCATTGACGTGGTGGCCGAACGGCTGGAACCGCGAGCTAATGTCCGGGTGGCCCAACGGGGTCCCGGGCTGCGACAGCTGGCCCAACCCCAGCGTGAAGAGCGCCTGAGGCTGGCCCGGGGTCGGCAGCTCCGTCAGCAACGGCGGCGTGCCTCTCATGTCGACATACAGCCGAGCGGCGGCGGCGGCACGGGCGCCGTTGAGCGCCGGCTGCTGGTACAATTGGTGGGGCGCCCCCGCCGGCGCCCTCAGAATCGGCGCTTGCGGCGGGGCGGCGCCGCCGAGGGGCTGGTGCCCTTGGTACTGGGGGAAGTGTTGCTGCTGGATCGGCGTTGTCAGCTGGTTGCGCAACGCCGTCGCCCGCGGCATCGGCAACGCCAGCTGCAGTTGCAGTCTCAACAACTCCGGGTGGGCCGGAGGCGCTTGCGGCGCCGCAGGAGCGGGCGCCGGCATCGCCGTCAACTGGTTCAAGTTCATCATCAGCGACGAGTGCAGCGGCGCCGGCGGCTGCGCCAACGTCCCCGGCAGCTGGTTGCCCACCAGCAGCGCCACGTAGCCGGGCTTGCGCCTGACGATGATGTAGCCGTTGTCGAACAACTCCAAAAGGTTAAGGTACTGGCACAACGCTGTCAACACCTTGCGCTGAGGGATCAGCAATCCTTGCGCGGCGATGGCGAGCTCGAACACCTGCTTGGCGATGTCGTCGCGGTACACCACCAACTGGGCGAACAACTCCAACGTCTCGGGGTCGTTGAAGTTGAGTTCCATCGGCTGGGGGTGGGCGAACGCTGGCGTCACCGGCAACTGCAAGTAGACACGCTCGGTAGTCAGCGCCAGCGGGGCGCCGTTGACGCTCAAGTTTTTAGTGGCGGCGGTGGTCAGCGCTGCCAGCAAAAGCAGCGCCAACAGGGCGTTCAGCGTCGACCGGTGTTGCTCTTCCAACTGGCCGCGCTTCTCACGCTTCTCGCGCTCGATGCGCTCGCGCTCTTGCAACGGCAACATCTTCTTGTACTCCACCCGCAACTTGCGCCCGCCGATCTCGCGCCCGTTCAACTGGTTGACCACCAACAGCGTCTCGTCGGTCAGGGTGAAATTGGCGAACGCCAACCCTCTGAACACGCCGTTGTCGAAGTGGTAGTTGAACGCATAAGGGAGAGGCAAGTTGAGCTTAGTCATCACGTCCAACAACTGCTCTTTTTTGATGGCAAAGGGGATGTTTTTGATGACGATAGCGGTGGGGATAAGTTCGTCGTCGTCGTCGTCATCGTCGTCGTCGTCGTGGGTGCTGTCGGCCGCGTGCGCGCCCGCTTCGGCGCCGTCATCCTTCAATGGCCCCGGGGCGGCGCCGGCGGGGGCGCCTGCCAACTGCTGTTCCACCCACACCCCCGTGGTGCCCTGGCCCATCCACACGGGGTGGGGGCGCTGGACAATGCGGGCGTTTTGCATCTGTGGCGTCGCCAGGTTCGACGACGGCACCGCCAGCTGCATCCCGGGGGGCCCATTGGCGGGCGAGTAACCCAGCGACGTGTACCCCAGCGCCGACAGCAACAGCGAAAGCGACGGGCGCCGGTGCATCACGTCCATTTGGCTTGCAGAGCTCGAAGCAAGATTGTTTTCCATCGTCGAAGTCGCTAGATGGTGGTAAAAAGATTTTTCGCAATAAACTGGCGCGAGCACACCCACCGCCCAGCGGCGTCCTCCTAAAAAAAGCCGCCGGCGGCGCATCCGATCCCGAGCGCTGTCACCAAGAGGCGCCGAGTCGGAGCAAGCGGTGCCCCTTACCATGACGGTGGCTATACCTCCTTAAAGCTAGCTACCGTTTCTATATATTGTTGTATTGTTTTAGGGGACTACAAAACTTACAGTCCGGAATAACGTCAGTCATTGATTTAAATGGGGACGGGTCACGTGACAGATCATCCTCGGGAACCAGGGTGGTATCCATCAAATTAGGTATCGGTGAATAGAGATTGTCTATCGCCACCACAAAACCCGAGCCAAAAGCGGCTTGGCCAACCACACCTAGAATTCACATCAACTAAACCTCTAGCAGTATATGGGTTAGTAGCAGTGGTGTAAGGGTCACTTAGCCGTCGTCATTTGCCACGTGTTACAGGTCACTGGAGGTGACAGCGCGGCGTTTGTGGTGTCTGGTAGCGAGGAAGAGTGCTGGAGTTATCGGTCGTGGTCGCAACGGTCGCTACAAAAAGCCCGCGAATATTAGGATTCAAGAAGGATACAAATTTCCTCTAGACTAAGGGATAGAATACACTAGATGATAGTTGTCTGGCATCAGTGTGGTACACTATACGAGCGCTGGTTCTAAGAAAAATGGGTTCCAAATACGAGATCATAACGTACACCACCAATTCTTTAAATTATGCCAATACAACATCTTAGTGAGAGCAAACTATAGACACAGTCAGATCTTGCGGCTTAGCTTCAGTTTTGTTCTTCGCTAAGTTGATCGCACACGATCTTTCGAAAGACTGATAAAATGTCATATGTTGTCCCACACCTCAGACACTCACACCAAACTTTCAAAGAATATTTTGATGAAATTTTGTATCTCGTACTTGTCACTTAACATGTTGACTTCGTGTCCATTTTATCCTTGTTTAACCGTCTTCTCTTCAAAGTCTTTAGTATCGTCTAGTGGGGGGAGATTTCCCCGCGCTCGCAACCGTGGTCCATCCACCGCGCCGCGTTGATTTTTTCAAAGTGAACAACTGGCCCTCAAAAAGCTTCCACGCCCATATCCACAATAATGGTACGTCGTTGAGCCTGGTCCCCCTATATTTGACTTCTGGAACCTATTTGTCATGTGTGCATCTACGTGAATCACGGTTTGCGTATATCAATTTTCCGTCGAGGTCCTGAATATTGAGGCGACTACTTATTCCTTCCTTCCTTGTATCGACACATACTAACCACCCTAGTCTACCCCTGGCGGCTTGCGTTCCGAATCCAAGAGAAAGTCGACGGCGGCGAGAAAGGAAAAGGCGGCCAACGCCACCCCCGTGTCGACGCGGGCCGCCGGTGCCGGCGGGTCGCTGTCGACGATGATGAAGTTGTTCACCGACGAGGCGCAAGGGTTGAGAGTCGACCCGTTGGTGGTGCTCATCTTGGCCGTGGGTTTCATCTTCTCGGTGATCATCTTGCACGTGTTTGCTAAGCTCACCGGCAAGTTCACTTCGTAAAAAGGTTGTCGATGCCTGTTTGTATTAATAGAATAAAGATAATGATGGCTATGTACATATGTGTAAAAACGACCGCCCAGCGACCAAGAAACGCGTCCTCATTTGAGTGAGGCCGGCGGCTCGGGGGCGTCAAAGTCGACGTCGTCGTATTTACCTTCTAAAAGGTCATTGAGCGAGTCCTGAATGTAGGCGCTCTCCTCGTCCATCGGCTGCTTAGCAAGCTCTTTTTCCTTTTCGTAGCCCCCCATCATCAGCTTCATCCGCCAGCCAAACTCCTTAAACGTCAGCACGTCCAAAATCCAGCAAGTGCCGAAAATCATCATCGCCGACACCAGCCCGCACAATAACGTCCCCGTGCCCACGGCGACAGCGGCATCGGTGGTGAAGTTATACGAAAGCGGCGGCGCGTGGTTACCTTGAAACAACGTCGGCACGTACTGACGGGTGATGGTCAGCTTATAGGCAAACCTCAGGGCGAAGATGGTGACGGCAGCGGCCGACATGAATCTCACCATCTGGAGGTTACGCCGGCGGATATATTCATCCAGAGCATCGCCAAGCTTGAAGTTGAATTTCTCCAATAACGACCGTTCCTTCAGCTGGGTGTGGGTCATTTGAAGTAAAGTGTGTGTGTGGAGGAGGTATTAGAAGGTACTACCAAAAAGTGAGATGCGAACTTCACTTAGATGTGGGATTCGATATATCGACTACTGTTACTAACACAGCGATTAGATAATTAGTTTATATAGTGTGGCATGTGTTACATAACTTCAACGTTAAAAAACGATATTCAACGGTTCCGGAGAATACCCGTGTGGGGGGGTAACTCCGATGACGACATCGTTTGCGGGACAGCTCAGTCGCACACACATTTTACTAAAAATGCCAAATCGTCACCCATTTACCATTAACCAGATTTATCTGTAGCGCTGTACTAATGTCGACCTCGTCAAGCCAATCACCAACCACTCACCACATAATGATTATACCATACTCTACTCAGCAGACTCCCCTAGTTTTTCAGTCTTTCTCCCTTTCTTTGTTGCCGTTAACGTGTTCTCAAAGGGTCGCTTTCGCAATCACATGGGGCCCAACGCCCGCCACTCGCTTTACCACCGCCAGGCGACAAATCATGCCACTTTCCCCACGTTTCCAGATACCAACGAGGCCCTCGTACGATGACCACCATTATCCAGCTAGTCATTTCACATGGTCACCAAACGGCCAATTTTTCTACCATCGTCTTCTACCATTTTCCAGGACATAGCCTAGTATCTTTGTCTAGTGGCATTTGAGTTACACTGCGGGAGCGAGATGCACCGGCGACTCCGGCGTCGAAGCCCGCAGTTCCGTGCCAATCGCTGAGCTCCGCTTCCCCTCCAGAGAGTCTAGCTTTCCCCCCTCATATCGCCGCCCGTTTGGCACACGCGGCCCTGGTCACCGGGCGCGCACATGCACGGTGCATATGACTTTATCCGAACACAGTATATAGTATGGGCAGGCATTTCCTCCCCCGCAATCCCCACCATCATGCTTGACAAAGTCGACGACACCCAAGTCGACCTCCTCGTCGCCCTCTGCGACGGGATCATCCACGGCACCTCCCCCGACGTGGTGAGGCCCTACTTGCACCGCGACTTCCCCGTCTCCGAGCTCCAGGCGTACTTGGACGGCTACGCCAAGCCGCTGGACTTCCCCCAGTTCCGCCAGTTCGTCGTCGACCAGCTCGAGTGCCAGGCCACCAGCCAGATCCGCCAGCTCGTGTTGTTGTGTGCGGTGTTGAACCTGCGTATCTTGAGTCCCGCCATCACCAAGACGACGACGTTGATCACCGAGATGACGGTGCAGGAGCGTGAAGCCACGTTGAAGCAATGGCGTGACTCGCCCATCGAGCTGAAGCGGAAGCTTTTCCGCTTAGTGAATACGTTGACGATGGCGGCATTCGTTAAGCTTATGACCGACTTACACGGTAAGGCCATCGGTTACCCACTTACCGAACTCCGGGCACAATTAGAGGACCAGGAAGTCGACTACTTCAAGTACCAGTTCGTGCCTAACCCGCAAAACTCTAATGTCGAAGTCGTCGTTCCTGAAGACGTCCTCGTCATTGGTTCTGGCGCCGGGGCCGGGGTCGTCGTCGACACCTTGGCCCAGGCCGGGTTCCTGACGTTGGTGTTGGAAAAGGGTAAATACTTCAGCAACGAAGAGCTCGTGATGAACGACAACGACGGTACCGCGGCCCTCTACGAAAACGGCGGTGGCGTGATGCTGACGTCGAGTCAAATGCTCATCCTTGCCGGTTCCACTTTCGGTGGTGGTACCACCGTCAACTGGCTGGCGTGTATCCCCGCTCCCTTCAAAGTGCGGATGGAATGGTACAAGGAGTACGGCCTCGACTGGGTCGCCGACGAACGCTGGGACCAAAACCTCAAGTACGTTTGGACGAAGATGGGAGCGCTGACTGACAACATCAAGCACTCGTACCTGAATCAGATCGCGTTGGAAGGTGCCGCCAAGTTGGGCTACAAGGCGGCTCCCGTTAACCAGAACAATGGGGGCAACACCCTCCACGACTGCGGTATGTGCCATTTGGGTTGCCGCTTCGGGGTGAAGCAAGGTAGTGTCAACTGCTGGTTCCGCCAGGCCACCGACTTGGGGTTGGCTAAGTTCATGCAACAGGTTAAAGTGGAACGGATCTTGCACGAAAAGGGCAAGGCCTACGGGGTGCTCTGTAAGGACGCCGAGACCGGGGTCGTGTTCAAGATCGTGGGCCCTAAGCGTATTGTCGTCGCCGGGGGGCTGCTCCAGACTCCCGTGTTGTTGCAAAAGCTGGGATTCAAGAACAAGCACATCGGGAAGAACCTCAAGTTGCACCCGGTGACGGTGGCGTTCGGTGACTGGGGCAAGGACGTCGACACTGAACCTCACAAGCACCTGATCATGACGTCGGTGATCACCGAAGTCGATGACTACGACGGCAACGCCCACGGGTGCAAGATCGAAACCATGCTCCACGCGCCGTTTATCGAAGCGGTGTTCTTCCCTTGGGACGGCTCTGATAAGGCCCGTCAAAACATGTTGAAGTACAACCACTTGCTGACGATGTTGCTCATCACTCGTGACAAGGGCTCGGGTCTGGTCACCTATGACAAGAACAAGCCCGACGTGCTTGTGGTCGACTACGAAGTGTCGAAGTTCGACAGAGAAGCGCTCTTGGAAGGGTTCCTCTGTGCCTCCGACGTGTTGTACATCGAAGGGGCGATCGAGATCTTCTCGCCGCAACTGTGGACGCCTAAGTTCACCAGCACCAAGCCCAAGCATGCGCGTGATATCAACGATGCTGACTACCAAAAGTGGAGACTGGAAGTGGCGGCGATCCCCTTCGACACCTACGGCTCTCCCTACGGTAGTGCCCATCAAATGTCCAGTTGCCGTGCCACCGGTAAGGGTCTGGGCCTCGGGGCTTGCGACGACAAGAACCGCTTGTACGATTGTAAGAACGTGGTGGTGGCTGACGCCTCCACCATGCCCACGGCCTCGGGCGCTAATCCCATGATCACCACGATGATGTTTGCCCGCCACGCCGCGTTGAACTTGATTGAGGACTTGAAGCCCAAGGCGAAGATCTGATGACGATGATGAACAATTATTTAACCATGCTACAAATACACACACGATTAGGCGATAAATGTAGACGTACATACGCTTTTTCTTTAACTAATCAGTAAAGTCTGGGGCGGTTTATGAGTCGCGCTTGTCCCGTCAGCGATGCGGATTTAGCTCAGTTGGGAGAGCGCCAGACTGAAGTCAACTTCGGTCCTGAAATCTGGAGGTCTTGTGTTCGATCCACAAAATTCGCATATATTTTTCACGTTTTTGACAACAAGGCTACTTGATTCACGATAATATCTAACAAAGATTCATAAAGTAGTCACTTCTGATGATGATAACGCTTAGAAATCGAATCAGCTTAAATCAAAATGTGGATTTAAGTGGTTTGTATTTTTTTTGCATCAAGCCTTTATGGCCAAGTGGTAAGGCACCTCACTAGTAATGAGGAGATCGTCAGTTCGAATCTGGCTGAAGGCAAGAGCTTACTTTTTGCAGCCATTTTGACATAAAATGTCGTATTTTTTTTTTCATTTTTTTTTTACAGCAATAACCATTGAGGTTGTCACCACTATATATATAAACCGCTCTCCGCCCTCAAGCCCCCCTTTTAAAACTACCTACAGTATTGCTGTCCATGCCATATTAATCATTATATACATTAGTTGAAAGCCTTGTCGAACTCGGTGAACACGAAGCGGTATCTGACGTCACCGTTGTCGCAACGAGTCAAAGCGGTGTTGCAACCCTTTTCCGAGATGGGTACTTCCTCGATCCAGGGCTTGATGTTGTTTTTTTCGACCAACTTGAGCATCAATTCGGCTTCTTTCTTCGAACCCAACAACGAACCACCAAGCAGGGTGCCGGTGAAGATCATGGTGAAGGGAGAGAAGCTGTAGAGGTCAGTGGCCTTGGGGGCGCCCACAGTGACGACGTGGCCACCCACCTTCAAGGTTTGCAAGTACGAAGGGAGGTCCAAGCCGTCGATACCCGAGGCACAGTTCAACACCAAGTCGAATTGGCCGGCGTACTTGGAGGCCCAGTCCTTTTCTTCACCGGTGGCGATGAAACCGGAAGCACCCAATTCGAAAGCCTGGTCACGCTTGGCCAGCGATCTCAGCGACACCACCACTTCAGCACCCAACCCCTTCGACGCCAACATCACCGCCATGTGGCCCAAGCCACCAAGACCGATGATGATTACCTTCTTGCCCTTGGCATTTTCACCCAAGTTTCTCACTAGAGGCGAGAACACGGTGAGACCACCGCACATCAAGGGAGCGGCATGCTTCGAGTCGATGGAGTCGGGGATGGCAAACACGTGCTTTTGGTCAGCCACCGAGTGGGACGAGTACCCACCTTGGGTGACGTAGCCGTCGCCAAAGTTGGTGTCGGCAACGTTGTAAGTGCCCACACCCTTAGTGCAGTATTGTTCATCGTCGTTGAGACAACGGTGGCACTCGCCACAAGAGAAGGAAGCGGCACCAATACCAACCCGGTCGCCGAGGTTGAATTCAGTCACCTTGGGACCCTTAGCAATGACTCTACCGATGATTTCGTGGCCAACGACAAGGTCATCACGGTTGAGAGGACCCCAGTTACCTTGCACGGTGTGGATGTCGGAGCCACACAACCCGCAGCACTCATTTTCCGTCATGATGTCATAGTCGCCCAACTTTCTCGGAGGGTATTCGACCAACTTGGGGTGGTTCCAGTTTTCCTTAGCGTCGACGCCAAAGCCCTTGATGGTGGTGGGGATAGTCACAGTCATGATTGTGTCAGTGATAAGTGTGGGTGCCAGGGTCGGCAGCAAATGCTTATTTATACAATTTTCCCTTCACGTATGATTAGACAATCGGCTGCATACACGTGCTGTCATGGCATCGGTGGCGTTGCTAAAGTTTCCAGCCGTGAAAAATCGGTACCAGAGGATAGCAACCAAGCCAATGCTGAAGAGGCTAAGTTGGTGGAAAAGTAAAGTTAGCTTTCCGTCATTTACCACACCAAACTCTACCGTTTTTTTTCTGTCTGTTACTGGCTTGCAGGGTCGTCTGGCTAACGTGCGGTCGACATTATTTTCGGCGATGCCTGGATTTGTCAGAGTGCCGATCGCAACCGCCGCGTTTTGGGCGATTACCGACGCCGGGACGCACACCGCTTTTGGGCTCGTACCGATCGGAGCTGCCGCAATTAGGGCGGTACCGATGAGGGGGTGCCTGTCAAAAAAAAAGGAATTATGCCGACATCACATATATCCGGTGACGTCAGCGTAACGGTTGTCTATATGTCCGTGAACCTGGCTTGCTTACAAATTTAGCATGTAAAAGTATCGTAGGGACAGTACAAGCTTTACCAGCGCCACACCTGCACCTCCTAATCGCCATCGGATTAACTATTGACGATACCCAGTAAAAAGTCAGGACAGACACTACCAGTAGGGATTAAGCTTTCTTGGCATCAATGGTTTCCTTATCTTGTAACCCCTATTTCACGCCTCTTATCGATCAAATCATGTACGGTTTTCTTTTTTAATTTTTGGGTGAGTCCTATAACTTCCTATACATACTGATCTGTAATGTTTTCGTATGGTAGCGCTGCGCCCTCGAAATTACGCGCGCTCGTACACCAGAGAATGTAGCCAGCCTCCCCCCCCACCACACACGACTATGGGCCAGTGTCTTTCCAGTTGCCTTGGCGGCGACAGGGGCGACGATGTCGATGAGAACACCCATCTTTTAGCCCAACAGCAATACGATACACTGGCACAAGAAGCCAAACTCCTAAAAGAGCAGCAGCAGCGCCAGCAGGAGCTTACGGGGATCGTCAACGATTTGCAGGACAACTTGATCGACGTGACGACGTTTATGCTGAGCCTGGTTCCCGGCACTCCCAACATCACGTTTGAGGACGATGCCCTGGAGGCGAAGCCGTACCCGCTGTTTGCCGGCGACGACGTGGTGCAAGAGGTGGCCCACCAGGCGGCGAGCGCAGACGACGCGACCAAGGAGTGCTGCAAGATCGAGGAGATTCCCGATTTGTACATTAAATTTTGATTTGGCTACGAAGTTTTCCATTAACTTTGATTGTGGCTATATAAAGTGGGGGTGCCTATATAGTCCACGGGGGTATATCTGACGACAATATAACGATAATATGGTAATTGTTTACACTTCGGTGGCGCGAATGAGCACGTAGAGGGCAAACGCCGAGATGACGGGGATGGTGAAGTTGTCGTCGAGCCCCATGAAGTCAATCATCTCCAGCACCAGGGCGATGACGCCGGTGGCGACGGCAAACGTCGCCAACGTCATCTTCGAGTGGGCAGGGTCCCACAACACGTCGCCGGGTTGGTTCACTTGCGGGTAATGGGGGACAAAGTACCCGTAGAAAAGCACACAGGCAAACACCCCGGCGGCAAACGAGCCTAAACAGCCGGCCACCAGCTTGTTGGTAGAGATCTTGGGAGTATACTTACCCCAGGCACGCCCCACCGACAGCGCCGCGGTGTCGGCCCACAGCAACAACAACACCGACATCATCAGCACGTCCTTGGGCATGATGATGAACACGATGATGAGCCCGACCAAGTACCACAAGGTGCCGTTATACTCGTTGATCTCGTTCTCACGGATCATCCACCACGTCGCTCTGACGATGCGTTGGTTGAGTTTAGGGTTACGGAACCGGACAAAGTCGTTGATGAAGATGACGGTGAAAAGGATAAACAACGGCAAAATGAACTGGCGCTGCGAGATACCCATGGTGTACATCTTAAGCGTGAACACGCCGATAAACAGGTGGAGAAGCTTGCGCCCGATCTCGTGCTTAACGATAAACTTTTGGAAATTCAGCGTGGGCGGCGGCAAGATCGGCTCGGTTTCAGGCTTGGTTTCAGACTTGGTTTCAGGAGTAGACTCGACAGGGGTGGCCACCATCAGGTCGTCGACAACACTGAACTCTTCGCCGTCGTCTTCCAGGTCGTCGTCGGTGGTTTCGTGGATGTAGGTAGCGTCATCGGCCTCGACGTACGACGAGTTGGCGTCGAACGAGTGGATGGTTTTGCTGAGTGCAGTGCGCGGCTTGAGCGCCGTGCGCGGGGTCGCCGTCTTTACCGCTCCGGTGGTCCGCTGAGGAGTGCTGGGGACCAGAGCCATTGGGTGTGGAGATGGTGTTGATGTCTAGGCGCCGATGATGTGGGCGGGTGATGCCGCGACTTTTCCGCCTGTGTGCAGGACAAACGGTTGCGCGTGAGGGTTTAAGTCAAAACAGATTTGACAGCGGTTCGCTAGCGAGTTTATTGTATATGGCACCATCCGCCTTGTGGACTCAGGGGGCGGAAGTTCAAAAGCGAAGCCAGGACAAAAGCACCCATCATTGGCATCCAATCAATGTAGACAATTCTAACAAATTAGTTATCTTTTCGGGATTTCCGGACCCGTGAAGGCCTGATAAATGACGGTAACATAGCCGTGGTCACGTGGGGGGTGTCATCAAAATTAGTGGTGACGGATTGCTCGCTCTGTGTTATGTTTTTTTCTGACATTCGCTTCTCTTCACAACTGACTTTTTCGCAATGAGGGTGTTCAGTTTTGTGCCCTGCAACACCCAAAGCGTAGAAAAAAAACCTGGTTTGCGGAACCGCTTCCCATCCACGGTGTTTTGCCTCCACCTCGCTTTTCGGCGTTACCGCTGGCGATGCCAAGCAAATCCTAAGGAGTGGTACCGCCACACGTGGACATTTTCAGTAATGTCCTCGCAAATTGCAATCAACAACGAGTTTTTCTCTCAGCGGTGGCGGATGGCTCGTCGCGACCCCTTTGGCGAATTAGCCTCATCTCTATTTACACCTCTGCCATTGGCTTATGTAACCGGTCGTCGCACCGTGGTCGCTGCTGGAGAGAGTCTGCGGTTGCAGGAATGACCCCCCGCGTTCCATCTCAACACGCNCTACTCCCCACGTTCTAAAAAAAAAAAAAAAAAATAAAGTACACCTTGTTTAGCAAGCCCGGTGTGCTCCACGCTTCCACTACCTAAACCTGCCACCGTGATTCCGCCGTCGTTATGTCCACCATTTTTGAGTTTGACGAAGTTTCCCACTTAACCGAAGCCCTCCGCGACACTGCGCTTGGCGATGAGATTAACTACAAGATGCTTGACGAGCCCCCGGACGTGTTTGTGAACGGCACTCACGTTGGCGCCGAGGACGACGGCTTCGATGAAGAGCCCGTGGGCATCACCCTGGAAACGCTCCCGATCCCCATGCAAACCCGCCATGGCCGGCGGCCAAGTATGATTGCTCTGTCGTACGAGGTCGGTATCGGTGGTTCGTCGTACGTACTGAGACTACTGGGGTCCGGCGGTCTCTACAAGCCTCGGCTTTGCGATTTCGAACCGATTAAAGTGCTCGGCCAAGGGTCCTATGGCAAAGTGTTGCTCGTACGGGAAATCGCGACCGGGCGCTTATTTGCTCAAAAGCAGTTGAAAAAGGCATCGTTGATCATCAACCAAGACACCAACGAAATCCATAAAACCAATTACCAACGCACCCTCAATGAGAAGCAGATTTTGGAATCAGTTAATCACCCAAACATCGTCAAGTTATATTACGCGTTTCAAGACAACAACAAGCTTTACCTTATTTTGGAGTACCTTCAAGGAGGGGAGCTTTTCCACCACTTGGCCCAGGAAAAGTTCATGACGGAAAAGCTGGCGTCGTTCTACATCGCACAAATGGTGCTTGCTTTGCGTTATTTACACGGCCAACTCAAAGTGATTTACCGCGACTTGAAGCCCGAAAATTGTTTGCTTAACAGCCAGGGTCATCTTGTTCTCACTGACTTCGGGTTGCTGAAGGAAGTTGAAGATGATTCCAATTGCCATAGCATTACTGGCACCGCCCAATACATGGCACCCGAAATCATCAAGGGTGAAGAGTACGACTACCGCGTTGATTGGTGGTCATTGGGATGCGTCGCTTATGACTTGTTGACTGGTCTGCCTCCGTTCACCGGGCAGAACCCTCAAAAGATCATGGACAAAATTGTTGCTGCTGCCGCTAAAAACAACAAACAACTTAAGTTTCCCTTCTACCTCTCGTCGGACTCGAAGGACTTGTTGCGTAAGTTGTTGCAAGTGAACCCGGACAAGCGGCTCAACGTCGACGAGGACTTTGAGAAGGTCAAGAAGCACGCGTTCTTCCGCCACGTCAATTGGAAGGAGCTTGAAGCGTTGACCCCGCAATCGGAGTTGCTCCCGCCGATCTTACCCATCATCACTGACCCGGAGTTGGCAGAAAACTTCGACAGTGACTTCACCGACATGCCGTTCACGCCTGATACCCACCCATCGTACATGAACGGCAAGGACATCTTGCATTTACAGGGGTTCAGTTACACCAACGAGAGCTTTTTAGCGAGCCTAAACGGAAATTGATAGAATACTACAGGTTAGTTCATATTAAATTCGTATTTCATTATCGCAGTCTTAATTTAATCAATGCAAAAGAAAAGCCATGGGAGCTAATGCTAATAAGTGAATCAATGATTCAATGGGAAGGATACGCTTGTAGGAGTAGTTCTGACAGTAAACCCAATTCTGTCGCCACAACAGGAAAATCGCCATACTTACAAAGATGGCGATAGCTCCCGGAAGCGACGACACGGTGAAGGCAGCCACCACGAGCTCGATGCCGAGCATAATCTTGCACCAGGCATCAAGGATGATCCACGGCATGGCGATTTGGGGCGAGGGGACCCCGAACTTCTTGAACATCGGGTCGACAAGGAGAACCTGCTCGTTGTCGTCCATGGTGACGTCGTAGTAGTAGTGCAAAAAGTATCGGAATTGCGTACATGAGGTCTGACAGCAGGGCTTGCGGTCACCAACGCCCTGGGTCAAACTATAGGTAGACAATTTCCGTTTGAGTAATGGATACAGCTCTTTGGAGCAATGGATGCGTGAGGGAAGCATCCAACAAAAGCAGTCCAGTAAGCGACAAGCCTGTTGTCGAAGCGGTACCTGGTCAAAGTACTGAGATACAAACAGCGGTTTGGTTGATTGGACATCAACCAACGTCAGTGAGCTATCTTCACTATGAGCATCGCTAGCTTCATCTGACGCCGTGGCTCCGTAATCGTTTTCAAGGTACTGGTCTAAGGCATCAACAGCTACCGTATCAATGTGGTAAGTGTTTCGTGGCGACACCGAGTAAATATGGTCAATATTGTACGACGGCGACGCCTCGATGGATGACTCAATATCGATGGGACCGACCCATGTTTCGGCAAATATTGGCTGCGCGTCAACCAGTGTCAGTATCGTCGTCACCAGGTTCCGCTTGTACGAGCAGTGGTCTTGCCAGAGCTGGTACCATTTGATGAAGTCAGCGTACACTGAGTCGTACCACCAACGGAGACGAATGTAGCAACAAATGGTGATCACTGTTTGTGTGGTAATGATCAAAGTTAGCGTCGTGAGGGTGTGAGGTCCGGTCACGACTAAGGCCATCACCAACGCCACCCTCACCAAAGGCATGGTGATCCGTTTGAATGTGGTGAGCCCGTCCATCTTGTTGGATAGTGTAAGGACGTCGTAGATGAAGTTGACGATGTATATGGCAGCCTCGGCAAGTAAGGTAAACACCACCACCTCCACGTAGGGTTTTAGTGGTGATGCCATGACAAGTCAGAACTGTGGCACTTTCTCACAAATGTTGTGGTTGCGTTAATGCTCGCACCTGAGACAAGGCACAAAGGGAGGGCAAGCAAAGGTGAATTGCCAATTTGGAGAAGGGGTTGGGAGTGTACAAACTGAAAAGTTGATTACTTGAGAACCGATTGTTCTAGTTTTGACTTGAAATCATGATGATGACTAATGTCATCTATGCGCGATGTGATTGGCTGGACTTCTCCGCGCGGTTCGCAGTGTTGCCTGAAACAGTATCTCGATCCTCCCCTCCTTCGATATAAGCGGATCAAGATCATCACAACTAAATTAAGCGATGGAATGCTTGAACCAAAGACTTATTGTCAAATTGATCCGCGATCACTTATATTTAGCGGTTTGAGTGTAGCTTACAATTCTGGGATTGAATTTAATTCATTTTCCAATCCGTTGGTACACGGTCGGTTCAATTGACTATGACAGTACTACTATTTAGCAGTGTTCAGTTATAATTCACTATAAACGTTGATGCTTTGAGATAATCGGAGGCTTTCCGGTTTTGGCAGCTGGATCCCCAGATACACGACAGGTGCGCGTATACTCTTGATGATGCAGAAACTCAAGACTTCGCTGGCGGGGCCATTGCTTGGAATATAAATACCTTGCCAACGCTTGCATCAACCATCCTTTCATGAAGAAAGCAATTGTCATTGGCGCTGGTGCCTCAGGACTCAAAGCTGCCTACGACCTTAATCAGAACGGCAACTTCGAGGTTACCGTGCTTGAAGCCGAGTCCCGGGTTGGCGGCCGGATCAAAACCGACCACAAGCTGTCTGCTATTGGCAATCACTATGACTTGGGAGGAGCCTGGTTTCATGATTCTCTTAACAACCCCGTGTTAGACTTGGGGATGGAACTTGGTGTGATTTCTATCGAAAAGGGCACCGCGTACTATGACGACAAAGATCGGCTTTACTTCGGTAGTGAGGGTCACATCGATGTGGTGAACAATCGAGCTAACCGCGTGGTAGAGGAGATGTTCCAATTCATTGGTGGCGTCTTTCAAACTGCCCCCGACACTCCCGATACCTCAGTCAAGCAAATGGTGGATGAGTACTTCAAGCGCTACCCTCATCGTCACACTGAAGAACAGCGTCAACTAGCTCGTCGATTGGCGAGATATTTGGAATTGTGGTCAGGCGTTAGCTGGGATCGAATGCTGGCCAAGTCAGCCCTGCTTGAGCTCGAAGGGCGCAACATATACAACGTCCACGGTTACGACTTTCTCGTCAACCATCTCTCGAAACCTTTAGAAGGTAAAATCCGTACTGGTGAGAAGGTTATCGCCATTGATCGGTCTAAATCTCCCGTTGTTGTGACTACAGAGAAGCTGACTTACGAAGCTGATTACGTGGTGGTGACGTTGCCCTTGGGAGCATTGAGACAATTGCCCGAACAAGGTGGGGTTGAATGGTCTCCAGCTTTGCCAAAAGCGTTGCAAGCTAGCATTGATGGGGTTCATATGGGAGCATTGGGTAAAGTGGTTTTAGAATTCGACCAGGCATTCTGGGATGTCAACCAGGACCAATTTGTCATTCTTCCCGATGAAAACTTAGCTAAGGAGACTGGGAAATTGACGGGATTACCTCCTCCATTTACTTATGGTACCGTCATTGTCAATTACGCAGCCGCCGGGAAAAAGTTGAATAACAACCCCGCCTTAGTCTGTCTTACACAACTGCCGTTCACCGAATGGATTGAAAGTCACCCTGATCAAGCGTGGGACTATTTTGGCCCTGAGGTGGAGAAGCTTGCAGTTGACAAGGTAAAGTTTACCAAACCAACTAATATCATCGTCACGAACTGGACCCAGAACCCTCACTTCAATGGTGCCTATGCTGCCCCTTACGTCGGGGAAGACATGGTCCCCTTAATTGCTCAATTAAGTGGTGAGCACGAAGGTATGGGTCTTGGGCCAGCAATCGAATTTGCCGGCGAACACACCATCTTCCAAGCCACAGGGACAATCCAAGCAGCGTACTTGAGCGGGGAGCGGGCCGCCAAGCATATCATTGATCACAGTGGTCATCTGAACTAATTAGCATCAATTTAGTATATTCATATCCCTAGCTGAGAGATCGGTGCAGTGTATCAAATTCTTTGAGGTTTCCCAAAAAGAACCTGATTTGACATACATCCATCGTCGTTTGGTCTATGAGGACAGCCAGGGTTGTAGTAAACAAAGTTTTGTGGTTTGTACGGCTTTTCTGCTCCACACAACATGGAGCTATTAGCGCTCGGGCAGTATTGTGGGGATAAGCGATAACGCATATATGACGTAATTGGGAATAGCGTCGTGTTTAAACTAAATTTTGAGATTCCGTCACATCAGGAACGAACCTTTCTGGTGCTAATGCCTCATGAATGATACCGGTAACGCTGTGATTCGCTTTGGGACGTGCTCGCCCGATGAATCACTTCACAAGTTTCCTGCCAAGTGATATCTTTAGTATCGATTGAATTTGTAAAAACATGCCCCCCCCTAAGGAGTACAGTGCTTCAACGCCGTGTAGCGCCTTACGCAAATTGCGCCTTCGATTTAAACTTTCACAGCCCCATGCCGTTGGGTTGAGCCACTTAATACGAGCCGACCCACGCTCTTGGTCATCTCAGACATATTCAGTATATCCATATAATGTCCAACTCCGCTCCACCACGTTACGAACTATCTAAGCATCCTCATTAACATGAGATCTTTTCACTTATTGTGGAAGTTGTGGTTGTCTCCGGAAGAGTACAATAGACGTTGGGAAAAGGAGAAAATACGCCGTCAAAAGTATCGAAGATTAAGGCCTAAAGGATCCATCTTTGGTTATGGAGACATGTCGATGGCAAGTTGTGGTTAGAATTCTCTTATATATAGTATAATTCAAATCATATCAAGATTAATGAGAGCAGTAATTCAATGCCAATACCAAGCGAGGTTTCTCTCTTCAAGAATCATATTCTAGATGGCTCGCTATGTCGTGCCGTTAGTGACGCGTCCACCTACGGAACTACGAATACAAGTTTTATAGAGTCCTCCCACGGAGCGACTTCTGGTTTTAATCGAGGGGCAAGGCACGTGCCACAACTCATATGCTTAGCTGGCTAATTATGCCCGCAACAACTACCAGATATCTATTTGCTTACAAGGCTATTGGTGCACCCCAAGACGGACGCTTAAAGAATAACTGTCACCGTAGAATACCGAGATCAGGATGAAGTGGCGAAACCACCGCATTGAGTGGAAGAATATCACTCACTAGTTGACTATAACATCTCGCCCTTGCTCGAATTTAAAGTAGCGAGTAGGATCTTTAGATCTGAGATCATTGCGCCTTGAATTTACGATAGGCGTGAAAGAGATTATGGTCAGGTAGGCGCTACCAAACGACACCAACAACGCAATTGACATTGGTGGTGGAGTGTATCTTTTAAAGCAAATGATGGTATCAATTATCCATGGGAGAGGTCGTTTTGATGACTCTCGCACGCATGACCATATTCGGAGACTTCAACCGCCGCATTTGATTTTAAGGCATGATGGTAACGTCGTCGACTCTGTCGAAGTCTATAGATATCATCCATCGCCTGTAAACCTGGTGTGATCGCTTAGTCAGCCGACTACTGGCATCGAAGGTGGAACCATCGCGAAGGTTCTGGAGGGTTGCGAAAAAAGTATAACTTTGGCCCCGAATCTCCCGACAGCAAACCAATTGACCATGGCGACCAAGTTTGATGCCGAAAACGCTGAAAACCTCGAGGACATCGAGAAGCAATTCGCCGTGAAGGCGGTGAAGCAGATGATGACCTACTGGGGTCTTTTGGAGACGGTGGGGGGCTCCAACTTGAAGCTCACTCCCCATGATGACGACATTTTCAACACCTTGTTGGAGGACTTCCCCGAATTCAAGGACAAGGAGAACGTCAAGGTGATCAAGGAAGAAGAGATGAAGTCGCCCGAGGGCAAGAAGCGCTGGAGAGACTTCTGCGAGAAGTTCAACGAGATGGACGACTACAACTTCGGCACCATGTTGAGAGCGAAGTCGGACGAAGAGTACACCGAAGAGAACACCATTTTCGCCGTGCGGATCCAGTTTTACGCCATCGAAATCGCCCGTAACCGCTACGGGTTGAATGACTGGGTGAAGAAGTAATGACCAAATTTATACACAACTTAATTATGCCCCTACACGTGTAGCCACGAGATGTAGCCGAATGAAATGTCATGTCTTAATTTCGTTACAACCCCAACGCCTCGCGCACTTGGCGGCGGACCCGTTCATCAAAGTCGGCCCGGTCGTCACGCCACAACTTGCAAGCGTCGATGTTGGCCCCCAGCTCGGGGTTGGGCTCGGCAAGCATCAGCATCACCAGCAACAAGATCTTCTCGATGCTCTGCACCGGACTCCACCGCTCCTCGGGCCGCTCGTACTGGTTGGGGTCCTCACCGGGCGGGTGGAGGATCAGAATGCACACGTTGCCGTCGGCGTAGATGTTGGGGTGCAATATCGGTGGTTCGAACTTAAGCTGAGGCGGGCTCAACGGGTAGTCCTTGGGGAAGGTGATCTTGGCGGGGAACACGCCGTGCTCGTAGGGGGTTTCCGTCGGGCCCTCGATAAGACACTCCCACACGAACAAGTCGCTTTCGGAGACCGGGCCCGCGACGATCCCGGGCGGCGGGTCGCGAGAAAGCTGCTGGAACTCCTTGAGGAGACGTTTCTGCGCGGTGGAGCGAGCCATGGGCGGTGGGTGTGGGAGTTGTGGTGGGAAGGTAGGCCGGTGGCGTGCGGGTGTGTGGTTCGGATCAGGTGCGAAAAGGCCGTTACTAATATACTACAGATAGCGGCAGAGAAGTACCTGGAATATTTGAAATTTGTACGTGGCGTGGATTATAACGTGTGATGCCACCCCTAAATGCTAATATTTACACTTCCTACCACCGGAAACCACGGTTTATGGTTGTCATAGTTTGTAGCTAGACGTCTCGTAATGTCGCATGCGGAGATCACTACCACCAACAAATACCACAAATACCACAAATCTCATACAAAATGTAAGTAATGTAACCGTAACTTGAATTTCTTCTAGAAGCAGACCATCACGGTATCCTTCCTCAAATCCCTTAACTCCTACACCTTCTTAAAACCACTTAACGTCACTGTGCCTGCCACTAACGGTCGCGTGCTAGGTGGCCATGAAATTTTCCGCGGCGGCGGTGTTACGTTGTCTTTAACCCCTATGCTCGTGGCTAAAGTGAAAAACGTGTTGTCTGGGGACCAGATTGTGCTTGTGCCGTCCAAGGCCACGGCAATCCCCCCTCCCGAACGGCTTTTGACGCTCCAGGACGTCCGCGCCGACTCCTACGCCGCCAAAAAGTACGTCCACGACACGTTGATCGGTAAGCTGGTCCAGTTTAAGGTATCGTCCAAGGCTGCCACCCGGGAGTTTGGTGACGTGAAAACCCCGTTGTTTGACTCGCTTGTCAAGGACCTCTTAGAAAAGGGCCTTGCTCACGTCAAGGACAATGTGCCTGACTCCGACGAAGTATACGAATTGAAGCAGATCCAGGACCTGGCCAAGCACCAGGGTAAGGGCACGTGGTCTCTGCTGTACCTGGAACCCACCGAAGTTTCGATCACCCCGGAAATTGAGTCGAAGCTGAAGCTGTCGCCCCTCCCATGTGTCGTGGAACGGGTAATCTCCGGTGACAGAGTGATGGCTCGCATCATTGTCTCCGAGACCGAACACATTGTCACTGCCGTTTTATTGGGAGGTATCAAGTGTCCTCGTACCGACGAGCCTGCTCAACAAAAGATTGCCAACTTGGCAAAGGTGTTTGTCGAGGACAAGTTGATGACGACCACCTCGCCCATCACCGTACTGATCATCGGCGAATCTCAGCTGGGCGTTCCCATCGGTAACTTCAACCACCCCCTGGGCAACAACATCGCCAAGGCGTTGTTGGATCAGGGTTACGCCGAAGTGGTCGACTGGCAACTGACGCTCGTGGGGTCTCAGACGATGTCGCAATACCGTAAGGCTGAATTGACCGCCAAGGCGCTTGGCAAGGGGATGTTTGCTCAACAGACGGCTTCTGGTGCCAAAGCTCCCCTGCATACCGGTACCAAGGCTAAAGTAGCCGTAGGGGCCACCATTGACGCCACTGTGGCCAAGGTTGTGTCTGCTGACACCTACGTGCTTAGACTAGCCGACGATCTGGAAATCACCGTGCAATTGGCGTCGGTGCGGGCGCCTCGTCCTAATGATACCACCGCCGGCTCGTCGCAGGCGGCGCTTGTGGCTACGGCTAAGGAATTCGCCCGTGAACGTACTATTGGGAAGCCGGTTCAAGTTTACATTGACGGTAACCATGAGGCTAACCCGGAGCACGGTTTTGATGCTCGATTCATGGTGTCGATTAAGGTCGCTGGCAAGGACTTGCTGGAACGTTTAGTGAGCCAAGGGTTGGCCACCGTGCTCAGACACTCCAAGGCCACTGCTCACGAACGTTCGCTTAACTGGGACCGCTTGGTAGAGATTGAAGAAGAGGCTAAGACGGCGAAGAAGGGTATCCACTCCACAAATATCGAGAAAATCCTCACCGTCGGCACGCGGGTGGTTGATGCTTCGGAAAATGCCACCAAGGCCAAAACCTTCTTCAACGGGTTTAAGCAAAAGGGCCGGATTTCCGGATACTATGTCGACTACGTCCCCCTGACCAACAGAGTGCGGTTACTTAACCCTAAGGAAGGTACCAAGCTTGCCTTGATTTTGGGTGGTTTAACTAACGACAAGCTGGGGCTTTTGAACGACGAAGGGGTGAAGCAATTGAACAAGAAGTTGTTGCAACGTAACGTGGAGTTTGATGTCTACGATGCTGACAAGGTCGGCGGGTTCATTGGTAACTTGTACATCAACCAACAAGCCGCGACTCCGGTGCAAGTGAACTTGGTGGAAGAAGGGTTGGCAAAGCTTCACGACATTGGTGTGGGCGCTAACCCATTCGCTGATAAACTTGAAGCTGCTGAGACTGCTGCCAAAAATGCCAAACGTGGAGTGTGGGCTAACTACGACGCTAATGCCGAGCAGGCCAAGCTTGAGCAAGCGCAAAGATCGCTTGAAGAAATGCTGGTGGCCGCCAAGACGCCCAAGTTCTTTGATATCGAAGTCGTTGACATTGATGGTCAGGGTGTGATTTCGTTCCACATGATTGATGCTGCGACTAGCGCCAAGTTCTCGCAGTTCAAGCTCGACTTCAATCAGTTCCACCAACAACACCCGAGCTCGCTGCAATCGTCAGTAAACCTCCCTTTCCAACTTACTAAGGGCCCGAAGAAGGGTGAGCTTGTCAGTGCTAAGTTCGAAAACGGGAAGTACTACCGGGCTAGAGTGCAGTCGTTTGACCGCACTACTGGTAAATACTTGGTGAAGCACATTGATTTCGGTAACGTCGACGAAGTGCCGCTTTCGCTGTTGCGGGCGTTGCCGCCTCAATTCAACACCGCGGCCTACCCTGCATTTGCCCACTCTGCTGTGCTCAGCAATGTTGACCTTCCTCCTTCTAAGCCGACTGACTACTTGACGGAGTCGATCGAAGCTCTCGAGGACTTGTGCTTTGACAAGAAGTTGGTCCTCGGTGCTCTTCCTTCGACGGTGGCTGAGTACGAAGGTACCCTTTACGATCTGGCCAACATTAGTGATCTCCTGAACACCATCAATAAGCAGTTAGTGGCCGACGGGTACGGGATCGTCAAGAAGAACTGCCAAGACCAGGACCTCATCAAGGCCCAAGCGCAAGCGAAGCGCGATCATGTCGGTTGTTGGGAATTCGGTGATGTTACTGCTGCTGATGATGACTTTGCCTAAGTCCGTTTGGCTTTGCATTTATATACTATTATTTACGATAAAACCATTGCCATCGTTATGAACGCTATATTCCCTATGGTAATTACAACTTAGCCTTCAACACCTCATCGGCGCCCGACACCGACACCCCCATCTTCGTTTCCAACCCCAAGTAGCCCACCTTACGGGTCTTAGCGTTCACCACTAAGGCGTATCTCTCGAGACGACCGTTGTCTTTCTTCATGTTGTGAGCACCAGAGAACTTGCCGTCCATGTCACTGGCAAAGTATATTTTGGGGTAGTCTTTACCCTTCTTCAAGCCAGCGGCCTGCACCAACAACTTACCCCAGGCACTCACCACAAACGGGTCGTTGAAGGTGATGATGATCACGGCACCGATGTTTTTGTCTTGCTTCAACTTCTCGAGATTGCTTAAGAAACCAGGGATGTGGTTTTCAGTACACGCAGGGGTGAACGACCCTGGGGCAGCGACGATAACAAAGTTTTTGTCGCCCAACTCACTAATCAAGTTGTCCATCTTCAACGGGATCGGGCGATCACAGGTCAACGGGTTCATGACGTCGACGTTGTCCAAGTCGAGAGGGACGTGTTGAAACTCAACACCAGCTGGGAATTGGTCACCTCGGTTCAACAGCATGGAATAGTAGTATTGGTAGATGAAGGGATGTATGCAATCGTTATATAGTTCACCTCGGGGTTTTCCGAAGGGAGCTGAAAATAATGCGGGGGGCAGGAAATAACCGAGCTTACATGTCGGAGATAGCCCAGGAAATTGGCTCGAGTAGGAGCCTCTAAAGCATGATTTTGAGGGTCTGGTAGACATATATGTGTACCTTGAACGGCATATATCACTATGAGAGGTAAATACTCTTGATATCTTGCCGACAAAACGACGTGACTACACTATGTTTGTTTGAGTTTATAAAGCTGATCTCACTGATTTCCGTTACGGGCGTGTAGCTCAGTTGGTAGAGCGTTCGCTTAGCATGCGAAAGGTCTTGGGTTCGATTCCCAACTCGTCCAGTTGTTTTTATCTTCTAGAAGTTGACTAGAATTTTTTTTTAGAAAATCTAATAGTTGTCTAGATTAGTATATAGTGATACATCATTAAAAGTCATTCAAAGTCGGCCCAGCTGCCACTCATGTCCAAGGACGCCAATAGTTTCTCCGCTTCGTCTAAATCCTTATCTTCCTCCTTGGCCTTTTTCTTCTCCATCAACTTCTTCCTCATTTGCAATCGCTTCTTCTCGAGATCGCTATTGTTCAGTACCAAGCCCAAGTGTTTCGCGAGAGGGTTATTGTCGAGGGGAGCATTGGTGGGGCCGTCGTTATCTCGGGCATTGTCGCTTGCCCGCGACCCTCGGCGATTGCGCTGGTGTCTTTCAGATTTTGAGCCTTCCGACCGCTTAGGAGCGTCGGCGCGTTTAGGTTTATCGTGTTCCGGCTCGCTGGTGTGGTGATGATGGCGACCCTCAGAACCATGGTGGTCTCCGCGGCCATGACGACGGGGGCCTCGGTCGTGCTGAGGCGCAGGCTTGCGCTTGTTGTCAGGTGTATCTTTAGTTGTAGTATCTGGTAAAGGAGGAGGTTTGCCGATGCGGTCAGCGAGGGAGAGCGGGCTTGACGAAGGCGCCAGAGTCAGGGGGGAGGGGGCGGCAGCAGCAACAGCGGCAGCAGCAGGCCTTCTTTCTGCCAGTTTCCTATTGCCTCGCTTTCTCGGTGCCAGCTTCTTATGAGCAATGCCATCTCGAGCAAACGCCGCCTCGATGAGGGCCCGTTCGTCGTCGTTCATCTATTAGCACACGGGGGGTGAGGGAAGGTGATGAGGGTGGTGCACACATGGCCGTCGGTGGTCAGGGCGTGTAACCAATATGTACCGGAAAAAAGTCGCTGATGAGTGAGGGGGGTTGGGCAATTAAGCCCCGGGTGCGGCTGGGCGGCGAACCCCGCTCACAACCACCGTTGAGGCGGACCCATATCCCGGGCCCCGGACGGAAGGCGCCACCAATTCATATGCTTGCAAAATCAAGGTTTCCTTATTGGTTAACTCCACCAATCACAAAGGGTTGGCCAATTGCGGATCAATTCATCGCTTTGCAAACGATAGTATAGCTAGCTATAGCTAATCGCCGGCACCGGGAGCAAGCGATTGCTGTCCCCATAGATATACTCGGCCACAAGCGTTCCCTTTCGCGTAGAAGTGAGCCAGATATATCTCACCTTTTGGTTAATTGCGCTGGCGGTAATCTCCGCCATCTCCACATTTTTACGGTGGTGGGTGTAATTGTAGTGTAATTATAAAACGTGGTTATTCCACCGCCTCACCCCCTAGCTAACCATACTTTTAGTAATGGCTTGACTTGCCCTCAAACCTTACTGCGACCTTACTAATGTGGGAGGGCCTCGCTAGCAGGGTTGGGTATGTCCCCTGCACACAATGCGTCGCGGTGGGCCGGACGCCTCTCACCCTTTGACATATATTACCTGGTTGATCCCCCATCCATTGAGGCTCCAGTCACCCTTCATTGCCAACCATGAACCCGAACACGTTTACTCTGTTTGACCTCGCCACCAACTTGCCCGCGTGGAAGGCGCTTGAGCAAGAATTCAAGCAAAAGAAGGATTTCTCCGTGCGCCAGGCGTTCAAGGACGACTCTGAACGGTTCGAAAAATTCTCGTTCACCCTCGACAACTACGATGGTTCAAAGATCTTGTTTGACTTCTCCAAGAACTTGATTGACAAGTCGATCTTCGACAACTTGGTGCAATTGGCTCGGGAAGCCGGTGTCGAAAAATTGAGAGACGCCTTGTTCAAGGGTGAACACATCAACACCACCGAAGACCGTGCCGTGTACCACCCGGCGTTGCGGAACCAGGACGACAAGCCCATGTCGGTTGACGGCAAGAACGTCATGCCTCAAGTCGACCTGGTGTTGAACCACATGAAGGAATTCTCCGACTCTGTCCGTAACGGCTCGTGGAAGGGTTACACCGGTAAGCAGATCACCGATGTCGTCAACATCGGTATTGGTGGTTCCGACCTTGGTCCCGTCATGGTCACTGAAGCCCTCGCTCACTACGCTAAGCCTGATCTTAACGCCCACTTTGTCTCCAACATTGATGGTACCCATCTCGCCGAAATCTTGAAGGGCTTGAACCCTGAAACAACTCTCTTCTTGATTGCCCTGAAGACTTTCACCACTGCCGAAACCATCACCAACGCTAACCTGGCGAAGGAATGGTTCTTGAAGAAGGCCAACGACCAATCGGCCATTGCCAAGCACTTCGTCGCTTTGCTGACCAACGAAGCCGAAGTCGTCAAGTTTGGCATTGACCCCAAGAACATGTTTGAATTCGAACTGTGGGTCGGTGGTAGATACTCGGTGTGGTCGGCTATCGGCTTGTCGGTGGCTATCTACGTTGGCTTTGAAAACTTCCAAGCGTTCTTGAAGGGTGCTCAAGCCGTTGACCACCACTTCTTGAACGCCCCTCTTGAAGAGAACATCCCCGCTATTGGTGGTTTGCTCTCGGTGTGGTACAACAACTTTCACGGCGCCCAGACCCACCTTGTTGCCCCCTTCGACCAATACTTGCACCGCTTCCCCGCTTACTTGCAACAATTGCTGATGGAATCCAACGGTAAGCTGGTGACCCGCACCCTGCAATTCACCAACTACCAAACCGGGGTGGTTTTGTTTGGTGAGCCCTGCACTAACGCTCAACACTCGTTCTTCCAATTGTTGCACCAAGGCACCAAGCTCATCCCCGCTGACTTCATCCTTGCTGCTCAATCGCACAACCCCATTGACAACAACAAGCACCAACGTATGCTTGCCCTGAACTTCTTTGCCCAATCGGAAGCGTTGATGACTGGTAAGGATGCTGAACAAGTGAAGGCTGAAGGCGCTGAACCCAAGTTGGTGCCCCACAAGGTGTTCTCTGGTGATCGCCCCACCACCCTGATCTTGGCGCAAAAGATCACCCCGGCGACTTTGGGTGCGTTGATTGCCTACTACGAGCACTTGACCTTCACTGAGGGTGCCATCTGGAACATCAACTCCTTTGACCAATGGGGTGTCGAATTGGGTAAGGTGCTTGCCAAGAAGATCGAACCCCAATTGGCGGATCCGGGCGTTGTTGACAACCACGACGCCCTGACTAACGGTTTGATTAACCAATTCAAGCAATGGGCCTAAATCGCCGCTCTTGTTGCTTGTACGTACGTGAATTAATGATGAATTAGGAATTTCAATGATAGCTAGACAAAGCACGCCATTTTTTAGGTTGAGAGAATGTCTGATTGGTAGTTCGTATCCTGACCATAACACATTGATTCTCCAATGGCTACATTCTCCGAGTTGGTGGTGAGGCATTGGTGAGTAGATTAAGGTTAGAGACGAGATACCGCGGCGAGTTACAATACGACGCTATGGGCATCAGTTGCTAGAAAGTGAAGTAATTAATTGAATTGAATAGCGTGTTAGCATGACATTCATGTTAATGGTATTGCTGTACTTATGACATTAACTTAAAAGACAATTCCCTCCTTTCAATTTGGAGACCCCTACTAAGTGAGATCGACTACGGTACGTCGGCTACGCACGTTAAGAATGCCCAAAGTTTAATTGTTGATTTTGTATCCCAAAAATTTCCCGAAAATAAGTAGGTATATCACGCGTTGAGGCGGCTAGTCGAGGGAGATGGGCTGGTAGTAGGGCTCCAGCCACGCCGCATTGTAGTCAATATCCAACCAGTTGTTGTTAGTGGCACCAATAGGGGCCAATTCCAACACCTGGACGCCGCGGACCCGCCGCAACTTCGTGGTGTAGTGGTTGCCGTTAGCCACGCTGAGTTTGTGGGCGATCTGGAGGTCCTCGAGGCGTTCTTCCTCGAGCTGCTGTCGACTCAGAGCGCCGTTCAACGCTAGCGATTTGGGCGGGGCATTGTCGTAGACCAAGTCGATGAACTCAGTGATGTTACAGTGGTTGGTAGTGCGACGGGAACTGTTGCCGGCAACGGTGTCACGGTGTTTGGGGAGGGAGGCGTCCTTAAAAGTCGGTGTGGGTTTGGCGTCGGTTTCAAAGTCAATGACACCTGAGTCAAATTCAACTGATGGTATCAGCGTCTGGTCCATGATCGAGTCGACCAGCGACACCAGCAGTTCCGGCAGCGGCACCGATGGAAGCGCCTTGAACAGGGCAAGACTGAGTCGTTGACGAAGCATCCGGCTCAGCCGCAGGCGGGGCAAGTGGGGTAGCGATTTGTTGGCACTTTTAAGTGCCAGCTTAGCCAGCAGATCCATCATGGGGTAAGGGGTGGCGGTACTGATGGGCCCGACGGGTATTGCCAACAATATATACCGGCCTCTTAGTACGCGCTTGAAAAAAATATCTGCAGCCACTACGCGCTGCATATTGGGAGGCTTGTGCTCAAAGGCAACATTACGGGGGGCAGGGATGTTTACCCGGGCGGATTGTTGAAAGGGGGAAGGTGAAACGACAGGTTACAAACAATGACCAATGTAAACAACAGGCAACGTATGGGGGTTTCCGATTTGAAAATAGCATTTCTTACCATCGGTCACTATCCTCTCAGCCCTCAGTCGCCGCGCCTGATCCGTGATCGCCTGAGATCATGTCCCAGTTGCAGGCTCAACGACGTGTACTCTGCCCACCGTGTCTTACAAGAGAAGGACCGAAAATTGCGCGATGATTTATCGCCAAGAGCCAGAACCGTTGCCGAACGGTTCTATGCTTACGAGAGTATCGGGATCACTACCACTTTAAACCGACCATACGGCTATGGGGATGATCTGATGAGATGGGAGAATTAGGCGTGCGTGTGAGTGCATTAGTGTTAGGTGCTAAAAAGCTTTGGCAACACCGCGCGTTGTCTGGGAGACGGCGACGATCATAGGGAATGAGGAAAATTTTGCGTGTCAATCAAAACAGACGCTGCCGTTTTGGAAGTGATGAGCCCCTGTGTGTGTGTGTATATTCTAAGCCATAAGCAATGTACGTTTTTATTCGGTCGGCGCCTGACCTGAAATCAAATACGACCACAACAAAGGAAAAGCCCCTTTTTGGCGAAAATTGCCCACCGCTGCAAACAATGACCGAGAGCCGGAGATTTGTTTGGTGATTGCCATTGTGAGAATTTGAAGTGATTATAGTGCGCGGGCTCCCGCTTACCTAAGCCTTATATTGGGGTTGGGTTTACTGACAGAGTGCTTCCTCTACAGCAATTGTTAGGGTCAATTGAAACTCCATTACAAGATTGTAAGTTTCTATTGTGGTTAGTTGTTATACCCGGAATTGAGCTACTCACAATCGCGCACCCATCAGAGTAATCCGGATGCAGCCCAAATGATAACATCCACGGTCACGAAGCGAGCCAATTGGAGGAGATACAACTAACGTCCCAAAAACTTCTCCTATCTGTTTTATCTTGACATCAATTGATCCCAATGCGGACTTGACTGGCCCAAGATTTGGCTATTTGAAAGCTTCCACAATAATATTAATAACTACATCTCTCATGACATGCATTTCTAAGTGCATATCCAATCGGACGCACCGCAGTCCAATTCTGACAATCCAAACTCATAAATCTTGTAGTTTAACTATCTCATTACTCGTGAAGACTTCACTAATTCCATATACAAGTTAATAGTCGTCGACGTTGGCCATGAAGCGGTTGTAGTTTGCTCTCGTTCCCAAAATACTGCGCTTTGAGCCCACGGTATTGTTGCGATGCAAGCCCATGGTGTCGCCGTCGTCGCGATCAAGGTTCCGCACCTCGTTCATCAATGGGACTTCACTAACGTGATGGTGAGGCGGCATCGGCAAATCCTTAGAGATGGTGGGCTTCTTATGAATCAGATTCACCTTGATCACCCGGTTGGCCAAGTCCATGTGGCGCATGTCTTGCTCACGCTCGCGCTCGTGGTCACGCTCAATCTCACGCTGGCGAAGCACCTCTCGTTGGTGGTATGTAGTGTTTTCTGGCAACGGGAGGGCGCCGTCGGCGCGCAGATTGAGCCGTTCTCGAGGATAGTTCCGCTTTGGCGGTACCCTACCTCCAGGGGGGTACACGTGCATGTCGGCCGGAACCAGTTCGGCGCGGACATGGTGGCGGGCTACCGGCAGTTGTCGGGCCATTGGCGGTTGGTGCAGCGCGCGCCGCCGGGTGGGATACCCGTAGGTGTCAACTGACGAGGCAATTGACGGCGTGTCCGGGTCGGGGTACTCGTCGTAATAACCGTCGAGGATGTTACCGTACTCATCAACGAGGTATTCATCGTCACCGTACTCCATGAGCGACTCGGGCCCGTCGTCGTCCATCATCACCGGCGCCGCCGTCCCCTGAGCGGCACGGCGCTGGCGCCAGTAATTGCGCGCATAGGGCACCATGCGGTGTGGAGCTAACACCTGGTTAAGCCCGATCATGATAAAGATCGCCAGAATGAGCACACACGACCGCATGAGCGGCGAGTGGAACACGTAGATGAGCGACGGTAAACAAAAGCCAATGGCAAACAGCGTGAGGTTGAAGCGCGTCATCTGCAGCGCCTGGTCCGGCAGTGGCGGCACCCCTGGGTCCTGAACTTGCGATTGCGATCGCCTAAACATGGCGCCCAACCTCGTCCACCACGGTCCGTCTTGCTGCTGCTGCAATTGCTGTTGTTGTTGCATGTAGGCTTCCTCTTCGAGCATTTCCTGTTCTTCGATGCTATCGACTCCGTCGCCAGTAATTGGCGGCGGCGGGGCGTGACCCATTGGACCCCCAGGGAGCGGCGCTCCAGGCGCCCGCTCCATCATCACCGGCGGCTCGGGGCGACCTCGATAGCCATTGCCCACGGGGATAACCTTGGTGGTGTAGTAGGGCTTGCGCATCATGGGGGCTTTTTTCGTGAGGGTGGGACTGGCTTCAGGCAGAGTAGGGGGTGATTCGACCGCTGGCTGCTGTTGAGGTGGCAGCGCCGGTGCCACTGGGGTATAGGGGCACTCGTGGAGCTCGTTGTCCAGGTCGTCGTCCGGGTCCAGCGGTCTGCGCAGGGTCACGGGGCGGTTGTCGATCTTTTGGAGCCGGAACACGCCGTCGGGATCCTGTTTGTAGACGAGCTTGCGTTTTGTGGCCAGGGGGTTCTTATTGGCGGCAAGCTGGGGGAACACCATAGACTCGCTGAGAGGTGCTGGGACGTCGGCGGTTGACGATACAGACGACAGTTATGACGCCTTGACGAGGGGGCGCTATTGCTTCTATATAGCACCCGCCGCGCCGCGCCTGCAGCCGCCGGGTCGTTAATCGATGATGGCGACGGGGCTGGCTCCGCTGACGTATCCGGGCGTCGAGTGCCCCGAGGGGTGCGTCACATGAAGATGAAAGATTACGAGCGGTTAAGGGCGTTACTGGCCGTGTAGGTGTGGTATTGGGCCTGAGGTATTTATTTAAGTATTCAAGATAACCCCGACAATTGCTTTGGTGCAGGTTTCAAATGGGAGCTCGTTACGGTTGTCAACAGGAAAATTGAGCTGGTTACCGGGTCGCGCCTGTGTGCAGGAGGTAATCATCCACCGGCTGCGAGTATCGGTGTACCCCTCTTCCACCAGCCCACTCTCTACATGAATATATCCCACAGAATAAAAGTTTACGAGTATACACCTGCGCCAATGCCTCACGAGCTGTGTCACTGTCCGAAGTGGTATCTATTTCTTCGCTTGTTGAGCCTTGCGGGCGAGTTTCGCCTCTCGTTCCTGTTGGCGTTCCCGGTTCACTTCCTCCTGAGCCTCTTTAATCGATTTGGCGACCTCGGGAGCAAAGATCTCCAAGAGCTTAGGTGCCAAAAGCATCGAAAGCGAAGCGATAAAGATGCCCAGCAACCATTTGTTCTTGAAAACCGGACCCAACGGACTGTTCATGATGAGGCCCATCAATGACCCCTTAGGAGTCTCGTAGAAGTTCTTCACCGATATCACGGATAACACGACGGGATCCTCAGATGTCCCTGCCACTGCAGCAGTGATGTTTGTGCCCAACACGTAATCATCAGGGTACACCTCCACCGAGTCGTCTTCGTCGACGTCAATCCGCAACCGCGCCTGATTCAAAGCAAAGTCGTAGGAGTTGATGAGCATTGAGTAGTTCCCAGGTTTCAAGTCTTCGATAGTGAACGAATAATCGCCAAACACTGGCACTAGCGACGGCTCGGGCTTGCCGATTTCAAACACCTCGAGCGAGATTCGTGACGGGTAATTGGCATCGTTGGCAACAACAATGTTGCGCTGCTGATGATACTCGACGATATCCTCCGGGACGTTATCCACTCGTCCGTGTACGGTGGCAGCGGAGGCCACCAGGGCCACCATCCATAACTGCCAGAGGTTCATTAGCGTGCGCACCCGCACGAATCGATCTCTTAACGTAGCGCCACGAGGAGAGAGCCACCAGTGTATTAGGCTAATTAAAGCAAATTAATTCGTTGTAGATATTGCATTGAAATACAAATTGAAGACTGTATCAATATCGTCACGCGATTCAAGTGAAGGAGAGTGGCAAAACATTGGTGATACGACCTAAAACTAATGCATCTACTAGTTACGCATAGTGACAAAACGATTCACTCTACAAAGTCTAGATGGGGGTCATGTAATTGGTGTCGTGTATAATAATGTTTAGTTGTTACCGAACAGAGTCGAGGTGATGCGATAGTCAGCAACAACAGGCCGGTGGTCGCTAAAATACTGGCCCTGGTAGTAGTTGGCTAAGACACCAAATCGTTGGAGCTCCACTTCCACCTCATCTCTTGCTGATTGCTCAACTTCACCCTCATCAAGAGAGCTACGATAAAACGCCAGGTGAGGCGCCCAGATGTAGTCAATCAAGGTGTTTTCTTCCTTGGCATGATTGAAGCCGGTGTAGGTATACTTTTCTCCAAAAGCGTACTTACCAGCCAACTTCTTCGAGTCCCTTAATCCTAACAGATGAAGCACTTTATAAGGTTCATCATCAGGCTCAGTATTGAGGTCTCCAAGCAAAAATGCTGGCTCGGTGGAATTGGTCATAATGTCGCCAATAAATGACGCGGCGTGCCGTCTGGCTTCTTCGCCCTTGTGGTCAAAATGAGTCACAAGCACTTTAATGGTCACCATGGGCTGGATTTTCAGTGTCAACGTCACCACGGTCACCACCCGGTTCAATGCCGCATCCCACCCTTTGGAAGGCCGATCGGGTGTCGGCAGAAGCCAGTAAACCTGTTTATCCTTAACCTTCCACTGACGGGGTTGATAGAGCACGGGGGCAAACTCGCCTCCGTGTTCGCCATCATCACGGCCTTTACCAAAATACAGCCACTTACCCAGATCATGACGGTTCAACTCGGCGAGTACATCCTGTAATTGGTTATAGAGTACTTCTTGGAGCCCCACCACTACCGGCTGAGTGGCGGTGCCAGCATTGATTTCGATAGAGCGAATAAGTTGGTGCTTGCGCTCCAGCCACGGTTGCTCACCCTTGTCCAAATTTTGGTTGTCAAATCTGATGTTCTGAGTGTAAAAGCGAACTTCCAATTGTTGTTGTTTGCTTAGAATCGATTGGTAGCGAACAAACAGACCAAGGAACGTGAACACCATGAACGCCATAGCGGCTAGCAACCACCATCTCCGCCGCACCGGTTTGCGCCACACCACTTGATAGATAGGCTGGTTGTCGTCGTCAAGCCCAAGCATTAGAGTGTGTAGTGATCTTGTGGATGGCAAAGCGTGATGCAAAAGGAGGGGCGCTAGGTGGTGGCCAGGGGTCACAACCCAGCAATGCCGAGATCGATATCAGTGAACGAGCTTTAGTAAACGACTGTAGACTCTATGTATTCAGTGGCGCCGCGATTGATAACGTGGGTGCTACAGTTGGTTCAGTAAGTTGGTGCATGGACTCATACAGATGGTGTCATGATTGCGCCAACACTCATTTAACCCTCGAAATGATGATTTATGATTGATAAATCAAGCAATTGTGTTTACTCTGATTCAACTGGACAACTATGACTTATCATATACGTTTTTGAAAGCCATTTAGATTGATCACGTAGTAGTTAGCGAGCGGTATTGAGACAAGGATCGTAAATACTCATTAACGTCTCCCGGATACGTTATTATGATTGTGCTTCGTTCAATTTCATGACCGAATATGACTAAATCAATGTATTTCGTGAGTTGGTACCATCTTAAACACAATTGTAGTAAATTGCAATTTTCTTCCTAGACTTTCATTTGCATTTCAAGAAGATTATCGAATGTGATCTGAAGCGCCGGAATAAAGTCGCCTGTGATAAAAACTCGTTCATATCCATTATATCGTACTATAGAATCCAACCCTTCACCTGGACTTTCACGGGGTTGCCCACACTTGAAGTGTGCATAGTATCATGGCTGCAAAATACACCTGCACCTCCGCGGCAGATATAATTTATTGGGATCATATCCGAAACTAAGTCCTTAAAATCACCTGCGGAGTTTGAGTCTTTGGCGTGCTCCAGCTAACGGCTGGACGAAAGTTTTGACCCGACAAGGGAGTTCAGGGGTTTTAGGAAGTTTTAGCTAATCATGAGATCTATAAATTGAGATACCGCTGCGCTATATAAATTCCATTACCAACATGTACTCTCCTGACAGTGAAGCTGAAGGCGAGCCCTCCCGGAGCTCGACGCCTGAGTCAATTGATTTTGCGGCCCAAGAGGAGATGGACTTCTTCTGCAAAAACTTGTTTGACGTATTCCCGGAAGACCCCGCCGACGAGCAAGAATCGGTCGACGATGCTTCGTTTGAGAGCGTCATCAAGAGCTTAGGGCGCATTCAACTTCGTGGCGAGCAAGGGATAGGCCTCCAGGGTGAGCTCTCCGACTTGCTAGAGATGTGTCAGCAGGTGTACGATGAAACGTTATTGCACTCACCTACGAAAAAGCAACAGCAGGCGATTAAGGAAATCTTTGACGCAATCTCCACGATTTACAACAACACTCAACCCCACGGAATCTACGTGCAATACCACTACCGCAAGCTCAAGAAGGACGTTGAGAAGTTGTTCGAAACTCTGTCATAGTCGAATTTTTTATAAGCTTAATCTCAGTCAAAAAAAACACCAAATTTCAATCAATCTATACAATTGTGTTCACAAGGTCTCGTCAGTGTGACCACGGCGCTTAGTCGCAGTGGTAGTACTGGTTTTAGCCAACGCCTCCGCCTCAGTCTCTTTCACGCCTACGGCGTCTTCATCTTGTTCGATAATCTCCACCACTTGCTTAGTAGTGTCTTCAACCGCCTTAGCATCCGCATCTCGTCTAGCATCAGCATCAACGGCTTGGTTCACCACTTGTTGAGTCAAACTCTCGGGAGGAGGACCATCAGGTACAATGCCCGTCACAACAAAGATCAATGCCATGACCACACCAAACCCAATCGAGAACAACACTACAAACACGCAGAAGTAGATGATGATTTTGACAGGGTCAGCGAAAATGGTGGGGATGGGTTTCAAGAAAAGCCCCTTGGCAATCTCTTCCACCTCCGACAAGTGATGTCTCAAAAACTTCACGACAAAATTGTTTGACTTTGGCCTGTGGTCTTCTTGTTCCATAAGCTCTTCCATCAGAGGGGGAGGAGGCAGGGCTGGTTTCACCTCAGCTTCCTCTTCCGCAACTCGAAGCTTTTTATCAGCTAATTCCTGATGGAATTTAGGGAGGAAGGTCAGGTTACCGATGGCTTCTGCTTCCTCGACAGAGTGGCCAAGATAGATATTGTCAAAGAGGATATCGGGGTTCATACTCCACAAATCAAAGCCAATCCCGCCAATGGGCAGAAGACGCCACGGGTGAGTATCGTTATAGTATTTGGGGTTGGTGATATTGCGGGGTTGCCATTCGCCCTTGTAGTTAGGGTTCTTCACGTCGGGTTGAATCCACTTCGCCTTGTAATCAGGGTTGGGAATCTTCTTGGCCGCCCAGGGGCCACATCCACTGACTTCTCTGCACTTGGGATTGACCACAAGCCGCATCCCTTCCCACTCGCCATCACGGTCGACGTCCCAGTCTTCAGGTTGGTCACGCTCAATTTCAATATAGGGCAGCTCATCGACTAACCAGTCAGCCGGCATCGTTTCATTAGGGTCGGGGATGTATACACGACCATGCTTTTCCTCCCACCAGTCAGGTTTATTCGTTTGGTCAGGATCAGGGATGTATTCGCGATCGTCCCAATCAAGAGGCTTAAAGTCCTTTTCATCAACGATCTCCTCAGGAGGATTAAGCAGCGGCGAGAATGTGCCTTCTTCGGTGAGACGGCCAGCTTTGGCAACGTTACCATTAATTCTGATTTCGTAGTGGTCACCATCAACGATGAGGGTGTACAAGTTGGTAAGCAAGTTATAGCGGGCCATTGGCGGCTCCACAAGGTGCTTTTCACTGCTCACCCCAGTAACGGGTGATTTGCGATTGAGAATAAAGTGGACCTTGTTATTGGAACCACACCGATCAGGACCAAACATCACCTGATACTTGGTGGCGGAACTAAACTGAGGCTGAGCGTCGGTAGCGTTATAGTCAAGCAACTTGAGGTAAGCCCCGCCACAATCAAGCCCGGTTTGAAGCTTAACTTCGTATTGTACCACTAAAGGGTGGTCGTCATCCACAGTGAACGGCTCGTCGAACCAGCGGCTGATACCGTGGTGGGCCGCCTTGGTTTTCAACACTAAACCCTTGGTGGCGTTCTCACTGGGATACTTATAAGGTTCTTCAAGCTTCCACTCGCCATCGTATACCTTTTTGCGCTTATCGTGGGCCTTTTTGATCTTCAGGGGTTTCCATGGCAGGCTGGCAAGCGACGAGTAGTTGAAGGACTCCCACCACAGCGACGGCGCTAGTGTGGGGAAGGACCGCTCTGGGTCGTTGGCAATGGCCGCAATCGCCACTGAAAAAGTGGCTAACACGGCGGTAGCTCTCATGGCTTAGGTCGTTTGAACGTGTACGAGGGGATGTGGCTTCGCTTCCATCGACATTGGAGCCGTGCATCTAACCGGCGTGCACACACGTAAAAGTGGGGACGGCTCGAGAATGTGGAGACAGCACGGCTACAGGATCGCAAGAGTGTAAAAAGTTTGATAGAGAAATTTAATTAATGGTGTTAGTCAAAAGTAATTGAATTTTATGTTATGGTGCTACCAGTGTGAATCGCGTTAAATAAAGTTAGTATTAAGGTTGGAAATTAGGTTTTGAATTGGGTTATTTTTTTTCTAAGAAAAACCCACACCGACTTTCACGAATACAGATATCATATTTACAAGAACCATTTAATCAACCACTATTTACCACATCACTCTACATCTATTCTTGAACTTCATCGCGTCGCTAGACTCCAATTTTTTCCGGGCGCGCGAAGGAAAACCTATCTCACCAGCAGACCACCACACCCACCACCCACCGACGATTGCCGGTGTCTGTCCTGTTAGCAGCGAATGCCTCCGAGAATACGCCGGCGGATCACGACCGCACGGCGTGAGCAGATTGAAGAGGAGCAGCGGAAGCTTGAGAAGCAGGTGGTGCGGCCGTTCGATGTGATTAATGGTCTCCCGGTGTCGTTTAAGCCGCCCGGCGATTACGACGAAGTTTTGAAGCAACCGTTGACGGTGAAGGACTCTGGGGTCCTCTACCGACTGCTCCTCAAATCCCGCTATAATTACGCCAACGTGGCGCCAATGTTTCGCCTTCATTGGCTTCGTCAATCAAACTACCAGCGAAAAATGGCAGAATTGGGTAAAGAAATCCCCGAAGATAAAGAGAATCCCGCGCTTGTGGGTGGTCGCCAGCCCGTGCTTGGCTACGAAGTGTCGGCGCGTGACTCGATGGTCAAACTCCACGACGCCACCCTCACCATCGGCCCTCACAACTTTGAGGTGCGGCTATTTATCGCCAAAGATGCTCGCAGTGACAAAAAGGAGCTCGAAGCGAAAAGGGAGGAGGCTAAGCTCCTCAAAAAAGACCAGAAAAAGAACATGCCGCCGTCAGAAGCGGGCCCGCCCCGCCCTCGCGTAGCCTCTGTCCATCGCAGCACCCTGTCTGAGCCGGTGACGGACCCGGCACTTCTGTCGATGGCTCCCGGGGGCACTCGTCATCAGCCAGCCAAACCAGCAGTGGCGCAACCGCCCGGCATGGACTCACCGGATAACGTGGTGATGATCAGTAACCTTAACGCCATCGCCCGCACCGATGAGCTGTTGAATGCGCTCATGAAGGTGGTGGCTCTGGGGAAGGCCAGTGCTGCGCAAATTGTCACGTTCCAGGAATATATCAAGCGAGCGAAAGACATGGGTCCTCAGCCGCATCATGCTCATTTGTATCCTGGGGGTGTCCTCCCTAAACTGGCAGTGCCAGTGAACCCTCCGGCACCACTGCCGCAACCAGTACAGTCCCCGCCTATGCAGATGCCGTTGAGTGGTATGGCAGGCACGCAGCCGTTACCGCCGCGACCCGAACCAAAGATCGAGCCTCCTCCTCCTGCCGAACCAGAAGAAGGTGAGGGTTCTGATGCCGAGAAAAGCGATAAAGAAGGAAGCGGAAGTGATCGCGACGATGATGATGGCGAAAACTCCAAGAAAGAAGACTCGGAGGAGGCAGAAACAAACGACGCCACGCCGCTGCTGGCCACGCCTCACCCGCAACCGTCATCGCCTCATTCGCCAGCTCCAGGTCGCAGCAAAGTGCGCACTCCCCAACTGAGACAATCGTCGCCAGCATCGCCAGTACCGCAAGGGCAACAAGGTGGCGATGATCAGCAGCAAGCACCGACGCCCGCCCCCAAGGGTCAGCAATTCGTGAACCCTAACTACCAAGGTTTGCAGAATATTGCACCGGGACAGTATCCTCCTGGCTACGTACCGCGCCAGGTACGGCCGCAGCCCCCGCGGGTGTTGCTGAAGCTCCCCCGCGACAAGAAGCTTACGGCGTTCCAAGAACGCTATCTCCACGACGCCACCCTCGTGTTTGAGTTTGTTGAAAACGCCAACGTGCGGTTCCAGCTTCCCAAGTGGGCGATAACCGAGGTAATTGAGCCGGAGACCCAGACCAACGCAGATGAAAATGGCGATAATCTGGATACCCGCGACATCATTTGGCTGTTCTTCTGGATACACAACCAACACGAGTTTGACGTGTACGAAGAGAAGAAGAAGAAATACGATGATTATCTTGCGGAAGTACTGCGGATTGAAAAGGAAGCCGCTGATAAGGAAGCGGCGGAGAAAGAAGCCGCTGAGAAGGAAGCCGCTGCTGCCAAAGAAGCTAAAGAAGGCGAAGACGACGGAGACGACAACGGTGCTGAACCTGAAGAAGAAGTTGCCCCATTGCCACAGCGACGGGGTGGGCGGAAACCGCCACCTCGTCGCAAGCCTGCTAAAGGTCCCAAGCGCGTTGAACGCCCGGTGGAGCCTGAAGCCAGATACACTCCGGTGCTGTTTACTATTCACGGCATCCCCTTCAAATACGTGCCGATGTACGTGAACCTGGCCTACGCTGTCGATAAGGTGCAAGCGTACATGCAGCGAATCATGGATACTGGCGTGCGCACCAGTCCATTCTACTTGTGGTACCAAGTCGACGGCAAGCTCGACGAACGCGTGGCCGAGCTGGTACGGCAGGAGCTTGTGGCCGAGGAGAAGCGGTTGCCCGGGGCCATCGACTACATTGGCAAGGAAAACGAAAAGAAGCGCAAGGCCAAGGAAAAGGCCGACATGAAGAAGAAGATCAAGATGGAGGAGCAGGCACGCGAGATACGCGAAAACCGCTATGGCGCCAACCAAACGCCGCCGGGGACGCGGTCGCTACGCGTGAAAGCCGAGCCCGGCGTCGACCCCCTGCTTCGATAGACCCTTTTGTGATGGACTCTCCTCCTTCCCCACTTTTAGATAATGATAATGACCCACACCCTTTTCATGAAACGATCCCTTATTTCTGAACGTTATTCCTATAACAGGATCAGAGGCATGGAAATCCATCTCTTAGCCACGTAGAATACGCACGAAGCGGAGATTTGCCCGAGCCTCAAGTGGGGAATGCTGGACCTTCCCCCCATCTCGGCGAATGGCTGGTTACGGGGATAACGAAGCTTCGCTGCTGGACGTCAAATCCCAAAGCGGTAATGACGACGAAGAGGATTGCCAAGCGGTCGATCCCACTTATTTTTTTTCCGATTTCCTTTCATGGTTCCCGGTTCAGTCGCCGAAGTCACTGGGGCTCAATTCTCTACATGAAGGGGTGCGATTACGTCATCCAACGGTCAAACCGCTCACGCGAACAGTGACAGGTTTCCAGCATAGGATCACAGGACGAGGCCGGAACAGACACTTCCGAGCCCCCTCATATCCAGCTACACCACCATACTAAGCCACAGTAATAAACACTTAGGGATTGAAATGTGAGGCGTCGTTCATGCCAACACAGTGGGTGTCTGTACGGTGCGAGGGGGATTTCCCAATATGGATATAGCTCTCCCCCCTCCGTGCCCCGCTTCCCCCCCAAAGAGAGCTGGTTGCGAACCCCCGTGGCCCATTATCATGCCTGTAATGGACACATATTGACGACGTCACATTGATCCCCGGATATCGGCAGCGTGGGCTAAACTGGTGTGCTCATTAAAGTGACCCATACCCCACATTTGCTCGGCCCACTGCCAGCCACCTCCCCCAACCCCTAGAGAAACCAAAACTAAACAAACACTGGGGATAACTAAATAACTTTAATTGGTGTAGTTATCATTAATTGATTCACATTTGCCTTGGTTGGATAACAATCGCTGAGTGTCGCTCGCTGCCCCCTATCCCTCGGCCGCACGGGGCTTTTCATGTGCGCTGGTGCCCCCATATATAAACAACCCCCCACCCGCCCACCATACTGCTCTTTAGCCAATTGAAACTGCGCCGACTGCTGTCTCCCGGCCTAGACGACTCTACCATGGACGAGGAACTCTTGGAGATCCACTCGAAGGACTTTTTGATCAAATGGTTCCACGCCGCCGACAACCTGGTCATCGACTGGCAGGTGACCCCGCAGAAGAAGCTGATCAACTTTGCCATCTACCGTAAGGTGGAAGATGCTACGCTGGGGGTCGACATCAAGGACCTGGTCGACCACGGCAGCGACGACCACTCGGGCCGCTCGCGGCTGGAGCTGTTGCTGCTGGTGAACCGGGTGACGTCGCTGATCTACAAGCTGAAGCAGCGCCTGGGGACGTTCAACTTGTTGAACAGCACCGACTTGACGTTGGTGAAAAACTACTATAAGTTGCTCGGCAACGAGACCGTCCACGGCAAGCTCGAGGTGCAGCAGGGCGGGGTGTTTGCGTTTGTGTTCGATAATTCGTTTTCGAAAACGATCGCGAAAAAAGTGTTGTTTTCGGCGGTGATCGAACTGCTGACGCTGCTGGTGGCGGCCACTCCGTTAGTGCTGAATGACGACGAGGGCGCCGACGCCAGTGCCGACCAAGGATTCGAGCACATCGGCACCCAGGGGCTGCAAAAGCAAGGGGAATTGTTGCAAGGGGTGTTGCTCAAACGTAAACGGAAAAAGCTCCAGGGGTTCACCAAGCGCTACTTCATCTTGCTGTTCAAGTATGGCACCTTGTCGTACTATAAGGTGGGCGAGAATAAGTTGCGGGGGCAAATGCCAATCAAGACGCTGATGATTTCCGCCAACCAGAAGAACCGCGAGATCGTCATTGATTCGGGGATGGAAATCTGGGACTTGCGGGCCCAGCTGAACGAGGAATTCAACACCTGGGTCGACGCCTTTAACCAGATTAAGCTGAAGAAGGACTGGGCCCGGTCGCTGACTGCACTTACCCAGGGTGTATCGGAAGACGGTACTCAGTACGTGTTGGATGAGCTCGAATACATCGCCAACAAGCTTGAGGACTTGAAGGACCTCACCAGCGAGCGCGACCCCGACGTTGTCGGCGACGTTAACGATATCTACTTGGACGTGCTTGACTTAATTGACGATATCGTTGACGGCACTCGCGGCGACGCCAGTAACGTGGCTCTGGTCGCTGACGAAGGCGACGACGTTGGCCGTCTGGGAGTGGTGATGCTCAACGGCCACCACCATCTGGGCCTGGACTACAGCAGCGACGAGTACAGCGACGACGACTACGACGACTACGACGACCAGGAGCTGCTGAACTCGGAACTGCTGGGCTACGGCCGCGGTCTCGGTCCCATTGACGAGCTGGATGAAACCCAGAGCCAATTGGACCGCACCCCGTCTACTTCACCGTCAATTGAAGCTGCGGGTGTTGCTGCGGGCGCCGCTGCTGCTGGCGCTGCTGGCGCCGGGGCTGCTGCTGCTGGCCACCATAAGGCCGCTCATGGTAAGCCTGCCGCTAGCGAAGACGAAGACCATACTCTCTACCCGTTGCCGCACGACCCCGTGCACCGCAACCCGGACATTCCTGCTTGTGAACACCAGCCGCCCTCGATTCTTGGGTTTGTGCGTAAGAACATCGGTAAGGATCTCTCGACGATTGCCATGCCCGTGGACATGAACGAGCCCCTCACTATTTTGCAAAAGTTTGCCGAACAATTTGAGTACAGTGACCTTGTCGACAATGCCCTCGACAGTCATGATGACGGTGAACGGATATTGCGTATCGCGGCGTTCGCTGTTAGTGGGATGTCGCTGCAGCGTGAAAAGGAACGGAACAACCGTAAACCGTTTAACCCGTTGTTGGGTGAGACTTTCGAACTTGTGCGTGAAGACAAGGGCCTCAGAATGATCCTGGAAAAGGTGCTGCATAGACCCCCCGTGTTTGCTTACTACGCCGAAACCAGCGACTGGACGTTCCAATACGCCCCGTCGCCTAACCAGACTTTCTGGGGTAAGAATGCCGAAATCGTCACCAACGGTACCGCCAAGCTTACCATCCGCAAAACGGGTGAAGTGTTCACGTGGACGTCGCCGCTGACGTTGCTTAAGAACATTATTGCTGGTGAAAAGTACACCGAGCCAAGTTCTGAGCTCACCGTCAAGTCGCTGAAGGGTTACAAGGCGGTGTGTGACTTCGCCAAGGGTGGTATGTTTTCCGGTCGTCTGGAAGACCTCACCATCAAGGCGTTTGACGGCAGCAAGAAGGAACTTCCTTACTCGGTGACGGGTAAGTGGACCGAGCTGTTAACGTTGAAGAGCAGCCACACCAACACCCAGATCTGGCACGTCGGCAAGGTGTTGCAACCGCCGAAGAAGAAGTTCGGTTTTACCGAATTCGCCGGTACTTTGAACAAGATCACCCCCATTGAAGACGGCAAGATTGCGCCTACCGACTCGAGATTGCGTCCTGATATGCAAGTCTACGAAGAAGGTAACGTCGACAAGGCCGAACAATTGAAGGTGAAGTTAGAAGAAGACCAAAGAACCCGTCGTAAACAGTTTGAAGAAGAAGGTAAGTCCTACAAGCCGATGTTCTTCGAGCATGTGGGTGCTGGTGGTCCTGACCAAGGCGAGTGGGTGTACAAGACCGGGCACGAGAGTTACTGGAACCGTCGTGCTCGTGGCGACTGGCAAGGGTTGATTAAGTTGTGGTGATCCGTACGAATGAACGAAACAATTGTAATACATATATATCACATTCCGACACTTCCGACACTGTCGACACTTCCGACACGTATAATTACATTAGTAAAATTCGGTAATTTTCGCCTTAGTGGTGGCGGTGGCCTCATTGTGCGTCGCCGACACTCACCGTTATCGCCACTAGCAGCGCATCATCTCGTTTGCGGGCATAAATCGGTCGTGAGCAAGGCTCGGTGGTTAAGGAGAGAGCTAAGGGGCTAAGCCGGTGTTTTGGTGGATTTTAGCGGCAGGGGCTCGACGGTTTTCCGAGATTTGGGTTAGGCAGCACCCGATCGCCGCAACAACTAGTTCCGGATGATCTATGGTTGCTCGCCGGGCTAAATTTAGGGAACTCGCTGGCCATCGGGTGTGGGTGTGCCTAGCCAAGTGGGGCTTACCGTTTTCGGCGAGCGGGTGCGGCGGTGGTGCCGGCGAAACGACGATTGCTAAACCCACTCAGAGTGGTGCCAAAAATTCAAACAAAATCACCAAAAATATCGGCAAAACCCGCTTAGTAACGTAGTGGTGTCAAACTAGTCAATTTCTTCTTGTACCCTCCCCAATTCCCCACCGGGGACTCCCTATAACGGCCATGCAACCACTGTGCGCACCCACGATAGCTGTCCCACCCCGACTCCAGCCTCGACAGCGCGGACCCATATTGCACGCAGCCAGTCCGTAGCCATGTCGTTCTGGCCGTTTTCCAACCCGTTGGCGCTGCATAGCCGCCTCCAGAAGTTCTTGGACGACCACGCGCTGCCGCTGGCGGTGCTGGCACTGGAGTTGGTGGCCGACCGGGAGTTGGCGCGAGAGATCGTCTACGAACTCCACCAGATCAAGGGCAATTTCAGCGAGCTGGCGGCGGGGTTTGTGTTTACCAATGACCCCGGCTCGCTGGCGGCGTCGGTGGCTACCAATAGCGCCGCCAGCCACCACGAGGGCGACGGTGGCGATAAAGAGCCCAGCCAGACCAAGGGTGTCAAACTATTGGAGATTATCGTCCAGCCGCAGGTGTTGGACGGTCTTCTAGACTATTTGGTTCGCTCAGTGAAACTCTTTGAGGATGAGCGCCGGCGAGAGGACGAAGTATTACAGAAATTGATCCGCGAGCTGCCTGATAAAACCAAGGTGGCGATGTCCGATAAAGAGATCAGAGGCGAACTCGACCAGCAGATAGAGGTCACTGAGGAAGTGCTTTTGGGCGAGGCAGAGACGGACGACCATATTCCCATCTCCACTCATAAGCCGACAAGGAAGCCGCCGCCGGGCACCAAGGACCCGCTGCCGGTTAGCAAAGCCTCTGAACTGGCGGATATGTTTGAGGAGTCGGTGACCCGTGAGCTTTCACCTGATTTCCTGGATGATCCTCTTGATAAAGTGGCCCGTGACCCTCTGGTGTGTAAAAATGACGATGACGACGAACACGGAGAGGAAACCGCTCAGGAAAAGTTTATCCGTGAACTTCAAACCGCTCTGGACATCTTGTCTACTGATATATGGATCATTCTGAACCGCATCATTGAAACACCGGCGATGGAGAAGTTGTGGCTGATCTTGCTGATGCCCGGTCTCCACGAACTGCTGCCTACAGTCAACCACGTCGTCCACATTTTAGACCAGCTTATGGACGCTAACCTGATTGAACTCCTCAATTTCATCCGTCGTCAGCCCGACCTTGTGGACACCTTTGTGTCGAATATCGATATCCCGGTGATAATGGACTACTTCTTGCGGGTGATCCAGACCGATAAACCCGATCTGCCTACAGGTATTGTGCAATCGTTACTGGCGCAAGGCCTTATCCCAAAACTTGTGGATATCCTCAAACCTGACCCCGAATGGTTTTCGCAAAATCCACCGCTGGCGTTTGTTCCTAATCCTGACCACTACTTCCGCCAGCTGAGTGCTACCGATTTCCTCAAAGCGCTCATCACTATATCCAGTAACACGGCATTGGCAGTGACGTTGGAGACTAATATTGGCCCTAACCCGTTGACGAGAGAGTTAGTGCTGCCGCCGATCATAAAGACGATGGTGGAGGAGGTGATGCTCTACCAACCCCCGCAAAAGATCCCTGGGTGGACTAATAAACCGGGCTTCATCAACTGTGTGGGGATCATCATTGAGGTTATCCGCAAAAATAACCTGGACTATGACCTCAACTGTGGGCCGTACTCAGTTGCTTTGGACCACCTGGACGATGCTAACGGCACCACCGGCGAAGTGAATGCGCTGGTGATGTTTAAGTGGCTCAAAGACTTTGAGGAGAACCCTCCGGGGCCGCGGGACCCGATATACTTAGGGGGCATGCTTGAGATTCTCTGTGGCTATCTCGATACGTTCTCCGCGATTATTGAGCAGCCAGCGGCCGAGGGTGACGAGGACACTCAGCTTGGCTACACCAAGTTCAAGATCTCCGAGCTTATCGCCGAGTTGCTCCACTGCCTGAACATGATCCTCCTCAATCTGCGGCGGTTCCAGGAGATCATGCGGGTGCGGGACCACGTGCGGGCCCACCAGGACCACCGGTTGGCCTACGCCCTCAACGACTTGCTCCCCGCCGCCGTGAACAAGATGCTGGTCGACCTGGACCTGGAGGACGAGGTGTTGCTGAGCGTGCTGTGGGACGACGACGACGTGCGGCGCGAGATCGACCGCATCGACCACGACTACGACCTGGAGGACGAGGAACCGCTGATATCGGCGGAGAATCCGTTTGTCGGACCGCAGAGGGACGCTGCCATGCGCAAACACCCGTGCATCGGCGACTACTTCAAGATGAAGTTGATCGATCTGAACATCTTGATCAACATCACCAACAAGTTCACCGAGTACCCATGGCACAACTTCTTCCACAACGTGGTGTTTGACCTCATCCAGCAGATCTTCAATGGTAAGCTCAACCTGTACAATCTGTTCCTCATTGTCGAGCTATTCAAGCGTGAGCGGGGCCACCTTGTCCAAATGATTGTTGATCTGTATCAGCACCACCACGACGACGAGTTTAGGCCCGGGTACATGGGCCACCTCATTTTAATCGCTGAGGAGGTGGTCAAGTTCACCAACTTGTACAAGCCCGACCTCATCTCCCCCGTCATCGTCGAGGCGGTGACGCTGGACAAGTGGGAGTGGTTTGTTGATAATGTCCTCCTCAAGACGCGTGAAGTGTATAATGTGGTATTGGGGGCAGACGCCGACGACACGCGTTCAGAGACCGACGCTGACTACGCGTTGGAAGAGGATAAGGCTAACCACGTTATTCTCCTCAGTGACCCACTGAACCATGATGAATTCGTCCACGATACTTCACCGGAAGTGGCACCGGCACCGACGAACCTGCCGTCAAACGAGAACAACGACCACGCCGATGATACTACCAAATCACCACCACCCTCTGAGGACCAGCTCTTGGATGAAGAGTTACAGGGGATTGAAAAAGCCCACCCCAGCCTCGACCAACTGCTAACGGTGGACCCTACCAGTGACGAGCTGAGTCCACAGAGCCCGGAGGAAGAATTGGACGAGCAGGAGGAGGTAAAGGAGGATGAGGACGCGGGGAGTGACGACGACCACGAGTTACGGCGGGTGCCGCGGCATGTATAGCAGTAGATCTTACTATTATTATTATTATTATTATTATGAAACTCCCCTTTACAAAGGGGGAAACCCTCGCTAAGCTTTGGCGTAGGCGACCTTACCATTGGGAAGCTTGATCTTCTTCCCCCGCGGTTTCTTCTTTCTCGTCAGCGAACCACTAGCAGTGGCAGTAGCAGCACCGTCAGTGGCAGACTGGTTCTGCAGTGGAACGTCATCGTCTTGAGCGAGGTCAAGCGTCAACCCGGTGACAAGACCAATGGTATAGTTGTACACCGCCACTGGCAAGCGAATAAACCAGGTTTGGCTCAATTTGAGTTTGGTACTAATATTGTCTTCGTGAATTTCAACTCGAGTGTCGTCGTCAGTCTCAGCGAAAACCTTACCGTCGCCAGTGACAATAAACAGTTTACCATCGGGAGTGGTCAATTTGCGATCCTGACCATCAGGGAGACCGTTCAGAGCCTGTAACGCTTCGCGACGGATAGTCTCTCGGAAACTAGCGATCCGTTTCTTGTCTTGCTTGCGAGTAACCGTTACTGCCAAGTAGTGGAACGCACTGATAAGGAGCCAGAGACCGACAAGCGTACCGGCAATCCCCGGACGGAACCGGCTGTATAAGTATGCGGTGCCGCGCCATTGGGGGAACCCGTGGTCCAAGAAGTAGTCGTAGCGCCGGCGGCGCTCGGGGTCCTTCAACACCCCACCGACGACGGAAAGCGTCTGATACTGCTTTTCCTTTTGCTTCTTTTCCTTGCCTCTAAACTTATCAGGGTGAAGCGTCCGCGAGAGCTTTCTGTAAGCCTTATTGATCTCGGCGGAAGTGGCTTTTCTCGACACGTCGAGCCACGAGTAGAAGGTGACGTCCTCGCCGACATCGGCCCGCACCCGGTCGTTCACTTTGAAGATTTCGTAGTCCTCGGCGGTCCACGCCGCCACCAACAGCGCCGCAAACAACACCACAAGCCACAACTTCATGACTGGGCTTTAGTTATGGTCGCACCCAGTCGCGCGATCGATAAGCGTCTAAAGGCGCGCGCGCCGCACCAACTGAAGCTAAAGAGAGAGGAATGTCATATCGGTTGCTGACGAAGGGCAAGTTGCTCTGGTTTGTCGACTGTGCCGCCTTGACGCTCTGGCTCTGCTGCTTGTTGCGGTTTGCCATCCTTCTTCCGCTCGTGGGCACGCGGTTCCTCCCCCAGGGGATCGCCGACTTCTTCCACGTCGTGGCGGTGATACCGGTGGCGGAGTTGGTGGTGGTGAGGCTAGTGCGGCGCAACTGGTCTCAGGGCAAATACGGCAGCTGGCCCGTGGTTGTTAATGCTTTGAGAATGGTGTGGTTGTGTTACGGGGTGATTTTCGTGTACCCTAAGATCGCAAAGCATATCCTGTACTCGGTGCTCATTGGGCTGTGGTGTCTCGGCTATCTCGTTCATTTCGCCTACTATGCGTTTAAAGTGAAGTTCAGAACCACCCCGTACTTCCTCTTTTGGCTTAAACACCACATTATGTTCGTGACGTTCCCGGCGCTGGTGGTGGCGGAGATGGTGCTTTTATTCTTGTCGCTCAAGTTTGCTGAGGATGGCACTGTTTACGAGTGGTTTATCAAAGCGGTGTTAGTGGGCTACGTTCCCTTGGGCTATTTTGCCTGGGGCTACTTGCTTGATCGCCGCCAGGAGAAGTACTACGACGTGTTGGTGAAGAAAGAGGAATACAGACGGAATATTGCCATGCAAAATCTTGCTCCGCCCGCAGCGGTACTGGCCAATACTGCACCGCTGAATACCCGTCGTCTGCCGCTTAGCCAGGAGGTGACGGTGGAAGATCTTCCCGAGAACAACACCACAAATTAGAATTTATTAATATGAAAATACTGATTAAATAGACTGGAATTGGATTACTTGAGATCGACATAATTGTAGAATGTGTATGCGGGTGAAACTGTAAGCTCTACCAAAGTATAAAACGAAAAATTGAATATTGTGATCAGCACCATTGTCATCCATTTTTGACAAAACCTCCAAAAATTGTTCGGGGCGTGTAGCTCAGTTGGTAGAGCGTTCGCTTAGCATGCGAAAGTGCGAACGAAGATTCCTCGTCGGATGATGAACTGTACAGTGATAATGGAATTTCGCTGAGCA